AACCGATATCATTAGTTTTTTTGTTTGTATGTTTGTTCATTTTATTATTATTATTATTAATTTTTTTTTTTTTTTTTTTTTTTTTTTTTTTTTTTTGATGATGATGATACAACCGGTCAGGGGAAACTAACTACTGTTGTTTTTGTTTTGTTTTTTTTTTATATCTATATATTTAAAATGCATATTTAGCGAAAATGGTTTCCTGTCCAAAACCAGCATCCAGTGTCAATAAGAATTGTTGCTCCATTCTTCAAGTCTTCTTTTATCAGTAGACAATGATAAAATGGAAGCTAGAGTGTTTATAATCTTTTATTTACACATGACTTGAGATCAGAAATATAGCCGTGGCTGCAATTTGTGATAATGTCTCGACAGCGTCTAATTTGGTTGATTATGAACTGCTCATCGCGTGTGGGTATTTGTCTATGGTGATTATTTTCTGTCTCTATTCATTTTTTGTGTTAAAGCGGTTAAACATACCGGTGTTCTGTTACATTTGCTCATTACTGTTTTCGTGACAGAAAAGGAAGCTTTGAAAGGTTCGTGTTGAATTACTAATTTGAATGCTGAATAATTTGATGATTAATCTACATGTTACAACCACATTGTTTTTATTTTATTTATTTATTTATTTATTTATTTATTGTTATTGAACATATGTCTGCATGGTTCCTATGTGTATGGTAAAATAATCAATTTTAGATTATATATTTAAGGAAATGCATACCGTTTCTCCACCTATGCTATTGTTTCGCTTTGAGCTCAATTCAGAAATAGACAGCAGTGTAAAGGTATGGTATTTAAATAACTCCGGAAATTTCATTAAAAAACAAGATACGCAAGAAACACGCAAGGCGTGTCGTTTCCAAATAACAAAGACTGGGTTCCCATCCCTAGATCGATCTAACAGGATCGGTCCATCTCCACGGGGCCACTCGCTAAATTGCTTTCAGCCCAAGCGGCTTAGACGTCTTGGACGCCCACTAAAGCTGCTATACGATAGTTAATTACCCCTATCAGCCTCAACAGGGGTGACAGACATCTAAGCCGCCCAAGTTAATTGCAATCAAGCGAGAATCCCCTCGGAGATAGTTCGATCCAAAGTTAGTACAATAGTCTCTGGGATTGGTCTCATAGACTGGGTTCCCATACTTAGATCGATCCATCTGGATCGACCTAACTCCCTGGGGGTTCACGCTTAATTGCTATCAGCCCAAGAGGCTTACATGTCTGTTTCGCCTCCCGAGTCAGTTAGGGGTAAAGATAATTACCCCCCAAACAGCTTTACTAGGTGTGACAGACGTTTAAGCCGGTTAGTTTGATAGCAATTTAGTCAGACTCCCTAGGGAGATAGATCGATCCAAATATCTATGGGAATGGTCCCAATGACGCGTATTCTGAAGATGGGGGAATGGTTAAGTCAGATTAAACAACATCAGCCGATCATCATTTCATAAATATGCCAATAGCTGATTGAACAGTGCGTGCCTTGAGTCAAGTTTGGATGGTGGGATTTAACTGACCATGGATAAAAAATGTACGAAGGTCAAAATTGCACGTAAATAGATGCACCAGAGAGATGGAGACCCCCTTCGAATCTCATATTAACATGCAAAGATGTATTTTCCAAATTATGTTTATTAACACCCAAGCATCTAAATGATTTAAAGGGTAAAATTTAACATAAAGACAATCAAAGCTATACAGAATTGAGATCGTGCTACATGTACATGTATGACTTCAGGTTGAAAAAAAAACTAATACATTATTGGGTGCTGTTTTGGCAATTCATTTGTCTTTGGGTGATACGTTTTGTTGAACGAAATGTCAAGTTCTCCCCCTGAAGGCGATTGCTGATATTAGATTAAGGCGAGAAACATTGCCAGCTTTTTTCACACTCACACAGCACTCTGTGTTGGAACTGGGCTGATTCAGGAATCTCGCCCTTTCTCCGAATACAATCTTTACCCACACAGCTCTGTTTACAGAAAATGGACATCTTAAAACATCTTTTAAGATACTTAATTTAAATACTTTGATTCAATAATTTGATTCAATTTTTATCCACCTCCATAGCACTCTACTCAGCCTTTACAATTATTGCAATCTTACAAACTTGTCTCAAGCTTTATGAAATAACCTGGTCTGAAAATAAGAATAAAACACTTTGACAAAGCTGATAAAGACAGGCCTTCGTGTCTGTACAATGAAGTCTGATTCTAAAGTAGGTCAATATTCTGCGAACTAGAATATCGATTGCTGGTTTAATGGATTGAGAAGTAAATGGAATTTTTGCTGGTAATAACAGGATGGTAATAGAGCATATATAGTACGTGTAGCCCAGATCTCGGTCATTCAGCCGAAGAATAGAGATTTCTAAATAATGTGCCTCAATTTGATATGGACGAGAAAAGATGCAAAGTTTATTAAAACAAGGTTGATGTGCATCAAAGTTGCGACCGTATTTCAGAGTGATACCATAGCATAAGATAGGCCTATGCTTTATCTTATTGGATTTTCAATCTTAAAAGCAATGTACATATTTGATGTAGGGAAAGCGAAATGATGTGTAGTGAGAGGATATCTAATATCATTTGTATAGAACTGATGGTTTGAATGCTAGGCCTACTCTCTCCAATTTAAATGGAGATATTGTTACTACTGTTCATCTCTCTGGCGTCTATGAAGTCTTTTGATTTTTTTTGAAGAAGCTTGCGATTCCCTGTCGTTTTCTTTTCATTTTGCTTTATACCCCACCACCAGTGATAAAAAAGTTAACCATAATTCATAGGTAATTCATTCGACACAGTAAGTGATGGATACATGAACGATACATGCTGCCACTACCCCTTTGTGCTGAGGTGGGGCAGGGTACTAGATCCCACATTTGTTTTGGAAGTGGGTGGGGCATGATCACTGTTCCCCTATGGATCCAAGTCAGTCTTTTGTTTCCTTTTTCCAGAAGCTCTGTTATCGGTTACCGCGCTGATTGCTTATTCACAGCTCACTTTTCTAAACGTGAATAGAGCCTGGGTCTTATTACCTAAATGCTATAAAAATCATTAATTTGCAAATAGAATCAGTTTCAATATTCGGGGAACCACAGAGTATATTCAAGGTGCATGTATTACACTGTGGTTCAATCAGTAAAATTGCTGGGAGTTTGTCGTCAAACTAAGGCCTTGAGATGAGACACTCGGTATCCAGGTGTAGGTCCTGGCTTTTCTGTTATGTTTACATATATACTTTTGTCACCAGCATTGTTTGCAACAAGAAATTGAATTCTACCCTTTAATGAAATAGCAAAGAGGAAGAGCTTCAACAACTCTTAGACAATCAGGGTTGTTTATGGGAAGACGCTTTTGTGATATTAAGGATACTATACAGAAAATGTCATTTTGTGTATTAAGTGCATTTATGTTTAATGTATATAGGGTACTTGTTATGCAGTTCGGCGTGTGTTGTTAATGTATGGTGAAGAGCAATGCATTTGAGATGCGTGTGTGTTGCCCGCGTTTTCTTATTGTTGTATCTGTATTCTTTTTGCTGTAATATTTCAAGATACAATATTATAGAGTGCACGTAAAAAAAAATTCCGGTAAAGTGGTGTATTTTATTTGCTTATGTTAATCGTTATTAATTGCGTGATATTACCAAGATTTGTGTTGGCCAGTTTGATTGAGTGCGCATCAGTATATTTTTGTGTCTAGCGCGTTTTGCCTTAAATTATAAAAGCTACGTGTGTGTGTGTGTGTATGTGTGTGTGCGTGTGTGTGTGTGTGTGTGTGTGTGTGTGTGTGTAAAAGCGCATGTAGAAAAACGTTTGAGTGCATGTAGGTCAGTGTGCTGTCAACTAAATGTATCGTAAATAACTTCCACATTTTCATATTAATTATCGAATCAGTTATTAAGGGGGGGAATCAGCGTTATTTTTAATCAGTAGACACGGTGCACTAGGACTTAAAACTGGGCTAGGCCTATTCCACCATCATAACAGCTGCACATCGATATCGCTCCAATTGTCATTGTATGGTTTACATTATGGTGGTATTGATTTTTTTTTCGAAAAGACCGTATGCTTGGCTGGCTTGTTTTAGGCATTAACCAAGAGGTCAGGCAGTAATTGCATTAGCCCTTGCTGCACGGCCGTCTGGTTTTTGTCAGCTCTCTCTCTCTCTCTCTCTCTCTCTCTCTCTCTATATATATATATATATATATATATATATATCACGCACCGCACACAGACACGCACCCACATACACATACAGACACACACACATACACACACACATACCAAAGAAAAAATAGACATATAAAAATAAAAATGCATGAAGGATCTATATATAGGCCTAGTTTCAAACAAGCCTTTTGCTCTTTTGCATGCATGGTATGCTGTATTTTGTCAAATGTGTATGTCATTTGTACAATTGTGACAATTCTTTACACAATATGTTGATGAAACAAAATACATTTCATCATGAAGAAACAGGAATATTTATGCATTACGAATATTGATAAGAACCTAAGTAGTTAAAATTAATAGTCTACTTAAAAATATGACTTACTGTATTTGGTAAATTTCCCTTATTTACAATCACTACAAATCCATAAGATCGCGTGGATGAAAGCACACACTCACTCACTTGCTAGTTTAGTCATTCGTTCGCTTGTTCGCTCGTTCGAGAGAGAGAGAGAGAGAGAGAAAGAAGGATGCGGTAACTCTATACGGAGTGTGGATACGTTTGCAATAGCATTGTTGCGTTTGGATGAAGGTAAGAAGTAACGATTTAGCCACAAATTTCAAGAATGTCATTGTCTTTAGACAATATATCAAAGATCCGAATCGTATATCTGTCATTAATGTACATGATCATCTATTTTTTGCCAAAAATAAATAAATAAATAAATAAATAAAATAAATAAAATAAATAAAATAAATAAATAAATAAATAAATCCAAAGATTAGGAATTTTCAGAAACTTTCCTTAACTCTCTTGTACTCCGTTTGAATATATGGTACTGCTAACCATCATAGCAAACTGCATCGTGCTGGCACTTGAAGAACACCTTCCAAATAACGATAGGACACCTCTAGCACTACAGCTGGTAAGTAGGCAAGCCATAGACACTATGAGAGTTACTAAGTTACAAACGTATTTATTCAGTACAAGGTGTGTCAGCGCTTGGACATAATAACGTTATTTTGTCCAAGGTCAGCGTGACCTCTAAGGGTGCCTTTACAAGAAGGGACCATTCACAATGACACATCGGCCTACGTAGATCGGCCCAACTCTGCGGGGACTCTCGGTAATTCCCATAGATTCTCGCTAAATCGCATGCAGTTTAAGCGGCTTAAATGTCTGTCACGCCCACTGCTAGTACGATAGGTTTATGGGAGCAATCAGCTTAACAGATTAACACGCCTTCTTCTGGCGTTAAGTAAAATACAGAAAAGCTGGTGATTATACGAACACGGTGGAAACAAGAGGAGGTGTGTCATTCAGTTAAGCTGATTGCTCCCATAAACCTATCGTACTAGCAGTGGGCGTGACAGACATTTAAGCCGCTTAAACTGAATGCGATTTAGCGAGAATCTTCTCGGAGATAGATCGATCCTGCTAGTACGATAGGGTTATGGGAATGGTTTATCGTACTACTCAGTAGCTGCTGCGCACTAACTCCACGGAGACTCTCGGTGAATGCAATCAGACAATCAGATTAATAAATTTACACGCCTCCTCTGTTGAGTAGAAAACAGAAAAGCTGGTGATTTATACGAGTACGTTGGAAACAAGAGGTGTGTTTATCTGTTCGTCTGATTGCATTCAGCGTGACTACCCGTTGAGTTAGTGCACAGTAGCTAGTACGATAGATTTGTCACCCTAAGAGGTCACGCTGACACCTTTTTGATAAATAAATAATCTGTCCATGAATTGATATTCAGTTCAGATTTAATGTTGTACATGAATTGATTATTACTTGCGGTGCAGTCCAGCAAGTCTTTAATGCCCTTTTCACATCGTGCTGAATACTTGCCCGCATCGCAAAGTTTTGAGAGATTGGCAAGTAATAACTATAACGAGAAAGAGAGGCTCGCCTAACAGAGCATACACGCTGCTTTGGTCTGCACGGCTGAATAATTAACTTAATTAAAAAACAAGAAGCAAACTTTTGGAGAACTTGTGAAAGAGAGTAAAAATCTCTGGAACAAGTTATAACTTCTGAAAGTGCGCTGGTACACACTGGGGCCTCTGTTCACAACGTGCGTTACGCGTATTTGTATTGAAATGCTTAGGGAGAAAAACAAAGCAATAGCCCAGCAATTACGTATTGGAGCCATCTAAATGGGACCCTGTGCTTGACACGAACAGTTAACGGGATTGTGAGAAGGTAACTTGTGGAAGGGAATACCCCCCCCCCCCCCCCGTAACGCACTATGTGAAAACAGAAAGGCGTGCGTCGCTCAGATATGCTCCTTGATGTGAAAAGGACCTCAATCGTATTCTTAAATCTTTTAACATTTTGCAAATTGTGCCCATTTTTGGCACAGGCTGGGGCCTTAAGGGGATTCGATACGTTATGTTTTTTTCCTGTAATGTGGATATACACGTTGTTAAGTTATGAAATAATTCTGTCACATCAAAGACACATCAGGGCGTCTTTTCTAATTCGAACTGATGATGTAACGGCAGCGTTATTTGGGCTTAAAAACTATATAACCCCCTTACTTGAACAGCTAGCAACACCGCTTCAAAGGGGCCTACTTAATCACAACAATAAGTAATAGGAAATTTTCTAGAAAGGTTTACTTGTGATTTTAAGGTTTACTTGTGATTTTATCAGCAAAAAGTCGAAATGATGCCTCTGATGAAAGGCACAACGCTGCAACCAAACGGTGGCATTGAATTGTAGTTCACACCCTAGCCGTCAACGACGCCATTGGAGGCCAATTTTCCTGATGATATCTTACTTACTCATTGGCTTATTTCGGATACCGATCACTATGACACCAATTTACAAAGCAGCTTAATTGACTATTACGATTGATCACCTTGTGTACAGAAGCGAATGGGGTGGTAAATAAATGAAGGTGTTTATTTTTTATTGCATTAATGTTAATATAAGTAGGCCTATTTTACATAAAGAAACGGGGGGGGGGGGGGGGTATTTTGCCAACGTATCGAATCTTTGAGCTTCTTAGAAATATATAAGGTGGGGGGGGGGGGTTGAAAGAAGCATATATCCATTGGAATTGAAAAAATCTTGTTGTATTTTACAGGAGGACACAGAAGTCTATTTCCTAGGAATTTTCTGCGTAGAAGCATTTCTCAAAATTATAGCATTAGGATTTATCTTACATAAAGGTTCTTATCTACGGAACGTATGGAATATATTAGACTTCGTAGTGGTAGTAACGGGGTAAGTACATGTTTTTGTACATAACATCTGTGTTACTTATGTTAACAATTACATATATAGGCTACGGCACAGGGGGATCAAATCATGTGTAACCAAGGAGTTGTAACTCCTTGATCAAAACCATCATCTGGTGTTTTAACATCATCTGGTGTTTGAAAAAAAACGGCATTTTAATGATAATTTCGAATTTATTCTCTTTAATCCAACCAATTATCGTTACTATTCTTGCTGGTAATTGTGAAATTTTAGATATTAAGATTTTATTTCAATCAAGATGATAAGAATGGAGGGGGCGGGGTTGTTTGATTGGAGGAAAGAAAGTTGAAAAACTTAACACCAATCAAAATTGAGATTGCATGCGCATATGGGGCTAAACCAATTAGGGACAATTTCATGTTGAAATTGGGTCAAAGAACCGAGGGAAATTCAAGCGTGGGAAAGGAGACAGAGAGGCAATAACATTGAATGTTTTGTGATTTCTTATCATTGAAAAGAAATTGTTACTGTTATCACTTTGTAATGTCGACACCAGATGATGGTATCAAGATGCAAATACTAGGTGGAAGAAAGATTAAGTTTAGAATGAAGGTAAAGCCATTGCGAAGCTAACGTTTATTTTGATTTGCATTCACGTACTACATGTACTAATAATAATAGTAGTACACTGATGGTTATTTTGTCGATTTCACGTAAGATACACTCTGATAATCCTGTAATGTTTCCACCTGTATTTTCAGTCTTTGTTTGTTTAACTAGATTTTTGCGTAAAAATAGTTCAGTCGAAAATCAGATGTACTTAACTGATATTAGGGCAATATATTAGCGAGTCCTATCGAAATTATTAGTAATAATATTACACCTTTAATTGCATAAATTTATTTCTCGCTGTTTTGTGTCTCACCGTGGACCCATGATCATCACGTAAAATGGACACAAGGCTATAAATATAACAATTTTTAATATAAGTTGTAATAATTTTTTTGAGAAATGTAACATGGCTTCAATTTTTTTCAGGTGCATCCAAATATGTGCTGAATTTTAGAACTGCTGAATTAATATCCCTGAAAGCCTTTTGTGGACACAGGCAAATATTATTTAAACCTTTTTTAGTCTTTGTCCTTTTTAATTTTCTTTAATTTTTTTTTTATTTCAGGCAACAGGGCACCAAAAAGAACATGATTATAATCACTGTTTAATATGCCACCTATAAATACCTTCACATATGCTTATTGGTATATATGCATTATTTCTACAGGCTCCTTTCCATAGTTTCACCACATTTTGATCAACCTGCATTTAGAGCTCTAAGGGTTCTTCGCCCTTTAAAATTAGTTACAGGGTTTGAGAGTAAGTCAGTTTAGATCACCCTGCATTAGCAGAAAGAACAGTTCAGTCAGTGTCTCTTTGTTAGCAAATCTGACTTGGTGTGAATTTCCTAAATGTTTCTAGATAGATTGAGTGTAGATTCTGAATAAACATGGATATACTTCTCATGCATTACAGTAGTCTAAGTTTATTTTGATTTAAAATCACCACCACCCCTTGAAAAAAAAATCTCTGGCTGTATCTAGCCTAACTTAGCTTTGATTTAAAATCTCAGTGTCAAGATTCTAAAAATGCAAAAATAAAAATAAAATAAAATAAAAATAAATAAGATAATAATAAATAAATAAATAAAAATAATAAAAAAAATTAAAAAAAAAACAGGTAAGTCTGTTTCAGGCAGCTTTTCTTCTCAGATTTCCATAGTATAAGACCCTATGGGGTTATGCTACTCCAAGGTAGGGTACTATTCTGTTTCAGGTTATTTACCAACACTTGGTGTTGGGATATGATTTTTTCTTTGCATGCACAGTTTACTGTGTCTAATCTGATTGCATTGATGCTGTAACCGCTTGGGGGTTTAGCAAATAACACAGACTGGTTGAAGACATTTGTGCTTGAACTGATAACGTGTGCCAATTGTCCAACATCACTTACCCAAGGCTTCAGATCAGACCAGATGCTACAAGTCTAGCATCACTTACCCTAGGCTTCAGATCATATCTCACAATTCAAGATCACTTACCCTAGGCTTCAGATCACATGTTTTCATGTGAAATTTATACACAAAATACACTTTCAAATTGCCATATGAGCATTCTTATATTGATGGTCTGTGACTATAGCTAGTGGAATTGTTTTAAGTCTATAATACCTGTCAAAACTAAATTTTGTGCCTACATCAAAGACATGATGTAGCCGATGATTCGTGTAACTGAAGCTGTCCCTTAGGTCACAAATGTGGCTACCATCACTCATCATGACACTGAAACAATGACAGGACTTGGGTAAAAGGAAACAGCCATTTTTTAAACCTTCATCCTGGCTTCAAAGCTATAAAACAGTACAAGTATTAATTGAAAATAAAGATTTGATTTTTTGAAATATTAGCCAGTGCTTTTTACCAAGTTTTCTAGTTACAAAACTTTTTTTTTCAATTCCATTGAAAAACAACTCTCATTGCCAACAGTGACTGACAGAAACATGAGCAAGTGGAAACCCTGAATTAATATTAGATAACTGACACCTGGTAATGCCTACATTCCTCTTTCTGGCTCTGAAATGAAAGGCATTCAAAGCCATCTGCTCTATTGGTTTTGGATTAATCTTCTTCTTTACCAGCCTCATATTTGTCTATGTTGTAAAATGACATTATTGGAAACTGAATATACACAACATTGTATTGATGCCTTCAGACAGAACCAAGAGCCATAATGAGATGGTCGAAAAAAAAGGAGGACAGTTCTGTTAGTTCACTCCTATTAGTATTAGGAAATGATAAAGGATTTTGCACTCCAGTAGGAAATTGTGTATTGATTTTTGAATAGTGAGGAGAGGTCCCTTTGGCTCGTAAAGAATGGTTGTTGAGGGCGTAAGGACATGGGCATTTTTCATCTAGGCAACAAGTCCATCTTAAACAGTTTGTGTTCAATAAGTCTGATATGTCTTCAGGATTAAATTGCACTCTTCAATACAGCTTTATATTAATTGCACCAGTATTGGAGAATTAATTTCAATGCTAAGTGCATTTTTCACCACTGGGTTAATAACAGGCTTGCTGTCATNAGTTTTGATTTGCATTAACTTTCACGTACTAGTAGTACACTGATGGTTATTTTGTCGATTTCACGTAAGATACACTGTGATAATCCTGTAATGTTTCCACCTGTATTTTCAGTCTTTGTTTAACTAGATTTTTGCGTAAAAATAGTTCAGTCGAAATCAGATGTACTTAACCGGGCAATATATTAGCGAGTCCTATCGAAATTTAATTAGTAATAATATTACGCCTTTAATTGCATCAACTTATTTCTCGCTGTTTTGTGTCTCACCGTGGACCCATGATCATCACGTAAAATGGACACAAGGCTATAAATATGACAATTTTTAATATAAGTTGTAATAATTTTTTTGAGAAGTGTAACATGGCTTCAATTTTTTTCAGGTGCGTCGAAAAACGTTGCTGAATTTTAGCACTGCTGAATTGATTAATATCCCTAAAAGCCTTTTGTGGACACAGGCAAATATTATTTAAACCTTTTTTGGTCTTTGTCCTTTTTAATTTTCTTTAATTTTTTTTTATTTCAGGCAGCAGGGCACTGAAAAGAATTATAATCACTGTTTAATATGCCACCTATAAATACCTTCACATATGCTTATTGGTATATATGCATTATTTCTACAGGCTCCTTTCCATAGTTTCACCACATTTTGATCAACCTGCATTTAGAGCTCTAAGGGTTCTTCGCCCTTTAAAATTAGTTACAGGGTTTGAGAGTAAGTCAGTTTAGATCACCCTGCATTAGCAGAAAGAACAGTTCAGTCAGTGTCTCTTTGTTAGCAAATCTGACTTGGTGTGAATTTCCTAAATGTTTCTAGATAGATTGAGTGTAGATTCTGAATAAACATGGATATACTTCTCATGCATTTCAGTAGTCTAAGTTTATTTTGATTTAAAATCACCACCACCCCTTAAAAAAAATCTCTGGCTGTATCTAGCCTAACTTAGCTTTGATTTAAAATCTTAGTGTCAAGATTCTAAAAATGCAAAAAAAAAAAAAAAATAAAATAAAATAAAATAAAATAAAATAAAATAAAATAAAATAAAATAAAATAAATAAATAATAATAATAATAATAATAATAATAATAAAGAAATAAATAGAAATAATAAAAAAATAATAAAAAAAAACAGGTAAGTCTGTTTCAGGCAGCTTTTCTTCTCAGATTTCCATAGTATAAGGGACTATGGGGTTATGCTACTCCAAGGTAGGGTACTATTCTGTTTCAGGTTATTTACCAACACTTGGTGTTGGGATATGATTTTTCTTTGCATGCACAGTTTACTGTGTCTGATCTGATTGCATTGATGCTGTAACCGCTTGGGGGTTTAGACTATAACACAGACTGGTTGAAGACATTTGTGCTTGAACTGATAACGTGTGCCAATTGTCTAGCATCACTTACCCAAGGCTTCAGATCAGACCAGATGCTACAAGTCTAGCATCACTTACCCCAGGCTTCAGATTTTATCTCACAATCCTAGATCACTTACCCTAGGCTTCAGATCACATGTATTCATGTGAAATTTATACACAAAATACACTTTCAAATTGCCATATGAGCACACTTATATTGATGGTCTGTGACTTTAGCTAGTGGAATTGTTTTAAGTCTATAATACCTATCAAAACTAAATTTTGTGCCTACATCAAAGACATGATGTAGTCGATGACCCGTATAACTGAAGCTGTCCCTTAGGTCACAAATGTGGCTACCATCACTCATCATGACACTGAAACAATGACAGGACTTGGGTAAAAGAAAACAGCCATTTTTTAAACCTTCATTCTGGCTTCAAAGCTATTAAACAGTACAAGTATTAATTGAAAATAAAGATTTGATTTTTTGAAATATTAGCCAGTGCTTTTTACCAAGTTTTCTAGCTGTGAAACTTTTTTTTTTCAATTCCATTGAAAAACAACTCTCATTGCCAACAGTGACTGACAGAAACATGAGCAAGTGGAAACCCTGAATTAATATTAGATAACTGACACCTGGTAATGCCTATATTCCTCTTTCTGGCTCTGAAATGAAAGGCATTCAAAGCCATCTGCTCTATTGGTTTTGTATTAATCTTCTTCTTTACCAGCCTCATATTTGTCTATGTTGTAAAATGACATTATTGGAAACTGAATCTACACAACATTGTATTGATGCCTTCAGACAGAACCAAGAGCCATAATGAGATGGTCGAAAAAAAAGGAGGACAGTTCTGTTAGTTCACTCCTATTAGTATTAGGAAATGATAAAGGATTTTGCACTCCAGTAGGAAATTGTGTATTGATTTTTGAATAGTGAGGAGAGGTCCCTTTGGCTCGTAAAGAATGGTTGTTGAGGGCGTAAGGACATGGGCATTTTTCATCTAGGCAACAAGTCCATCTTAAACAGTTTGTGTTCAATAAGTCTGATATGTCTTCAGGATTAAATTGCACTCTTCAATACAGCTTTATATTAATTGCACCAGTATTGGAGAATTAATTTCAATGCTAAGTGCATTTTTCACCACTGGGTTAATAACAGGCTTGCTGTCGTAACTTAATGATGGACTACATCAAACAATAAGCAGTCACGCATTTTTTTTTTTTTTTTTGTGCTGTAAAATGTAAAAACACAAGGTTAGTGAAAATATGTGTTCATGCATAGAAAAATGGAGTTTTACAATTATTAGGAAATTCATTATGGAAGAGAAGTTAGCAGATATGAAATCATTAATTCATGTGTAGCATCTAAAGAATTGTTGTTGATGAATCGGTGCAGAATGCATCGTGATGCCCCTTTTATAATGTTGCTTTCTTTTTTCCAGTTGGTTTTGTGTTTAGAACATTATGAGCCAATCTGAGTTTCAGAGTCAACTGAGATTTCATTATTATTATATGCACATGCCTGTGCCAATTCCATACACTGAACAGTAATGGACTGGCACATGCACATGTATGTTACATGTATAACACCTATACTCTGAAGCTCAGGGTTATAATGACCACTGTATGCCGCAAATTCCAAACTGATCTTAATTTCATTTTGTTTCTATAGGGTGTGATTTATAGCCGTGCTGTGTTGAAAGTTTTGTCTAGATGCTAGAGCTGAATTTCGATGTTTGGTCCCTTATATTGATAGCTTTTGAAGAACCCTTTATGTTCTAGGTCCAGTAGATGAGTAAATGTCTACTATAGAGTTGTCATAACACTTGTCATCTATGTTAAACTTTTCAGAATTGTGTAAGATATGCTCCACTTTGTGATATCATGTGACCATGCTTCTTGTCTTGTAGACTACTGCCACCTGTTGTTTAGCTTCCTCATCTTTTCTAACCCCGTAGGTTTGTTACCCTCTTTATGGAGGGAGGGAGTGCAGACACAGGTTTCGACTTAAAAACCCTCAGAGCTGTCAGAGTTCTTCGGCCTCTGAAGCTGGTCTCAGGAATTCCAAGTATGTTGTTTCTAGTTATTAATTGATGTGACTGTATTCTATAAAGAAGGTGTAAAAGATTCCACTTTTTAAAAGAAATAAATTGGTTGCTGTCTATAAACATAAACGAATCAAGCATCTCCCCATGTAATAACCCATGCATTACATCACTGATATTGATAATTTTGTTTTGTGGACATTCTTTAACATGCAAGTTGTTTTTCGCATCAACTGAGGGGGGAGGATATTGGCTAATTTCATTACAGAAACCTGGGTTGTGGTACAATTACTTTACCATTTTTACTCTCAGCAATTTAATGAATCCAAGAATTAACTAGAACTGGACTTCATTTGTTTATCAAAAGAGATTTCACAATTAAACAAATAAAATAACAAATGGTTTGTCCAAAAAAGCAAAAAGCACTAGAATAATTAGCGTCACTATGTAATCCAAGTCATTTTATTACAAAAAGTTACTTATGTCAATAACACATTTAAAAAAAATTACAAAAAATGATTTTATTATGACTGACAACAGTATTCTTTATCCTTTTAATGATAATTTAATTGTAACCCTATGCATGTCAAAATATTATATGTTACCATTTCAGGTCTTCAGGTCGTGCTAAAGTCCATCCTATGTGCTATGGCCCCACTGTTGCAAATTGGTGTCCTAGTGTTATTTGCTATCATCATGTTTGCTATCATTGGGCTTGAGTTTTACAGCGGGGCCTTCCATAATACGTGCTACATGATAGACAGTAAGTATGAAGCCTCTTTCACTGGCCAACATCTGTAGGATATTGTCAACTTGGCAATTCCTTCCAAACAAAGGGGTGCATGTAAGTTATTCACCAAAGACTAAATATATGTGTATATATACGTATTTACTTGTTACAGTAGTTCTATAACTTCAAATGACCATGGCATTATTGTTAAAAATCTCAATTTTTTAAAAACATGTCTTTACAGTCATCAGTAGTGCTCCAAAAGATATATAACAACTAACTTATAATATGCATCTTCAAGAAAACTGCCGTCATCATCGTGGGAAACAACTGCATCAATTTTGAACAATTTTCTTTCCAGCCAACATTATTGACACAATGGGAGAGTCTAGTCCAAGGCCGTGTGCTGTGAACCTTCCGAAAAGCAATGGGGAGAAACCTGATCCTTCTTCTGGGCTTTCCTGTAGACATAATGTATCCCGTTGTAAGCCATACTGGGAAGGACCCAACTATGGCATTACCAGTTTTGACAACATTCTTTACGCCATGTTAACAGTATTTCAGTGTATCACTATGGAGGGATGGACAGACGTCTTGTATTTTGTGAGTATTCCTCAAGGTTAACTTTGATCAGCTTTTTGCTTTGTTTCATGGAGCAATTGTAGTAAAGCAGTATTTAAAATACTCTGCGTTAACAAGCAAACCTGGTGCATGCAGTTTGTTACAAAAACTCTTGATTGGTAGGACCAGTTGGACATAGTAGAGTGTATCTAGAATTGACAGCAAAATGGCTAGAGTTGCCACTTCTGCACTTACAACGACCATCCTCCACAAACTTGTTAGGCCACTTGTCACTTTTTTACTTTGAAGATATATAATGTCATTACATTAACATGATGTAACAAGGGATGAAGGATTGAAGGACAGAAATGTGATTTTCACATATGTGAATTGCAGTTCATTGTATTTAACTGTTTATTGTATTAAATTTCTTTACTTTACTTTCCAGACCAATGATGCAATGGGCAGCCTCTTCAACTGGATGTACTTTTTTTCACTCATCATTCTCGGCTCTTTCTTTATGCTCAATTTGGTGCTTGGTGTGCTAAGTGGGTAAGTACGTCAAAGTGTAAGAGTAAATCATTACTATATGATTCAAAAACATGAAAAAATAAGTTCATTTGTATCACCAGCGTGTACGCTGGCGGTACTCATGGTTTTAGTCCCCGACCTGTCTTGTAGGGCTCCAAAGACATATCAGGGTGGCCTGGGATACAAGTCACCGTTATTGCTTCTCCACCTAGACCGCAAGGACCTGTGTCCCCATCTCTTGGATTTAGGTCACACATTATCTCTACTTGAACCCCCTGGTTTTTTTGTCTCAGTTGGTGCATTGGCCTGGGCGTGACACTCGTTGAAATGCACCGTTGTCAAAATTTTTGAAAATTCAATGCTATTAAATATCTCCCAAACCGAAGGAATTATGGGAAAAATTACTATAGAAGTTTGACAGAAAGTCATGTGAAGATAGCAAATGTGCCCTTGGGTTTGACCTTTATTTCAAGGTCAAATGGGCCAAAATTTTGTAAAAGTGTGAATTTTCTGAAAAAAAAAAAAAAAAAAAAAAAAAATATATATATATATATATATATATATATATATATATATATATATATATATATATATATATATATATTTGTTTGTGCCGATTTTCAGAAACCGCACATACTTAATCTATAATATCATTGGCAGGTGTTAACCTTAGGGTCATCTTTCATCTCCGTGAGTTTGGGGTCAATCGGTGCATTTTCATAGGAGAAGCGGCCATTAGATGCTGAAACTGAAAACTCTCTCTAATTCTGGAACCATTAATGCTAGAGACCTCTTGTTTTTTGCATTTGATAGTGTTTGTCAAGCCCAACACTGGGGGTTGTGTCTGTTTTTTTTCCCATGTGGTTTACAAGTTATGCTGTATCAAAAAGTACATTGTGGTGAAAACAAAATGTGCAATATGGTTATATGCATGTAATTTCGAACATCTGGAAAAGATAACATAAGGCTTATTGAGGCAGACAACTTCTGGTCAAAAATGACATTATTGTATGAAATTTGAACATCTGGAATTCAGATAAAGAAGTCTCCAAGTTAAAGATTATTTCTGATGGAAGATTTTGAATAAAAAAGGAAAATAAAGTATATATACTGTATATATATATACTAAGTTGTTTTGAGCTTAACTGCATGTTGATACAAAGCCTAAATGTTCAAAATTGCAGATTTTTGCTAAACCATTATACAGAGTGATTAAAAATATTGCTTTTATCCCTCCAGAGAGTTTGCTAGAGAGAGGGAGAGGGTAGAAAACCGCCGTGCTTTCTTAAAACTTCGGAAACAGCAGCAAATACAGAGGACCTTAAATGGTTACCTTGAGTGGATATGCAAAGCAGGTAAAGTAAAAGTGTAATGGATTGACATTTGAACCAATGAATGCCATGAAAAAATCATTTCTGGAAGAGTGCAAATCTCATAATTAGTAGATAGCCATATTTCACAGGGACTGTTTCTACTATAGTTAGTATTTCAGAAGCACTGTTCTGGTAATTGATATCTACAGAAATCAAAATCCATTTCAGTTTCAAGTCTTTCTTGTATTGCTTTTTCATAAAAGGAAAAGTTTTCACACACATAGTCTTCAATAGTTGCTGGCTTTTCTCCATCCCTTCCATTGTCATTGATTATGGTCTTAAAACTAAACCAAGAATGTGTTTAAATTTCAGAGGAAGTGATTCTCAATGAGGATAAAACGACAGATGAAGAGAAAATGAAAATCATAGAAGGTAAACAGAGTAAAGGTATTGATGCTGCATGATTTCCTATGCTTGCTTCTACTTCTAGTTTGTGTGTACTAAATATCATCACTGAAGATCTATGGTTTCCAAGAATGCAGATAATCACTAAGCATGATTCGATGGAAGGCTGAGGATTATAGTGTGGAAAATAGATCATAGACTACAACCGGATTGTGTAGTTTCGTTGTCTATAATATTGTGGAATTGATGTATTGAACGACAAAAAATACATGGTTGTCACAAGGAATTAAAATTACAGGATGATTGAATAGAGTAAAAGCTGGTTTAAAGCCAGATCAGTGCAGATTCTTGGAAACCATACATTCTTTATAGTAATGTGATGTGCAGAGAATCATGTTCAGAGGAGTCTTTGAAGCCAATACAATTCGGAAAATGTTTAGATTGTTCTTACGCCTAAAAAGTTTTGCTCGTAATTCGGATTGAAGAAATGTCAGTTTTGTGCTTTAACTCCTCCTGAAACAAGATGATGACTGCAATGACCCTATGATTCATAACCAATGGAAAAAATATTATAATAAATATCTGATATATAGAAAGTTTTATAGAAAATTTGGATGATGTTTGCAGAGGGAAAAGGGTGGGCACAGAGAAGCTGAATATGCTGCTTGTATTTTAAGACTTAAAAGAATTAAGAATGCACACATACGTGTTCATTGCAAATGTACATAGAAACCCTGTAGTTAAAAGAAGATAATATATATGGAATATCATTGACTGTAAAAGTGTTATTGTTATAGAAAGGTATCAAAGTAAAAAAAAAATCTCAGTCATAAAAAGTTTTCAATTAACATACTACATTTTTCCTGGCGTAGAAAAATGAGTGAAATCATGTTTAATGTGTGTTACTTAATAAGTCATATTGAAAGGTCCTTTGATATAAAATGATAACATGCAGAAGAGCAACCTGGCTTAAGTTGAATAATCATCAAATTTTTTGAGTAATTGTTGGGCTGGCTTTAAACTTTCAAGAGTTTTAGGTTGCTTGTTGTGCATAGACACTATCAAGGATTGGGACCAGTAAGGTTTTTTTAACTGTTTATAGAAATCCTGGAGTGTTCTAACTACTTGCTTTGAGTCTGTCACTATAGTTTTGCTTCATAGATGTGTACTGTTCTACCCTGAATATACTTATACCCACGTGCAGCATCAAATATTTTGGTTTTATCATCTTTTGATTTAGTTACAATTCCATTTCACTTTTTCAATGAGTATTTCTCAACCCTGGATGGCTTGCATTGTGTGACCTATACTAATAAAATAATTTGTGATACTTAAGCCATGAAATATTTTAATCACGAGCATCTATTCATGCAATTGCCTGTAGTCATGCTTATTCTAAAACATAACAAATTTAGACTGAATGAATGTGCACTTATCATGCTTTTATTTTTCACTTTTGGAAAGGGACAAGTTTTTTACATTTGTAGTGCTCTAATTGTGTCTCAAAAATGACTTAAACAGTTTTTTCACATAAACACATGTTTGAGTAGAAAAACAAATGAAAATGGCACAAGAAATCCTGATTTGCATATTGCTGAATTTTTTTGATAGTGATCTTGAAAATATTGCATCATGGGTAAGATACACTTTATAAAACCAAAGTTAAACTGGATTGATATGCCCTAATACTCAAGTATATTTCATTTGTCTCCCATTAAAAGATCCTTGCCTTCATCTACAATGCATTTTTCTCATGAAAATACCCATCATGAAACTTGCTTCTGCATGAATGATCTGCAAACATGATGCATTTCTACTGAATGTGATTACTTTCATGACATATAGTAATTCGAGGCAATATTGTGGTCACCATGAGTAGCACGTAAACCCACATTGTCTTTCCTAAATCAGCTGATAGTACTGTATGTAATACTGATATTTCTATGCTGTATAAAGGGGGTCTGTGTCTGAGAGTTTTGCTTGTAATATATGTGTTATAATTGTACTTTTTTACAGATCTTATATATATAAACTCAGTTAACATCGTTGCCCCTAATGTGTCATACTGAGACAGATATACAAACAACTCTGAATTGTTGTGTATATATGTTCTTTGTGTAGAGTGAAAATTCTAGCTCTTACAACCCACCCCTAAATGTGCCTGTTTGTACCTATATAGAGATTGTATACCAGAGTGATGTCTTCCTCTTCTTAAATTGATTTGAAGTAGTTTCCTGTTCACCCATAGAAGATAATTTACTGGCATGCCACAGATATATTGTATGTATGCACATGCATATATGCGTGCACATATATACACACAAAGATGAAATAATGCCATGTTTTTTAGATATTATGTGCATACTCACATGCCTGCATACATGCAAATACACACACCATACTGGCAAATGATAGACCTAATATATAATTTAGCTTCAAATTGTCTCATGTAAAAACAAATTCACATTTAAGCCCTAGAAGCAGTTCCTAAATAAGCACCTTGCTCATTGTTTCCTTGCTGCTTTTTGCAATTTATTTTTTGCGAACAATAATTTCACATTTTCCTAAAATAAGTGCATCATCTTCAAAGTAATTTTTTTATAAAAAAATTTTATGCAGTCAATACACATTCCCAGGTTTTTTCCCTCTGGACAGCTTTAATTATGGAAAAGTTTGATTTTGCGTGCTCCATGAAATCATGGATTTTGGGAGTCACAACATAAATAAGTTATTTCTAGTATTTCTGTATGCTACAGGCAAGGATTATATGAATGCACTGCCTTCAGTCAAGCCCCTTTTTACTTCATTTCTCACTGAACATGAGAGAGGGCCATTTGTAACATAATGGATGATACCCATGACAAATAGCTTATCTCCACACCATTGTATTATGACATTTTCCATTTTACCACCAAGGCTTAGATTTAACACTTCAGATGAAATTAGTTATTTTTAAGAATGTTTTCTGTTCTAATATGGTAATATATTCCATGTTTTCTGGGTTTTTGTTACTGGAATTTAACTAAGGATAAAGTTTGCTCTCTTATAGTACTAAATGCTTTTTGCTCAGTATTGTCCCATTAGTTCAACTTGTGTCAACTTTTTTCTCCAGCAAGAAGAAGAGCAGCTTCAAAGAAGATGAAGAATATTAAAAGTGGAAAAGAGGTTGACCCAGATGCTGATTCTGAGAATGAAGATGATTTATTTAATGATATCAATATGGGTAAGTTACAATAATTATCTAGTTTTCTTTCCACTATTTGATAAGTAAGAGAAATTATCTGAATGAATAAACCCTGCCAAGCCATCTGAAAACAGTGGTATTCTCAGCATGTTGTTGTTTATTGCTGTGTATTGATTTTTCTAAACATTTGATGGTAACTCACTTAGATGACCAATATAGATTAAAAGATAATTTGAACAAATATTTTTTATGAGTGAAGTATAATCTAAAAATGTGTATTAAGTGTTTCAAAGTTGGAGGTATGTCCTCGCAGTCCTACAGTTCATTTATTAAAATGTTTATTTGCACTGAAATTGTAGACAATTTACTAAATTTTGCATAAGTATATAACCAATCAAAGGTTCATTGGGATTAAATATTAATATTAGACTGAGGGTTCATTGGACCAGAAGGTATTTTGTTTTTAAACATCTTCACTTGTTTTAACTGTTTTCATTTGCTGAAAATGATACAAAATTGACAGAATCTTACCCCCATTGCCATCCCCCAAATAAATAAACAAATATTTTAATGAAAAAAAAAATTAAAGTAATATAAAAAAGTTACTCAAAAACATACTGCTGTATGAGTAGCTGCACAGTTGGAAGAAATTGTTAATGTATAGGTTCATATTTTTCTGATGACTTGCTTCTAAAAGTTAAAACTGATCTACCTCTAAACCAGACACAAAAGGGTTCAGACCACTGAGTCTTTGGACCTTTGAATCAGATTCTGTAACCCAACAAACATTCAGACTGTAGAGCTCTTGGGCCTCTGACTACTCTCAGACCCCCAAATCACTGGAAATTTAGGCATGTAAACATGGATGCAACTCTTAAACCGAGGTGTGACTTGCTGTCTCCCTGTTGCTTGATATATTTTTGAAAAATAAATTGTCTTATTTTCTGTAAAAAGTAAATGCATATAAAACTGAAAAAAAGTACTGTACCCCATGCAAGGTTATTCCTGGCAGAAATCTGTAAAATTAACTGTAGTAGTTGATTTTTTTATTTTATTTATTATTATTATTATTTTGTTTTGTTTTTGTTACTTGAAAACTCCATTTTGATTCTCCATAAAAAAGAAAAAGAGAAAAAAATATCCACATTTACTGGTGCAGAAAATCCCAAATGAATTTAACATATTGGTCAGCAAAGCTTAATATAGTTTAAGCCAGATAATTTTGTGTAAGGCTGTGACTGGCAAAATGTAACCTGTTAATGTGTGATAAATAGCTTGATTTAGTTATGTTTTTCACACTGGATTTATATACATACTGTGCATCTCTGTGTTTCTGTCATAGTGATGGTCCCTGTGTTAAAAGGTAAGGTTGTTTTTGAAGTGGATCTCAATACAAGTTAACCCAGTTGATCATAAAACATCGGATGTGCCTAACTACCTCTGCAAATATCTGTATTATTAAGTGATCAGGCTTTAGTCTTCCTTCTGTTTCTAACAGGTCTGATAATGACATAGAAATGGAGGCATAATTACTCATTTTGCATTATTGGACTGTTCTTGATAGCCAGTTATTTTTTTCCCTGAAAACCCATTAGAGATTAGATTGCATTAGATATGAGACACATTCACCTCCTAGTGCTGTTCTTATAGTGAAAGCTGTTCATTGCAATCGAAATTCAGAGGACATTTGGTGCAAGAGGCACTTTGCTTATTTGAAAATAATACCATAAATAAGCCATAAAACCCAGATCAGATGTGAAATTTCTGACTTCTATGTTCTATGATTATGCTTTACTGTCTATATGATTATTGGTATTTAAGAAGATAGGGCTGTGCTTAATTGAATGGGTATGGTTTACTATGGAAGTTGGGATGGTATGTGAAAGGGGGAGGGGGGATGTCAGAGGTTTCCTGGTGAAAAACTTGTGCTAAGATCCACTCTATGTCAGTGAGATATGTGGTAGAAAGTCTGAACTTCAAACCAAACCTGTTTTTTGATGGATTGCAGTGTATTGATATTGAAATCTGTGATGACATTTTAGAAATAAATCACAAAATTTGTGTTATGCTTCCACGTTACTAGTGGTTGTAAAATCAGACCTGACAATTCAAAAATGCACTGACAATGCTGTCATTAGCTATGGGGTTATGCTTGAAGATTAGAAGTCAAAGCTTCTCCACGCCAACTTTTGCTTCAAGCCAGTTTCAGCATGGGAGAAGCACCCTGGGTTTCATAGCCTAAAACTGTCCTGTCTATAACAGGCATGTTTCTGAGAAAAGCTTGATGATGGAATATATATGTCATTGTCAATGCTTTGGAACTTGGGGTCGGTAGAAATTACAAACACATCATTTACAGTCTGCTTTACCAGTGTAAGCAGCTTGGTTATGATTTGCCCTCTCACAGCTGCTGGTCTACGATTTCCTCTCATTCATAAATCCCCTGTCTCTCGATACTTTTAAGCTGTACTGGCTACATAAGCACTGCAAATGTCTTTGTTTTGTACTTTGTTTAAGAATAATGCCCATTCTCTGGCACAAATGATTCTTATTCAAATTATATTGAATTCATTTTCACTATTTGTTTCTTTTGGGAGATTCTGAATTAGTTTTAAGCCCTTTCAAAATTCTTTCGTGAAATTAATAGTACAACCAACACAGATTAGCCTGATTGCTTAAACTGGTTTGGTAGTATTATATGTTTATTGTAAATTTCTTATCAAAAAGGTGAACCTGTGAATTAGGGATCATTCCCAATAAAATTCAGCACAATAAAATTGATTCAGCTCAGCACTTGCAATCAGATTAATGCCTCTTCTTGTTTCCAACTTTCTCATAAAATCACCAGCTTTTTTTTTTCATTTTAAGCTATAATATGTTTGGCCAAATTCAATTATTTTAAGCATTTGGAGTAGGTGTCTAACAGACAATCAGTTTGTGCCAGAGAGTGAACAAGGCTTTTCATTGTTATGGGTGCATTTACAATAAAACTATTGTACTAGGTAGTTCGAACTAACACCTCTGGGACTCTTGCTGAATGCAATCAGAATTATAGATAAACACGCCTCCTCCTGTCACTCAGTAGAATACAGAAAAGCTTGTAATTAAATGTGTATGTTGTTATCAAGAAGAGGCATGTTAAACTGATTGCATTCAGCGAGAGTCCCTGGAGAGTAAGTTCGAACTACCTATAGTAAATGCACCCTTGCAAACTATCCACAAATTACACCATCATCACTGGAGTAATTTATGCTTAATTGGCCAATGGCAGCAGTGCTTTCACTTCTAACAATCATCGTTAGCAATTACCAAAAGAAAAGAAACTAACTCTCTTAGTATTTATTTACCTCAAGTAATACATCTCGACAACTATTATTTGCATACTAAAAAGAAGATTGCTGGAAAGGGTAAAATGGGTTACAGGCCTTAGCATATCATTGTCAGGGTAAGGTGGGCAAATATGTGAGAAATAGATATGCAGCACTATTTATCTTCGCATGAAACAATGCAGAGTAATTTTATGCCTTTTGGTCAAGATTTTCATTGCATTTCCTGAATTTGATTATATGATGGGAAAACAATTTTATCGAGGTCATATAAACAATTTCTAATTGCATTTAGTTATCGAGATGTTGGCTTGATATGTATAACTCATTAATAACAGGCAGTGTTTTTTTGTCATACCATATGAAAAAGTAACATTAAAAAAATGGTTACCTTTTATAGTTAGAGCCAAGTCATGTAACCCCTCTCTGTTTAATTTATGTGGACAATAAAGCTAACAGTATTCCTAGATGGTCCAGTGATTTTAGTTTTGGAGTAAATAATGTTAGGTTACATATTGTTTCAACTTACTACTTATCATATATTGTATTTTGTGTAGAATTAAAATAGCAGTACTTTTATTATTGTAGCTAGTATAATAACCCAAAAGTTGGTAGTTCAGTAGGCATTTGATTCATGTACTGATCTGAAAATGTATTATTAACATAGCATTGAGATTATTGTTATTTTATGAAAGCAGTAGAACATTTTTTTACATTTCACAGTTCCAGTTGTAACTTGTTATGAATTGTATTGACTTAAGATTTAAGTACAAAACTACAAAGGCTGGTGAGATTGACACTAAGCCAAGGATAGATTTTTTCTGTGCAAAAATTATACACAGTAGAACACGTACAGCAATGCAAGACCATTGTTATAAGTTTCTTCGTGATAAAAATCTTCAATATTGAATAATTAATTATCTAAAATATTTTTAAATATTAAAATATAGTTGCTTGAAGTCTGAAGGAAAATGTGTTCAGTTATCACTCCAGGCCCACAGAGTTCTTTATTTTGGAGATGACATATGAAAAGATTTCACACCTTTCTAATTGGATTTAATAACATACAGGTCACTATTATGCATTTGTTACTAAAAGAGAGGGAAATGTTTTCATTTCTTCATAGAAGCAGTGTGTTTCAAGGGATATAATTGTTTTACTGCATAGTTTCAGCTGTATTTTGGGGTACTGATAGTATGTTCTTTCTTATTAAAGATAAGTATTAGTCAGTGAAGGGGGCATATGAATCACCTGGGAAAAACATGCAATGCCTATCATGATCATTATGCAAGAGCTTGTAGCTTTTGGCTTTCACACATATTAATTCAGAAATGGGATCCATTGGGTGATACAAAATGGAACATGTACATGTACCATGGTGAAGCTTTTGCACATTTTTTTTACCTGGACTTGGTAATTTTTCATCATTATCTATTTCTCTTAGGTGACGGCTTTTACTACTAAGGGTTGATGAATGTTCAAAAAAAAAATTGTTATAATTTTTCATCCAGTTCAATCAAGTGTGTTATGACTTTTTTTACTTCATCATGTGCAGGGCATGTGATTCAAGATAATCATTTTGTTTATAAAATTTTTAAAAAATTGTGCATTACAAGATCGTTTAAGTCTTTCTTAAATGTATCTTTATAGGGAACCCATTTAGTCCAAATGCATTTGGTTTAAAGCCTAGGAAAAGGAGGAACACCTGTCCTTGTTGGAGAACAGAGCGTAAATTTAGGTTAGTATTTAATGAAATACAAAAAAGCCTTTGCTTTTTGTCATTAATTTTACATTCTGAATATTTAAAAGCTTTTTGCTTTGTAATATAATATTTGAACTTTGATTGGCATTGACTAAGAAATATGAAAAATATTGCTAAGGGAGCACATCCGTAGTATATCACTTTTAATTTTAATTATCAATGTTAAATGGATGCTATGGAAGACATGTTTTTAATAGATTCAAATTTCTTTCAGATTTTTTATACGACATGCAGTGAAAAGCCAAGCATTTTACTGGGGAGTGATAGTTCTTGTTTTTCTTAATACTGTGTGTGTAGCAGTGGAACACTATGGTCAGCCAGCTTGGCTGGATGCCTTTTTATGTGAGTATTACAGAATCCTTTATATAACTTGGACAGTGGAAAATAGAAACCATTGCAAAACTGTGTGTGTGTGTGTGTGTGTGTGTGTGTGTGTGTGTGTGTGTGTGTGTTTGTGTGTGTTTTGGGGAGTCTGGCCAAACTTTGCATTCTTTGCATTGCATCCAAGCTATAAACATGTTCTCATGAGAAAGACAGCAAGAACATGCAAGTGATCCTTTTTACCTCTTTTTTATTTTTTCAACATGAATGGATTGAGTGAAACTGACTTAATTCAGCCAATCAGACACAGATTTGTCTATACTTATGGCAGATTTTCAACCAAAATTGTCAGGATTACTTCACATTTCTCTCCATACCATATACAACCCTGCTGATCAATAAGTTCATGGGTCAATGCATTCTGTGCCTTGTCTCTGACATATTGAAGCTATCTCCAGAGACAACACTGTTATAAGCTTTGTGCAATTTTCCATGGAGAATATGTTAAACCCATACAGAAAGCAATATTGCAAATAACAATTTCATGATGAACTGTTGTATGGAGATATTCCATGGTTGACATCATATGAAGTCATATTTCCCCGAACAAATGTTGTTTGACATTTAAAGTGACTAAGTTTCTTTAAATCAGCATCCTTTTGAATATGATTGTATAAGCCCTGCAATATTATCATAAGAAATCAATGATTCAAAGTTTTGGACATAAATTAAATGAAAAATTTTGCTTAACACTGTGCATTAAAAAGCATATTGGGTGGTGAGACATTTTACCAGATGACTTGTGTAACCGGAAGCAGACCTACATTTTGCAGACTTGGTTTATGAAATGGGATTACGTAATGTGTTATCTCCAAACTTTGTATTAAAATTAGAGTAAGTAACATCTTCATTTTTGATTTTGATATTTTCAGATGGAGCAGAGTATGCCTTCCTTGGTTGCTTTTGTTTGGAAATGTTTATCAAGCTATATGGACTAGGCTTCAGGATGTATTTCAAGTCTTCTTTCAACATTTTTGACTGTGTGGTAAGGCCAACTGCCATGTGATTTAGTAGCACATTAAGATAGTTTAAAAACATTTTGTTCGTATAGAACGTATAGAATTATTTTTAAGTATGCAAAACTGCATGTTAAAATAGACAGCTGTTTTTTTTTTTAATTTTGTGAACAGCATTAACATGATATCCTGCCAACTTTTTTTATTATGATACAAAATATAAGTATAATAAATGAAAGTAGTGTAGCATACTTTAGGAGTAAATAGACATTATTTATAATTGATAACTTTTCAGGTAATTGTTGGAAGTATTTTTGAAGTGATCTACACACAGTTTACCAAGGACTCATTTGGCTTTAGTGTACTCCGAGCATTGAGATTACTAAGGATATTTAAAGTCACACGGTATGTGTTTCATTTTTAATGATGTGAATTAAAGTAGGAAAAGTGGGTAGTGCTCATCATTAGAACATTTTTATTCAATTTATATTGGTGGACATTCAATAAAATGCTATTTACTTGCCTAATATATGTAAAAGTTTAATTTAAGATTTTTTGTCCTTCATCATTTTTATCATTATTGAAGAATATCCATAATTAGGCCTAGGGTCCCTCACTTTTCTTTTCCTGTTCTGGAAATGTATTCAACCACATAAAATTGTATACCTGTTTTAAGTTTGCATTCAATTAAAAAGCAAAATGATTGAATATCAATTTTGTTTTCAAATGTTAAATAATTTACAACGTGTGTTCCAGATATTGGTCCTCCTTGCGAAACTTGGTGATATCTTTACTCAGCAGTATGCGTTCCATTGTCAGTCTGCTGTTCCTGCTCTTCTTGTTCATTGTCATCTTTGCCTTACTGGGGATGCAGCTCTTTGGAGGAGAGTAAGTATTTAGCTAGGGGTTGGCTGTGGGAGATGATGGAAGGAGGATAAGGGGGCAACCTTTGACATATATATAGATAATCTATATTCTGTAGAATCAATTTTAAGTTTTTTTGAAAAAGAATCGATTCAAAGTTGTTGAAATGTAACTTACCAACTTGCCTCCTTGCTATTTTTAATAAAAAGTGGGGGAAAGGGCATTGAATACTTTGGAAATGTATTTAATAATGAAAATGATGTTGCAGTCACTTTTTGAGGTAAGATTAGTCATTATGGGTTATTTTCTGACCAGAAGTGAAACAGGGTATCTGATATACATATAAGTTACATAACTGTCATTTATTTCAGAAGTTTTACACACATATATTTTTATTATTGCAAAAGTGTAGTAAATGATTAATACATCTTGATGTGGTGATATAATCTTTTAAAGATGAACAGTGTTAAAAAGGTAATATAATATATATTTTGATAAAATTTCATGGATAATCTATTATAAGTAAAATTGAAAAGTAAACATGCATATTTACCTGTCAAAGGTGAGTTAATTTACATATTTCTTTGGCTGATCCTTTGATTGACATATTTGAGGAACAGAAAATTACGTAGGTGTTCATAACTAAAATGATTGTAAATTGTTCCTAGAAAAACATCTTGTCATGAATTCAAGGGCAACTTTTTAAGTCTTGCCAGTTCAAGAGAATCTAACTATCAAACCAGAAATCTTCAGCTATAATATCTTATTATTTATGAATATGGAAAGCCTCCCTGTTTGTTATGTTCCTCAGATATGCAAAGAAAAAGGAAAACGCTTCAGGGTCAGTTAGTAAAGGATAATACTTCAGTTGGAGACATTGCCTGTAGCTGTAACATTTGACCAACTAGGTATAACATTTTCACCTTGGTATGAGGGTTTTACACCTTGGCTCCAATTTGTGATATACCAACACAGAAGATATAGGGAATATATTTTAAAAATATGTTTTTGAAAACCTCTCATGAAAAATTATTATATTGAGGCTTGGTTGTTAAAGTACCAAAGATAAATAACAAAGTTTGTATATTAATTTGTAAACATATATATAGAAGTTTATCTTCTGAGTTGGATGTATTACATTATAAAACTGCATACATTAATATTCCATCATTTCTGCTATTTTTCCGCCTGTAGAATGAACTTCGAGGAAGGACGGCCTCCAATGCACTTTGATACTTTTTTCATGGCAGTTATGTCCGTGTTCCAGGTAGAGATAGTTGCCTCGCACATTGCACCTCATATCTTCCATATATAGAAGTGATTTAGTTCCAGTTAGTACCATATATGGTGACAATGACCATACTTGAAAATGGCATTGAAACCACATGTGCAAAACCTAATATAAGCCACCAACAGGTTTTCCTTAAATGAGAAGCATTTTATGTAACTTGTCTTTTTGAAACCATTATGACATATAAAGAAATGTTAATTAATATCCGCAAATTACATTTTCAAGTCGTTTAAAATGTCAAAAGGCCTCCAGCAAAGAAATTTTTGTCAATTGCTATTATATTTGAAAAACTAAATGTTTGAAACACCTTTTATCTTGACTGAAAAAGAATTGTTTTAAATTTGTGATATTTTTGTAAAAAATTTAGTATCATTGTCATATTTGATAAACAAAAAGATACAGACTTGACATACAAAACTGCTTCTTGTTATAATTAGTTTTAGAATGCACTAATTTTGGGATATGATGAAGCAGATATTTTGGTATCAACTAATTCAAACAAAATTGAACATATCATTCTCAACTAATTTTGTCACAAATCTTATTTAAAATTGTTTGGAATAAAAAAGTCTGAAATATCCAAAATGCTGCTTGGTCATATTTTTGTGGTGGAAGTGTGATGGGTCACTAATATGATATTTCTTTCTTAGTTCAGTTTTATTTATAGTTTTGTTTAAAATTCAGGGTGTCTCTCGGTTTGCGTGCCTCCGTTTGGTTTTGATATGTTGGTGATGTTTTTAACTACCATTATTGTCAATATTGTTATCTTTTTTCATTTTTATTTATCTTTCGTCCTGCAGATGGAATGATCTTCCAGACGGCCGGCCTCAACTTAATTTTGATACTTTCCCCATTGCCTTGTTGACAGTATTTCAGGTACACATCTGATGAAATTTGACAGGAACTAAATTGTAACATAATTATGCCTTTATGAAACAAAGTCAAGGTCATGTGGGAGATGGTGTTATTTGTAAAAGTGTTTTATTTTCACAGTTTATGATACATAAAACCAAATTTTTTTGTATTGAAAATAGTTCTCACCCTTCCAACATACTTACAAATTTGAAAATGTATGGCAAACTAGATTAAGGTTTTTCTTATAGCCATTCTATACAAAACAGAAATATGCACAAAAGAAGTAAAAATAAATGTGCACCATGCTCTTAGGTTCCAATCCTAAATCAAAGATTTAGCTGTTTTGATTAAATATTTTTGCTACTACAGAAGAATAGATATATGTCAATATCACTCCACTGTGTCCACGGGCCTTTTTCACATGAAGTATTTTCTGGGTGATACAGTTGTAAAGGTTACCATATGTTTTGAGAAATTGAGAACTAAATTTATAAAAACATTGGTTATTACATAAAATTCACCTAAATAGAGCCACTTTTCACTGCAAATTACAGCAGGTAGCAAACTCGTATAGAATTTGTGAAAGGGAGTAAAGTCCCCTGTAATGTAAATGCATGGTAAACCTCTCAAATTGTACTTAAACAGCTGTATTACGAAGACATAATGCTAGATGTGAAAAGGCTTTTGTTTAAACATCTGTGTTTAGATTTTTAACTATAGAAATTGAATATCATTGTATAATCTAGTATGAACAGTAAGTAAATTCTGGTGAAAGGCAACTTGAACAAATTCAAACATGATAAAACAACAGCACTGAATATAAAGTACTGGATACACTTGCTGTAAAATGGAAAAAACATTTTTTTTGGCCTTTTGGCTATATATTTGATTAAATTAATTTGGTTTAGGATCATTCTGAATGAGCATGGTTCATGATCAAAATGCCCCCCCCCCTCATCCAAGACACCATCTTCCATCTTGATCTTAACACCTCAGTGGGTAAAAACTACTGTTACCATGGAAAACATACAATCGATGTCCAACGATGTGTGTCTGCATTGCTTATCCTCAGTGTACCACTGTAGTAACAAATTTAACTTGTTTCTGTTCCCCTCTCAGTTTCCATAAAAACCAATACATATATGTGCCCTTCATGTCTACTGGTTACTTTAGTCTTTTGTTATTAATTATTACTGTTACAGAAAAACATGAATACAGTTATCGATGTGAAAATTTTGGAGCGTCATGGTCACTTACATCTGCTCTTGAAATACTATAGCTATCTGACTATGACGTCAAAGGACTCATTTCACAAAAGAACTCAATAATTTCACCATTCAGAGAGTGAAACTATAATTTATGCATGGAATATAATTATTTTGGTAAAATTCACTTCTCACTTATCATACAGTCATATATTTCTTAGAAGACTAAAAGGTTTAGCCTTTGAAGGTTAGACAGACTTTTGTCTTGTAGTTCTTTTGTGAAGTAGTTCCTGTTTCTGTACTCCAAAGGCATGCAGCCTTTTGACCTTAATGGCAAAATCTTTTGTTCTATTTGATGGTGTAGTGAAGGACTGATTGAGACCTGATGATTTTTGGCCCCGACTTGGGCCTTACTGGCCCTTTCTCAAATCCCTTGTTATTTATATTCATGTCTGCTTTGTAAATATGTCATACTTTGTAAAATTTTTTTTTTTTTTTTTTTTTTGCCATGGTAATTTACTTCTCCTCATCCAAGTGTCCTTATGTTTTCAATTGGAAACAGGAATTTCTCATCTGAAAAGCTTTGTCATTCAGTTTCTATCAGCTGGTGTGTAATTATTGATTTTTATCCAAAATCCCTGTTTATAGTTGGTTTCATAGTTTCACATTAGATTGGCATAAGATTGGGAATAACTGCTGGCATGTGTCTGATGATAGTTTATATAGAGTGAAGTACTCTTGGGAATTGTATAATATCAGGCTTCAATTCACTGATTTGAGAGAAATGAATTTATGGACAAATCAATAGATGTATGGCCCAAATGATTCCCTGTACTTTTTTTTTAATAACCAGGAAGAGGATGCATGCAGCCTTTCTGCATTGTATATAAGAATGGCCATATTCATGTGCACACTGTTTTCATTCAATCAGCCTTATGGGTTGGCTTTAATTTGGATAATTTCCAACAGGCCGAGCATAATGAAACAGGTAGATCTCCCATGTATCAAAATATACATCTGGTTATTAGCTCATTGGGTAAATATACATTTTTTTTTACCCTCCTGGCTTGCAGAGAAGAGACATTTTCTTTACTGTTTATGTTATATGTTCATCCTTTTTACCAATATCAGTTTCTGCAAATGCTTCATTGTTTTTGTTATTTTTGCATGATTGTATGTCAGTCTCTGAATATATACACATAAATGTGCTGGCATTATGTTGGATGCAGACACTAGTGCATGTTTTATGAAGATTGTTCACTGGATGATTATGTAGACTAGTTATAAACTGGGATTGCTTGGACAGTTTGTTTCTATTTTTATAGAATTCAATAATAATAAATTTAAAAAATATATATGTCAATTTAATATTTTAAGTGTGTTTTTTTGGATTCATTGAGAACTTGTATTTGAATGTTGTTTGTATATTAAACAATCATCAAACGAGGCAATTCACTTATTAATGATAATATATGTACACTGTATGTTTTTGATTTTTATTTGGAATATTTATCCTTAATGGCAGTACTTGTAGTGGTAAGATATTATTTCTTTCAGATCCTCACTGGAGAGGACTGGAATGTGTTGATGTACAATGGAATCGTCTCCAGAGGTGGAGTCAAAGGGGGTGGCTTATGGTACTGCTCATATTTCATTGTTTTGGTGCTATTTGGTAACTGTATCCTTACTTGCTCAATGGTGAAATAGTTTCAGATATCAAATATTCATTCTAGTACCTGTAAATGACAAAAATTATTATTTTTGAGAATATGTATAATATTCACTAAGATAAATTTATCAGAATATTAGTTTTATATTTTGTGCTCTTGTCCTCTTTCCTTAACTGAATCCTTCAGATACTCTATTAAATGTCTTCTTGGCTATCGCCGTTGACAACCTGGCAAATGCTCAAGAGCTCACAGCTGCTGAGGAGGAGGAAGAAGATGAAGGAGCAAAGGTATGTAATGGATCCCTCTGCTAGGTTAAAAGTTTTCTAGTGATCAAAATATTAAGAAACCCTAGGCATTCAAATATTGTTATAGTAACAGGAAATTTGAGTATATACTTCATCAATTTTTCAAGCTAAGAAAAATTCTATCCCAAAAGTCAGCTGAGGTGTGTCTCTGATTTTGGAACCAAATACTTTTAGAAACCTAGTACATATATATTGTAATATTTTAAGAGACTGTCACCTCAATAATTTGAAACAAAAAATTGCCACCTAGAATAGATGATAGAAAGTATTTGTGTATATTTACATGGTTTAGAGTGCAATCCAATGTTTAACCAAGCTTTTATATGAAGCAGTTCTAGAGTTAGAGCAAGCTTTTGATATTGTTTAGCAAATGAATGATATGTGATATGTGCTTTTGGTCAATTTAGGTGGACGTACCCATGCATGTATACAGATATATATTCCGTATATATATATATATATATATATACCCAGCTAATGTTAAATTTAGAGTAGAATTTAACCAAATGCATGGTCTATATTTTCTAGAAATTCTGGGTGTACTTCTCTTCTCTTTGAAACCTCTTAAAATTAACAAAACATACCACTTTTTGATAACTGATAATTTCTAGTGTGCTTGCAGCTTTAGGATTTAAAACAGAAAACTCAGTGCAACGATTCATTTTGCCTAAAAGATAAGATATTAACTTAAAATATGGGACCATTTAGCAGAAGAACAGCAACTGACGCAGGTGATTCTTTTGTCTTGTCTTGTCACATGACCAACAAGTGCTACTTGTTGGCGTTAAATGCTGTGTGGTCTTGTTCTTTCTAGCGTCGAGAAGAAGTAAAGAAGCAGATGGCTGGAGAGTTCGGCAATGCCGATCAGAAGGTGCAGAAATGATTGCATCATTGAGTGTTGTGTGTTCACTGTAGACAGTGAGGATTGGTGGGAGAAGACCAGAAACATTTTAAATGGGGGGAAATTGAAGGGGGGTTTATATATCTTTGAATTTGACTTATGTTCAGAATTGTAAAACAAGCCCTCTCTTCTATGCACCTTATCCAAGTTTTAACTGCAGTCAAGTGGGGTTAATTTAAATGGGATTGTCATCATCTCACTATAGTTAGCCAAGCCTACTACTTATTTTGGCTACAGTTCCAGTATTTTGGTGATGAGTGGAGATCAGAGGGACTTACTTTGTTCCAAATAGTGAGTTCGAGTCATAATCAAATTGCCTACTGAAATGAATTTGAGTTAGGCCTGCACAACCTTTCTGGAAACACAACTTTGATGTACTGTTGGGGTCAGGTTGTTGCTCTGCAACAAACCTTGTTCTCTTTTGCAGGCATTAAGTTGCATACCAAATCCATATTGGCTGCCGCTAACCAGTTTTGGTTAAAGTTCATGAAGATCAACAAGCCACTTTCTGCATTTATCAAACATCAGTTAATTTGCTGTTCGAGATTTTTTTTGCCAAAACTGGGTCTTCTCCCGCCGTCCATGTGCTGTTAAGTTCTATGTGTGTGTTGTAGTGGTCTCCTGTGTGACACATTGATTTCAGTTTCTCTGTCATTTCTTCCTCTTTTTCAGAGATTCATTTCACATTGATTTAAACTGCTCTCTACTATAGGCTAAGCAACATCACATTATAGTACACCTGAATTTAACTTTTAAGTGTCATTTGAAGGCTGACACTATCTCTTAAATTTGTTTTTTTAATTTTCAATATTGGAAGTATCAAAAATTGTGGAAGTGGAAAATAAATTGCCCACATTTAAGTAGTTGGGTCAAGATATGTTATAATTATTTGAACGCAATTAGATTTTCTTTGAAAAACCTATGATCATAACATTTTGGATTATAAACCAGATCAAGGCTACAAAATCACAAAGTCATTGTAACTACAAAAGTCATACCATTTTAGACTAGCCATGCAAGATTCAGTTGTACACTTCCTCAGCTTCTTTATTAAGAGCAGCAAAGGACAATTTTTGCCTGCATTGCTAGGTACTTTGATCTTGATTAACTAATTTGTAGTGTCTTTATCATCTTTGAACTAATTCAACATTTTCATTTATTTTAGGTCTTTTTATTTAAAGATTTAAAATATGAAATTCTGACTGATATAATAATAATCACTATTTAATATCTTGTTTCCTATAATTTCTATTTATAAACATTCTAATTATAAGATGTACCTGTTTTGTAATTAGCATGATATGTAGTTGTGTGTGGCATGGAGTTCAATGGTCAAACTAGCATATAATAAATGTTTTAACAAAATAAGCATTTCCCATCAATTCCATGGCAAATTGGTAAAGAATTATCAAATAAGATTCTTTTAAGTCAAACCTGGGGCTAATATGTGCTTATGTAGCACTTGGTGAAAAGTCTTTATGCTAGTCTGATCCTAGAGGCTTTATTAAGTGTTGTGCCACTTAGTATTGTGCAGCATGATGTAGTACATGTTGTAATATAGTTGACTTACTTAGTAGGCTTATACTCTAACAGCAGTGTAGATTGGGCTTCATTCAAACTGGATCTTATGTCCATCTTCCACTTGTTAAAGAGCATTCTACCTATTAACATGTCAGAAGACACCTTGACAATTTCAAGGTAATCTTCAATGTAATCAAGATTGTGACTGATCACATTGAGGACTATTAACCAGTAATAATTTTATAATTTTTAAAGAGCAAGTTAACTGCTTAGTTTGGTCTTATGGATGTCGTGTTCAATGTAGTATGTGTTATTTTTTATTTGGGATAACATACAACCTTCAAATTTCAAACTCCTATACTTATGACTTTTTGGAACTCGTATACAGTTTTCAAAATGAAAAAATATTTTATGAAATGAAATTAACTGAGTATTTTAAGAGTTTTATTTTTCAAAAAGGGTGAATCATATTTGTCTGTATGCATTCAATTGTTATTACTTTCAGGTATCAGCACTTTCCTTGATTACAGTGTTGTATTGTGTACATTTTTATAGTAGTGCCCCCAAATTAGATGACTGCACAGCTGCTTTATGTTGATAAATATACTAACAGTTACATAATGAACAAATGCTTATTAGAGAAATATGTCTACCTAGTCATTCCTTTTCTTAGCTGTTAGTTTTTATAGATTAGAACTTAGTGCACCTTGTTACATTGTGTATATAGATATAAGATCACTGTGCTGGTCTTTAATACAAAACTTGGAAATAATGTTTAATTTGCCTGTATTTACCTCACTGCATTGCTGACCAAAATTAGAAAAAAAAATAACGATGTTGATATATGACAGTTAAATGTATTTTTCCTGTGGGGGGATTTTTTTTTAATTTAATATTGACTGAATTTTATAACCATTTAGTCAGTTGAAATCATGAATGTTTTTGTGTTCAATTTGTCCAGTGTTAGCTTTTGGATCAGATATCAGTTTTCAAAACCTGTGTACTGTGTAAAATTATCAAAAGTTGCAGGACATTTCATTTCAGTGGATACATGCTTCTGTTCCTCTTGGTCAATTACGTATAAAACATTATCAGGAATGATCCTTCAAAGATCATGTTTCACATATATAGTCATCATTGACAGCTCTACAAACAGGATGTTTATGCTGGTTATTCATATTTGTAAAACAATACACAGTGAGCATTTTTTTTACATATTGTTTATTGTCTTGGTTACTTTCAGGGGATATATGAGGGAAATTACTTTGACCTACAGGTACACTAATACTGGATTCCCATAAACCTTTTGTACTAGCAGGATTGATCTAACTCCAAGGGGATTCTGGCTAAATTGCAATCAGTTGAAGTGTCTTAAATGTCTGTCACACCCACTGATCTACTAGGGGGAGTAATTAACTTTCATGCACGCTTAAACTGAATGCAATTTAGCAAGAATCCCTTCAGATATAGATCAATCTTCCTAGTATGATGGGGTTATGGGAATGATCCCTAATCCGTTGTCTGGCCATCCCATCTGTTATCTTAGCCATGATATATATATATACATGTTCTTTCAACATCTGTACTGACATAGTTTATGTAATCTATGTAATTCTGTAGCCACTTTCAGACCAATTTTAAACTGAACTGTTTTTAGGTATAATATTTGATAGCTACCGCAATGCAATTGATTCAGCAGGATTCCAATGTCAGACACCTGAGTTTTAGAGTATTTCTTTCTTTATTTATTATTATTATTTTTTTTGGGGGGGGGGGGGATGCACCTCCATAATCAACATGCCTCTGCTGATTCCATTGAAATGAATGACTGGAAATGGCTTTGGCATGTTGCTTCTCAAGTTGAGTTTCCAATAAAGCTTGAATTCCTGGGTGACATAAGGAAGCTCAGCAAAGATTACATACCTCATTGGCCTCAGACTTGATGGATTATTTTGTTGACTTCTGGTGACTTCTACCTACAACCAGTATAGCTTTAAAATTGGTCTGAACATAATTGTATAGTTTATAAAAGCTGATTAGAATGAAATCCAGATGTAATCTGATTCAGTAGTTCCTGTCTTGTTTTTGTTTAGAGTAACATTTAAAGATGTATGCTTAACACCAACACGTAGCATACACAGTGTTGAAGTCACAAATATAGGAGTCATTACTTCAATACATGTAGATCCATAAATGTATTAGGATGTATATGCAAACATATAGGCAAGAAAAGAATCCCAAGAAGGTAAAAAATCTATACTGATGGCTTGTTAAGAAAACCAAGCATTGAGTTATGTGCCTTTAGGGATTATTGGACCCATTTTCTTCTCTTTTGAAATCAATTGTTATTTAAAGTTACATAATTTTTGTTCATGTTTGAAGTGTTTTCCGAAATTGATTGCTGATTGATGCCAATGTGTTTGCATATTCAAATGTGATGTCATTTTAATATTTCTTGACAAAAAACACCGATTAATGACATGGAATTTTTCATGTCATTAGTAATATTTCCAGAAAAACACAAAAACAAATTGTTTCATTATTATGTGATGTACTTCTGAATCTTTATAGTTATTTTAAATGACACCACAGTTGAACTGTCCCACTTGAAATGAATTTAAATCAAGCAACTTTCCTGTCAAGTGAGTTTGAGCTGATATCATTGTTTATATGTTAACATAAGGACTATATGTAATTATTGCCGTGTTGCCAGGTAATTTGTGACAGCTTTAGTGAGCAAGTACTGTCTTGACAGACCTTGTTCAGAATGAGTTATGTTGACCTACTGGTAGTTTCCTGGAACTCCACAGGGACTCTTGCTGAATGCAATCAGATGAACGGACTAATATGCATCTTTCTCACTAGAATCTAGAAGCTAGAATCCCCATGGAGTTGGGTCGCACTAGCTAGGTTGACCGAACTTATTCTGAGCAGCCCTCAAGATGATGTTTTCTATTCAACACACTACAAGACCATTCCCACAGATATTTAGATCGATCTATCCCTCTGGGGAGTCTCACTAAATTGCTGTCAACTTGGCTGGCTTAAATGTCTGTCTCACCTAGTAAAGCTGTTAGGGGGTAATTATCTTTATCCCATAGCTGATTCAGTAGGCGTGACGAAACCTCTTGAGCTTACAGCAATTTAGCCTGAACCCCCAGGGAGTTAGGTCAATCCAGATGGATTGATCTAAATTTGTGGGAATGCAGTCTATGAGGGATTACATTGAGTACCTTTTGTAAGAAATTCCTTATTGCATGGTCTGTTAAGATAGCACACTCTAAGGTAAACTTTCACTGTTGGACTAGTTAACTCACTGTATTAGTAGCAACGTAGTTTCTCTGATATGTAGGCTTTGCTTTCACTAGCCGTAGAACCACCAGTGTAATCTCACCCATGCAGCTCTTGTAGACCTTCAGTGAACTCATAGTTTATATCAAAATTGTCAAGTGTAAAGGCCTGTGCAGAACCAAGTTGATCTGCGAACTAACTGATCCGCTGACTGACTGATCCTCAGATCAAATATGACAGCCCCACTTGAAAGCTTGCCACGTAATCCCCAGGAGAATCCATTACGTGGAATGCTTTCATGTGGGTCGTCCATATTTGATCCACATATCAGTTGTTCTATGGATCAACTTGGCTCTGAACAGGCCCTGTATCTCTTGATCTTACCCTTTCCAAAGCTATGAAAGTGATTCCTTTGCTCAGCATTTGTAACTGTTGCTGTTATTTTATAGGATACTGGTTGATCAATTAAACTGTAGTTATATGTAAACAGTTCTAGTTGTTCAGAAATGACAAGATAATCTCAGCATTAATTAAGTTTTAGAATATGGCTACATATACACACACACCCTACTATACGTTTAAAGAGAAGATTACCGATTATTACTGATTGAACAAATGTCTTTATTCTACCAGGGACCCATTTCACAAAATTAATTTAAAGATGTAGGGTCAAAAACCGGACCCAAGTTTAAACTTATAGATTTCTTATCTGTTGTATACTGTAATTTGCTCTGAGAGTTACCAGTGCTTGTCCATATGAATATGATGTTGGAAAAAAAGTAAAAGGGTCTGTTTTAAACAGTCAGTCTCTTAATTCTATTGGTCTTTTAATTCATTACTCCCTGGTCTTAAAGATTAATTTCAACTTTTGACAATGAATCTATTGTGATGCTGGTCCAAGGGGGTCCATTTCACAAAGATAACAAAATACAAAATCCTGCAGTCTCAGCTAAATGCACTAAGAATATTTACGCAGACTACGATCCATTTCAGTAAGAATTAAAGGAACTTTAACATCATTTTTGTCATCTTTAAAATTAAATTAAAATTAAATTAACCAGTGGTGAGTTGTATATTTTATTTTTGTATATCAGCTCCAGTTACATATATTGTGGCCCAGTTGGTCTTAGACAGTTTTGGCTTATTTGACTTCAAGAAGATGGCTCTCCAAGTTCAGTTGAGCCAAAAAAAAAAAAAAAAAAATTGATAAATGAGAACTAAGTGAAATGGGGCCCATATAGTAAACCTTCCTCTTGACTAACTAAAGCAGCTACAACTAAAATGCTACTTCTTATTACGTATTGATATTGTTTATCATATTTTGAAAGTAAGTGTGGTTTAAAGTAAATGCATAGACTAAGCCAGATAGGTGTAGCATATGCAGCAGTGCTTTACAGTTAATAGTTAACCCTTTACCTTCCAGTCTTATGCTTGGCATATAAGGCCTAATTGTAAACGGATGTAGTTTGTTTAAAAAATGTATCTTTTCATTTAATGTTTGCATCCAAATCTTCGTTTACAAGAAGCATCAACAATATAACAGTTCTCAAAAAGACAAGGTCTAGTCATACAGGCCTAATGAACATGTAAAGTAATAGCTATTTGTCATCTTGAGTTAAACATATGTGATCGTGAACATAGAACTAATGAGTTGAGCTGCTGTTTCATGGTGCAAACACAAAAATACTTGTTGTGAGCGTCCCATTATGGAGCACAGACATTTTGGTCAACTTTCATCTGGGTCTCTCACTGTTAACATAAGAACTCCTTTTCTATTTTCAGTTTGGCATAAACTGTCCATCATAGATTCCAAGTCAAAAAAGTGACATTTTCTCCTCTTGCCTTAAAATAGCTTTATCAATAGAGAAAATAACAAAAAGCCTCAAAACAAATCAAACTTAATCTAATTGCATTTCTATAATCTTTTATTCATATTGTGTATTAATACAGGGGTAATGCACTTGAAATTTGTGCTGTGAAATTGCAGTTTGAGTCGTTAATTCAACATGTGCGATCATAAATCCATGGCGCTAGATCACAAACAGCTATTTGATTTATAATACCTATTATGGTATAAGGCAAGGAACACAATTGTGATGTACTTACATGGTTGATGCTATTTACAGACATTTTCAATTAGTTTAACATGGTGTTTTGGAACATAATAACATAAAACTTAAAATTTGATTGAAAATTAAGGAAAAGCTTTGTTGGGGATTCATACTGAAATTAAGTACCATAGAAATCTGGAAAAGAAATTTGCCCAGGTATGTATTTAAGGGGTGTATTTTCTCATCAATAACTGTACATTTTGTGATTTTTAGATGCGTAGAGAGGACCTGGACAAGACTGGGATGGGTATGGGGAACATGCAGATGGACAAGTTCAGAGTGCCGGCTGTGGGCATTGAACCTCCCCAGGTGAACATATGTCCACCTTCCCCACCCAATAACCAGGATCCAAAACAACCAAAAGGAGGGGGTGCATTCAACTTGTAAGTTGGCTTGCTAAAGATTGTCCGCTTATTGTATAATTGTTAGCTTTCATACAAAATTTTTTTTATTCCTTCTCAGTATTTAAGTGTACTGAAAGGTAATGCTAGGTCAGTAAGCCAAAGTAGGAGGACTGCAATGATTGGATTGATCGTTTCAGTAAGAGGGAAGATTATCTTTACAATGAACTTGGTTTATGCAGCTGATAACATCATGCTGTACATCACCTCAAAAAAAAAAATGTTGATATTGTCTTGATAGTCCCATGTCTGAAGTCTAGTGGTTGTGGGATAATGTACATTGTTAATTTGTTTGCCATCCCCAAGGACATGCCAATGTTGATATTATTATTATTATTATATTATTATTATTAAGGTTCACATGTCCAACATATCCTCTGTATCATATACTGTTGCATGAGGTTGCTACGGGTAACCATGGTTACGCTGTCCTCTGTGAGACTTGCTGACTGTCAGCCGCTAAACACTGCTATATTGGCAAATGGAAACTGGTTCCCTAGTTATGCTGTTTTGAATGCTGCTGGGTTAAATATCAGTTTGATACTAAAATGCTGTTGTCAAATGGACATTCATATTCCTTGCATTCTGTTTGAGCACATTATTAAAATAACTTATTTTGAAAATTGATATTCCAATTGGAACATGGAATTTTTTGTATGTAAATATTACTTTGCCTTGAAGGACAAAAAGAGAATAATATTGCAATATCTCCCTTTATTGGAATTTATTTACTTATATAATGCCAGGGGGAGCCAGACATTTAACGATGAGTGGTATTTATCTACGTTATGGCAGCAGCAGCTTTCAGTGTAGGAAAATTATGAGCTGCATCAATATGAACACTGCAAAGCTGTTTGGGTACGGGAACATGGGATAATGTCTTAATTACCTTGCCATTTTGATGCTCTGTTGCCAGTGGCAGAAAAAGGACTGCATGTAAATTAATCATTATGACTGGACATTTCACTTTCATTCAGGTACCTGATGCTTATTTCTTATCAAACATATATCATGCTTTGGACATTTTATGATATTACCCTTACCCAGAATGCATTGCATCTGTATTTTGTTGTTGTTGAGGCTCATTATGTATTGAAATATTCATGTGTCAATTCGCCCATGTCATGTCATGGATGCTGTATTGTGATTGGTCAAAATGCTCCACTTGGTGTGTCACTAGTGTTTTAGGTCGCTGTTACATTCAGTGACAAAAAACATAATTGATGCTCAACTATTCTCCATCTTCCTCAGTGATAAAACAACATTTGAAAGAATAATGGAGGATGATGAATAGTATGGAGATTGTTGTTTGGAGCCAAGGGCATGGGGAGCAGAAATACCTGAAAATTTTGAAGTTCATTCAGGCTTTGTAAAATTATGTAGCAGCTGTTTTTTTTGTGTTTTTAGTCACAAATAATTAGATAAACTATAATGAAATGGAATACAGTCTCCAACAAAATTACCATGTGATAGTACACTTCTGATAAGATTGATCCACAACAAATGATTTCTTTTCATTTTATTTATTTATTTGAAAATATAATAATTGTTCTTATAAATCACTGGGAATTTTTGATTTGAGGTGGGGGTCAACATAAAGAAATGCTGGTGCAGAGAGCTCCCCATACTGAACATCTGCACCATGTCTTTGGCTCTGATATTCCAATGTGCTGTTTTTATTGTCTTCAAGTTTATGATGACAAGTTCTGCATGCGTCTCGTTGCAGCTACAATAATGAGATTGTGTTGAAGATCATGGCGGACGATTACAACCGAGATCGGTAGCACTATCTGCGTCTTTTACACCTATTTAATCCAAATAGTACAGAGCACAAATGAACACATACAAAAACTGTTTGCTGTGAAATTGGATTTAGTATGAATTGCAAATTTTGACATTTTTGAAGAAATCCTTCTATTGATTTATTTTATAATGAATTACTTTATTTCTGATGGTAAATAAAGCATGGAGTCAATATAAAAATAGTTTAGATTACATATTTCCATTATCTTAAGCTTATATCTTTGCCTCTACGTTTTTTTTTTTTCAACATCTCAAATTAAATACATTTTCTGTGATTTTACTAGAGAAGTACCAAATCTACCAAAATGCAGGAAACGTTTTAAATGTCTTCCTTTCTGCCCTGTACTGGCCTGAGTCTGTGTGATAATATGACAGCCAGGTACTGCTGGATCTGACTTCATACTTGCCATTGTGCCTTTCTGACCCATTTTTTAAAACACTTATTCTGGTTCTAGGGGAGAGATAGTATGGATTAATGTAATATTGCGAGAGCAAATTTTATATATTTAGATATTTTAAAATAAAGTATTATATCATTTGGATCATTTTAAATAAATTAAGTATAAATTAAAATTCTATGGATGTAAGGCAAGCGATTCCTTAGATGCAAATTCAAATTGCCATCAGATTGAAAGACATATTATTGAACAGCAATAGGGCCAGGAAAGTTGTGTAAAGGATTTGAATATTTTCAGTTTTTAAAAAGAGTATTGTGTAGTGAATGAATTTGAGTGTGCATTAAGAATTTACCTTGAATTTGCCAGAAAAGAGATGGATAGATAAGTTGTTTCTAAATAAAACCTAAATAGATAAATGAATTATTAGATAAACAAATAGATATTAATAAGTAACTGGTTATTTATCGATTTGTGAATTGTTTAAATTACTGCACAAACTATGAAAAATGAATATAGTACCTTTGATGCCATCTTTGTTTCACTAAATTTTGTAAAAACACTACACTATCAAATTAATTAATTTCAGAACATGAATGAAATTAAAATGTCTATTTTGGTGATAAAAATGTGTTAAAAGCTGCGTAAATGAATAATAAGGAGAAAATTTAGGATATTTTTTATAAGTACCTCAGAATTGAGAGTGTCAACTCCAAGGCCAGACCATGAAATGCTCAGTGGGGCACAATGACAAGCAGAATCCTCAGGGAATGGCTGTTTTATGCCTTATGTGGCTGTAGACTTTTATCATTCAATCGGTTTGTCAATTTCATTCTTTGAATTTTTTTCAGTTTCAGAAACCACAAATTTTCAGTTCAGTTTTTCAGTAGAACTCCTGTATTTATATTTGTATATGTATATACATTTGCACTTTTTATGTATATATATATATATATATTTATGACCATGTGATTTGTGAACTTGAGTCGCCCTAAACATAATTATTATTATTATTAACATTCTCATTAGATGACGCTTTCTGAAATTCTCACCACCAAATATACGTGTCGTTCTTTTATTATTATTATTTTATCAACTAAATTAGATGTGGACACAATCTTAGTTATTGAGTTGTGTTGAAATCCATCCACAACATCAGTTCTTCATGGCTCAGATGTGCTACTGACACTATCAAGGGGGGGTCCAGTAACGTTGCCTGAAGAAGAAAGGGTGGATGAATATGTAAAACGGCCTGCCACAAATTATCATCTTCCTTATAAATAAAAGAAGCCATGCTTTGCTATAAATCAAATGTTACTGCAACAAATGGGGCTGGTATAGCCTTTTTCAGGGTTTTTACCTGGTTATTCTGATCTTTGGTTGAATTTAAGGTAAACACCTTGTCAAAAGATGTTTTTTGTATGCAGAGATAGATTCCCACAAAGTTAAGATTTGGAAGAAAGCAAAAACGCAATATGATGTATAAATTGGCCCATGGTAATATTTCTTTTGGAATATGCCATCTAGGCTGCTATTTGTCCATCCCCTTCTGAAAGGTTTTCTTCCTGGATTCTCTTACCAGCTTCAAACTGAGTATGGCTATACACCTTGACAGCTTAGACAAGTGCCTCGATGCTTGATACACTACGTATTTCACAACTGACAGATGGAACATTATTCTAGCTATTATAAATAATTGTTTTTGGAAGTTTGTATTTTGGCTTCTCTGTTTAAACAGAAAAGGGTACATGAAAGCGAATTATTGTTCCATTTGATCACAACTGTCTTTATACTTGTTTACATTATTTTATTTTATGTTATTTTTCAGCATGCATTGCCTATTTTTTTATACGTGTGCTGTACCCATTGAATTGTCTGTTCATATAATTTGGTGTGTTTACCTGTCCTGTTTTGTCTTCCAAACTTATATATGAAGGTACCTGTTCAGAATACATAAAACAAAAAAGCATATCTTTTTTTTTTTTTATCAAGAATTGAGTATGATATTATGCTATAATGATGTCATAGAAAAAAATTTTAATTAACCAAACTTGTTGACCTCATAATTTCTCCTAAATCCCTTAAAAATATTGATTCCTGTTGATGTGAAATTGATATGTATAAGAATTCAGTTCTGAAACAAACAGTAAATACTCTTATCTAGATTTTGTTCAATTTTGTCAACAGAATAAAGATTCCCAGTGTAAGTCTGAACAGAAAACCATTATGTTATACATGTAAACTCCATTGCAATAAACATTTAAGTTCTGACACTGTGATTACCAATAGAAGAGGTAACGCATCCCTGCCTTGATTTTGTAGATCAAAGGACTACTGATTTAACTTGTGCTTTGCTCAGCAATCAGATTTGGATATTTTTAACTAAATTAGATTATGATAGAGTTAAAATCCAGTTGGGCAATGTTTCATAGTGAAGGAATCTACAGAAAATATTTTTGTTATATTTTGTATGGGGGACCTGGTGTGATATACCGGTACTTTAAATGTATGGAATCACACTGGATTTCCCCTTAAGTTCAAGGCACAAAAACGACTTTCCTTAATTTATCAAATTGAATATTAACTTCAATTTGTGAATACTTGCCATCTAAAATCAAAGACATTTGTTTGCTGAGCATTTCTTTCATTTATGGTTCTTTTCAAGATTAGTTTAAAATAACTTCTCTAAACATGCCATATTTTAATTTGTCTTGTTATTTTTTGAGAATGATAATCAAATATGTATGGTCAAAAAAATCCTACCATTTTCAGTTATAAGTGATTTACAAAGTCCATTTTATTTATTTATTTATTTATTGGTTGAAAAGGTGATATTGTACTATTGCACAGTTTTCTTTGATTTGATTTGTTTAGTCACTTATTTTCCTTTAGTGAAGAGGGATTTTAATCATCATAAAAGGAGTTAGTTGAGTTTTTTTGTTTCAAAGTAGATGAATGATACTAATTGCAGGTTGAAAAATTACCTTTAGTATCTGCAAATCAAGGGGGTAGTTACCTAATTCTGTTGTGTTTTCACATGTCACATACCAAATGTTGCAGATTTTGTCTAAAATTGTATTAAAATTGTGTACACAAAGCTTGCAATTTGGCCAAAAATAAGCAGGCAAATCTAATAAGTTAAAGGAAAGGTTTCAGCAATTCAGTGCTGGTAATAGGGCCTCTTTTTCAATTCACTCATTCTGCACAGCGGGGGGATTGTGACCCAATGTTTCTTTGTGTATATTTGTAGAAGAGCAGATGAAAAACCAAACAACACTGAAGGTGGCAGTGATAATGAAGCTGAGGAACCTGGAGAGGAAGGGTCAGATGGTAAGATTAAAAAAAAAATTGAGTTTAAAGGGTTTAGAGGATTAGTACCGTTCATAGTTTGCCAAAATTTTGCAAATGTTTCCTATGTATATACATTTCAACTTTTGATTTTAGGAGAAGGTGAAAAGAAGAAAGAAGAGGAAGATGAGCCTGCATTTGGCAAACCTAAACCAATGTTACCTTACAGTTCTATGTTTATCTTTGGACCTAAAAACCCGTAAGCAGAATTTCATAGTTGAGAATATCTACCTGTATTAAAAACTGCATTCACTATTATTGCTGACAACAAAAAGCACATTGTATTTTTCTCGTCTTTTTGAATGTCAGAAAAATGTGTTTCATTCATGCATACCTTTTCTAAAAGATTTTATTTAATGATTGACTTAATGTTTTTCAGAGTGCGTAGGATATGTCACTTTGTAGTGAACCTGCGCTACTTCGACCTTTTCATTATGATAGTAATCTGCGCTAGTAGTATTGCCCTTGCAGCAGAGGACCCAGTGGATGAAAACTCATTCCAAAACCAGATACTGAATTATTTTGATTATGTTTTTACTGGCGTCTTTACTGTGGAAATGATCCTCAAGGTTTGTATTATAAATTGTAATATATAACCCTCCTCAATCCACAATTTCAAGAAAATGCCACTGATGTTTGACATTTACCTTTTGTCAATATATTCATTTTCCGCATCTTATCTGAAAAAGATAAAGATCCTCATTGGAAAAAATATGTGAAAAAAATAACACTCAAAGATTCAAAAGACACTGTACGACTAATCAGATTGTCCACAGGCATTCACGTCCATTATAGTTTCGGAATCTGGCATTTACACCTATTTAATCCTAATATCATAAATTTACCAGATGATAAAAAAGAAAAATTCTCGTCATTGCGCCTGTTCACATGTATAAATGACTTCTTTTAATCCACCTTTACCCTTCAGATTGTTGACCTTGGTATCTTGTTTCATCCTGGAGCCTACTTCCGTGACCTGTGGAACATTTTGGATGCCACTGTGGTAACCTGTGCCCTTGTGGCATTTGCATTCAGGTGATTGTCCATTATTCAGTAAATTATATTATTGGGAGTGAACCAATCCCATCGGCTTTTGCATTTGCTGGCTGAATGGTTTTCAAGTTTTTTTCTGAAATATTCTTCAGAAGGAGAAATGGTAAAAGATGTGTACATCACTAAGGCTTTAGTGATGTGTACATCACTAAGGCTTTAAGTAGGTTAGTTTTAAGCTAAGTTTGAAGAGTGTAATTATGACAGGCAAGAAACAATTTGGCGAGTGTCAAATGTGAACAGCAGTAATTTGGAAGATGGCATAGATATAGCTCAGTTGTCCATCTCATTTAATATATAAAACAAAACTTTTTTTCTGTTCATTCAGATTCTGGACTTATAATGATGTTTTCAATCAGCATAGGCTGAGTGATGAAAAACTGTACTAATTTTGATTGATAACTTATGCATGGTTACATTTATATACCTGTACAGTTGAAAGTGGGACAAATTACATCCAAATGTCTTCTCAAAACCAAGAGAAAACACTACTAAATAACAGTTGCTTTTTAACTAAGAAATCAACCCTTTGCCATTATGATTTTCATGGCATTCATTTAGTGTTTATTCCAAATTTGCAATAATTTTTTGTGACAATTTTCTTAAATGTATAACCAAATCATAACAGCATATTAGTGCTTGCTTCCATACATTAAAGGAGTTATCTATGTACAATAGGAATACATTAATTTTATTTTTTTAATGGTGTAAGGATATTTACATAAGGGAGCAAAGTCAGTAGTTACGTTTAAAGTTAATTGTCCTCATCTGAGAGTGTGATTTTTAAAATATCAGACATGAATAGGCAAAGGTGCTCATGTGTTAAAAATGTACCTTTTTCTCGATTGCATGTTTTTTTCTAACAATTGAATGTGCTGTGAAACGTCCTGTTTGAATCAAAATGATCCATCTTTAAGCCCAGCCATGAATGATCTCGGTGCCTGTCTCTCTTTCCTCCATTATTTCTGGCTGTTGCCTTTAATTACCTTTTGACCTTGATCTGACCTTTATATCTCAAAGCTTATTATGAACTTTGACCTCTTATATTGTTCACTAAACATTAAGCTGGATAACTGAGGCAAACAAACCATCTGAAGGGTAAGATTTTGGTTTAATCTAATGCACATTTTCTCACTTTGTTTTCAGTTTTAGTTTGTCAGGAAAAAAGATCTGTTTTGAAAATTTGAAGATTTTTAGAAAAAGATTTGCACTGTTTTATGATATTGCATATCTGTATTTTTGATTCACACATCATCATACGCCCATTAGAATTATCAACAATTTTAAAAACCCTAGCTATTAAATGGGGCAAGATTTTAAAGAGGTATACTGTACTAACAATACTAACATGCAACAATGTGCTTCTTTAACAATAAATCAGACCTGTGAAAATACATCATTGGTTTTTATAAAACCTAGAAGTAACTTTGATTATATGAGATTTGAGAAGGAAATTTTATATTGATTAAAAGGTCCAGGAAATAATATTACGACTTAATCATTTTACCCATCATAGCTTTTATCAGATCCGTTATTCGTAAGTGTCCGTGTGTCTCCCGGATCATTGGATATAGGCACACATGCTTGGCTGCCTTATAATGCACCTCTACAAAAAAATACTGCAATCTGTTAAACATGCTTACTGGGAGAGAGATGAGAGAGAGAGAGAGAAAGAGAGAGCTGGTGAGAGAGAGAGAGAAAGAGTTGGCTTTAATATTCTATAGCTCTGGCATTTCAGCTATTTGTACCTTGAAATGCATTCATTTCAGCAGCTCCATCACTCACTGCATCCATCTTGGAACGCCTGTCATTCTGATATGCTATACAAATATTTTTGTATAACTATATTCTGCTCTTAAGCTAACAATTTCCATTTCTTGCTCTGCCATAAATGTCATTGTATGGTCAAACTCTTACACACACAGGTTTGCCAACTTCTGAAAAAAATGTGTTGATGTATTATTGTTAATTTTTCTATAAACCATAATAGAGTAACGGACTAAAACAAAAAGAAATAATAGGCATGAGAGAAGAATGAAAAGCTCAGTTGGCACACCTGTATGCTGCACCATGATTGAAGTGGCAAAATAACATCACTCTTATACATAGCTTGTGCACCCATTGATAGTATGTTGCCAGTTTTTGTGTATATAGAAATGCTTTTGATTAAAACCTGAAGAGGTCATTGTACCAATTTATCGAAAGTTTTAGGATTGTTTCTATTATTATGAGACATACATTTGAATGTATTTTACATATATTTTAATGTTTACTGCTGCATCAGTTTATTTTTACCAATTACAGAATTGTTATGACAGCTATGTGGAGTCTAGGATCAGTAGTTGCCCTTATTTTATTCTGAACAGTTTGTGTAATTTAGATTGCAAAAAAATGGGATGTTCCTTTTTTGGAGTTTGTAGTTTGTATAGAAAGAGTACATGAATTGATTTATTTGCATTTTGATTTTTTTGTCATTTTAGGGTCTGTTTTTCAACAAGATGGTGCTAAAAGTTTATCATTTTCTAATGTTTGACTCATTTTAACAAAATCAAGGTCGTCAATTTGTTACCTTAAGTGCATGATTTGTTTAGCAAAATAAGCCATTTTGGATTTTATTCATTCTGAAGTTAATAGATTTCATTCATCAAATAAAAGCAGTATTTAAAAGCAGTCTATCCTGCAAAAAATGTCAGGAATTGTCAGTTTGGGTGTTTACTTCCCTTCACAAATATTGATAATGATTATATAATTTAAATATATCTGGAAAAATAGGAAATTATGAAGTCTTATATTTTAGTTAATTTGACCAAATGAACAGAAGCTGAAAAGTATTACTGCATATATATATTTATGATGAAGGGTTGTTTTGAATAGCATGCTCGGTATAACTATCACTTTTTTAGCATTAAAAATATACAGATTCATTATCTTTCTTAATTTTTATTGAAACACAATAATAGAACTATCCAAAGTTTTGCACAGGATTGTTGTTCATTGAATTGGTAAATTTGAGCAAATATCTATTGTGCCTCTTGTACATTGCAGTGGGGAAACAGGATCTGCTGCTGGCAAGAACTTAAATACCATCAAATCACTCAGAGTGCTAAGAGTACTGAGACCACTCAAAACTATCAACAGAGTGCCCAAACTTAAGGTAAGTGCACAAAAACTAAAACTTAGACCCCATTCCCACAGATTTAAGATCGATCTATCTCTGTGGGGAGTCTCACTAGATTACTGTCAGCTTAGCCGGCTTAAGCGTCTGTCCCGTCTACTAAAAGCTGTAAGGGGGTAATTAACTGTTGTGCGCGCTCGGCTAACTGCAATTTAGCGTGAACCCCCAGGGAGTTAGGTCTATCCGGATGGAATCGATCTAAATCTTTGGGAATGCACTCTTAAACTGGACTTAAAATTTCTGCAGCTGGCATCAGTGATGAGTCAAACCTGTGTGAATTTGTGTTGCATGCATGTGTGTATGGACTATTGACTAAGCTATTTAAAAACGTTAATTTGAATATGAGTGCAGTGACAAGTTTAAGCATGTTTTTGCATTCCATATGGACATGGGGTCTATAAAGTGTACTTTTAAATGTATTTCAGGCTGTGTTTGACTGTGTGCTGTCATCACTGAAAAATGTATTCAACATCCTCATAGTGTACACTCTCTTCCAATTGATATTTTCCGTGATTGCCGTTCAGCTATTTAAAGGAAAGTTCTATCACTGCACAGACTCATCAAAGATGGAAGAGAAAGAGTGCCAGTGAGTAACAAACCTTGTTTTACAGGATTTTTTTTATCTTAAAGATTTTATGTCAGTTCTGAATCAGATAATATACATCTGAAGGCCCTTTTTGTCTTTTTTATTGTTAGGAAATACATGTGAGGAATGTTTTGTGAGGAATCTATTAAAGTATTTTAGAGGACAAAAGTTAACAAATACTTTAAGACTCTGCCAGTGAATGACTGAGTCAGCTGAATGTGAAATGAGGAGATGAAATGTACTGGGATCATTATTGATTCTTCTTTTGTCATTTTAGGGGACAATATTTTGTATATGAAAGTTCAGACGATTCTGATGCCCAGACTCCGAAAGTGGAAGAGCGTGTATGGGAGCCATATGACTTTGCCTATGATAATGTAGCTATGGCATGGTTAACACTGTTTACTGTATCCACGGGAGAAGGATGGCCTCAGTAAGCACTACTTTCAGTCAACTTTGTGCATTCTAGCATATTATTACTGAAGTTGCCAACTTATTTAAAAACATTCAACAATCAAAGCTTGACTTGAAGATTACCGTGTTTTGCCATTTTATACATAATCTTATACACAAGTTTTTTCACAAGCCAGCATTTCTTTAATTAAGTGTTAGAATTAAAATGAAAAAATAAATAAAATGAATTAAAATGAATACAGCTTGTGGAACCACTCTGTATTCCTGCATAATTTATACTATGCCAGGTCCCACTTGTTTAAATTGAGCACTCCTGTTTCAGGGTACTCCAGCATTCCATGGACTCCACAGAGGAAGGAAGAGGTCCTTCACCCGGTGCCCATCAGGAGACAGCCATGTTTTATGTTGTCTTCTTTATTGTCTTTCCATTCTTCTTTGTCAATATATTTGTTGCCTTAATCATCATTACATTTCAAGAACAAGGTGAAAATGAGCTTGTGGACCAGGATTTAGATAAAAATCAGGTAACGTCTTCACTTGCTATGGCCTAACAAAGGATAATATGTGCATGACCAAATGGTCAGATATTGTTATATTCAGGCACAATTTTTCTGACATCATTCCAATTTTTTCTTGCAAATTTGCCACGTTAAGGGACCTCCATACCCTCCAGTCTTATGGCCACTAAGCCATTTTACCTACTTGTTTTTAGATGTGTATAATTTATGGTAAAATGGTGAAGTTGGACTAACTTTTTGTGGTGTATGGTAGTTGAAAATCTGTCTGATTGCTTTCTGCAGCTAATAAAGCTCGTAGTTTAATTTTTTAAATTTATTCTTGTATCATATTGAATAATTACCATTCCTTAGTTTTTAATCTTGTTTCATGCTTTTTTTATTTTTTAAAATATGTAGTAAAGAATGGTTTCTTCTTTCCAATTTTACAGAAACAATGTATAGACTTTGCTATTCATGCAAGGCCTATATGTCGCTATATGCCCAAAAACAAAGACTCTGTAAAGTTTCGCATTTGGAAACTTGTCACATCTGCACACTTTGAGTATTTTATCATGGGCATGATTGCTTTGAACACAGTGGTACTCATGATGAAGGTATGTATTTAAGTATGAAATTGTAACATTTGTAAGCTGGAAATCAATTAACTGATTGTTTAGAACTGTTTTAACTTGTGTCAAGTGTTGAAATGGTTTTGAAATAGTCATACTGTAGAGTTTAAGATTACTCTATAATTTTAAAGCAAATTAAAATTGTTGACAAATGAAGTTATGATTTTTTATCAAAAAGAACTTATTGTTGGCAAAAAAGATAAATCATTTATTTCAGAATTTATCACCAATTACCATTATCTTTATTTTTCTGTCAGTTTTGATTCCAGGCTGAGACCTTGACATCTTTTTATTTTCTTGATAATTGTTGATGATTTGTTTGTCAGTAAATAGAATGATTGCTGATAAGATAATGAATTAAATGTTTAGGTTATCACCTATTTTTTAATGAAGAATGGTGATTTTATCATTGCAACTAATTTGTACAGTCAATGTTTTATATTATATTTTCCATAATAACAAGAGATTTATATATTTTTAAATTGTATTGCTTCAAACTATATCAACTTTAATATGAATGATTTCTTTATCTCTCCACAGTTTTATAATATGCCAGAAACATACACCTACGTCCTTAGCTACCTTAATATTACCTTCACCATCTTATTTACCGTGGAATGTGTCCTTAAGATTATTGCTTTTGGACCAAAGGTAAAAATGAATGCTGACTTAGCTCTTGCTTTAGGGTGGTGGTGAAGGGAAACTTTAAGAAAAAGAATGAATAATATGAAATAGCCTTATCTTTTTTTCTTATCACACTGCACAGAGATGTTATATATATATATTATGGGCTTGGTGGGTTTTTGGTTCAACAATTTGAAAACCAAAACATTAAACTTCCTGAAGTCAGCAAGTTTTTACAGCTTTTAACAATTTATTTTTGACTGAAGGTTTGGTTTAGCTTTTGGAAAGTTTTAATGACACATTTATGAAGTGCCCACACTCTGTGATAAGACAAAAGAGATGAGGTATAATTTTGCCTTGCTGAACCAAGTTAACTTGTAAACTCATGCTTCTGGCAGTATTCAAAACATCCCATGGTATGCCCCTTTTCATTTCAAAAAGGTGATGGATTCACAAGATGGTTGACTTGTAATCCGAATCTAGGTACGCCCTTTGGACTTTAAAATTCACACATGACCTTTCAAAGTCTGCGTCCTGTCGTTATGACCCTCACCCTAGATACTCAAAGTGCATTTAAAAAAATAGTGATCCTTATTAGAATAGAAAAATATCCTAAGTAGTATGTAGGTCCTCAATGGTTAAGCTATGAAGAAACTCCTGTGTGCATAACCCATGACTTTAAGTGGTTTGCACCTGTGTTCTAACTGATGGCTTGTGGTGTTAGGAATTACTGTTCCAGTACCACTATTTCAGATCATGTGTCGTTATTATCAGTTTTCTTTCTCATCTTCAGGGTAGTGGCCTGCAGTCTTTCTTTCAACCTTGGTGCTAGATTTGGTTTTACAACATTTAGACCTTTTTCATTTTGATTTTTAATGCTTTGTATTAGATATACTTTGGGGAAGAAGATAAACTTACCCAGACGCAGATTACCTACAATGCATTCTTGCAACATTTCAATACTGGCTTTACAGCCATCTTTGTGACAGAGAGTATACTAAAGATGATTGGCTTTGGAGTCAAGGTTTGAATGTATATGTGCATAATAAAATGTTACGTTCACATGGCCATTTAAGTGCTTAATCTATGTCCTAGAAATGGTGTAAAATTCATGGTATTCTTGTTCGATGTTTTGTTTATTTAGGTCTTCATGTGACTTATGAAAATATACATGTAATTGAATGAATTTGTCAATCTTGCAATGTTTGGGAAAACAAAGTTTTTTAAAGACATTTTTTGGTGAACTTTCCACTTACTTTTTTGAATATTTATTTTAATAATGAAATGTGTTATCCAAAGATATACTTATCAATGTTATGTGTATTCAAATTTTTTTTAATGGGATTTAAAAAAAATTTCACTTTTTCATTTGTTATGGCAAACCATGAGTTTACAACCATTGTGTGTCTATTTCTCTCTCTCTCTCTTTCTCTGCTGGGCTCTTTGTTGTAATTCTTTAACAAGATGTTGTTTTACTTGTAGTCTCTTGTTGTAAGTCTCCCCCCTCAACCTACAATGTTTTCTTGGGTGTATGCTTCTGTCCAAGATACATGTGTAGTGTATTTAGTGGATTACATGGAGAATTCTAGTGCTGGGATACTTCTTTAAGCAGATTCTTTTGTACCAGGTCTTGATTTTGCAGTGTCAATGCCAGGTGGATTTCATTAAAACAAAAACTTCATGGTGTTTAGTTTACATTCAATTTTCCAGGACCCAAGAAATGTTATGCAACTATCCCATTTATGTTGTCTCTGCACCAGTCATGCCACATTGTTAAAAGCAAAAAAAGTTGATATTTGGTATTTACACCTACCCCTTTCATTAGTTGAAAGTCATGTAAATTATGTCAAAATACATCACATGATTTGGCAACTTATGGTCAAGTTAGTGATGTGCAACACCAAAAGATGTCCATCATACAATAAAATGATCATATACTGATGCCAGAGGTGCCACAGTAAAGGTGACTTTTTATATTTGATCAAAAGTTTTTAAAACCCCATAGTCATATTTTTTCATCTTTTCAAAGCTTCTTTGGAAGGCAAACTGCAAATTAAATATTTAAATTCAATGTGCTATTATGTATATGACTCACATTGTCACCTTTGCTGTAAATATAGCTAATTGTGCGCCCTGCTTTCAGTTTCTCTGCATGTTACGATGTATTCATCTACTGTCATAAGCATGAGACCTTGCAAGTTAACTTGCCTGGTTGTGGTTGCCTTTGCTGTTACGTCAACCAGCTGTTACCTAGAAACAGGTGTCATGGACCTAACCAGACAACCATTTTGATTGGCTGTCCTGATTTGGTTGCATGGAAGTTCATCTGTTTGTATTGGCCAGCTGTAATTGTTATGGCAACAAATAGTTCTTTAACATTAATTTGCACATATATATATATCGCAAGGTATAGGGAGCCTTTAGGCTGGAGTTTTACCACTGGACATTGATTTTATTTTGCTTTCTAGATGTGCCGCTGTTACAATTCTCTGATTTACAGACACCAGTTAAGCTCTTCATCAGTTGGCTGTCAAAGCATCTCACATTTATTATTATTATTATCTGCTATTATAAATTCATCTTATTTATGAGTATCTTGTTTTTCTACTTTTTTACTTTTGTGTCTATCACTTCTTCTGCGAACCAGACTACCTCAGGTCCAGATCCTACCCCTGCAGACAAAACATACGCTGAAACACTGGGCTACTTAAATATCGCCTTTACCGCTGTATTTGCCATTGAGTGCATCCTCAAGATAATAGCTTTTGGACCTCAGGTTTGGTCTTGTACTGCAAAGAATGGCAACTTAACAATGTTTAAAGTCAAGCAAATGGGGTAAGACTGGAGATGATGCTGGCAGAAACCTATTTTGAAAAAAAATAGATGAATATAAGTGTATATGTATATATATGTGTATATGTACTAGTATACCTGATAAACAATTGTTTCAAGGTCTTGGGCAGTTTATACAGATCATCTGTGATTACCAGATTCATGCTGCTTGGTGGTTTCTATTCCAAAATGCATAATTGATCAGTAATCATTCAAATTCAATTTTTCAATTTTCAAAATCATTCAATTTTTTTAAAAGAAAGGCATTATTAGATATCACTTGGTGGTTTTAATGTGTTTGCATTACATAATCCTGCCATTTTCATCTCATGTCTTATTCCTTAGCTAACTGACAGTAAAATAAAGTGGCTGATGTATCGAGTGTTTTTGCCAAGCCAATTTGTCCCCCTTGTACAATGTAATTGTTCAGACCTATAGCTATAGTGAAGTGGACATGACGTCTGTTGCAGCTATCCTGCTATCCTGCCATTAGGTTATTGATATGATTGTATGTCACCTTCAGCAACTTTATAAAGTTTTAAATGTAATGGACCTTTTAACTGATTACCACTTGGTAAGTTAATTTGTTTGCTTTTGTCAAGTTTTGGAAAGCCATTTACAGTTTATAGTTTGCTGCTAAATGTTACCCCAATCTTTGTATTAACTTACCATAGGCCATAATATTAATGTTTCCCATTGTATCATTTTTGTGTGCACTATATGTCATAATATAAGGCTCGAATATGTGAGTACCATATAATGCTTTTATCCCTCAACAAACTTTTGCTACAGTAATTTTTGCTGGACTTTTTAACAATGTGCAGGAAAGATTATTAGAAATTAGCAGTTGGATTTCTCAAAATCTGATTCCATTGCAAATTTTAGGAAATGTCATTAGAAATTAACCGTTCCACTCCAGCCATACACCTTGTCTGTAAGTCAAATAAAATTCATTGGATTTAGTAACAATATGGTTCACTTTGGATGTAGGTGAATAACATATTTAAATGAAGATAAAAAGAAAAAATTATTTTTCTGATTCGTAAAATTGAATCTGTGTGTAAGATGTAGAACCTTCATTTAACGAAGGCAGGAAAAGGATGTGGAATTGACTGGCAAATAAAAAACCTGATTACCCCAGTCTTAGAATATCTAGCGCTGACATAAGTATGACGATGTTTAAAAATGATTGGAGCTCTACCTTCTAACTAAGTTTGCAGAAACCGATGAATCATATACGAAACCAGAGTGCACTTGATATTTGACAAAAGACAAAACATTTTGAACTCAGAATTTTTATCAAAATACTATTTATTACCTTTTTTGACATTTAAAGTTACATTCTTAAAGCAGATTTTTGCCTTTAAAAAAGTAGTTGGGGACTTTAAAATTCTCTGAAATTGGGAAAAAGGGTATTTTTTCTTATGATTTACCAGAGAAAGTGTAGACATAAAAGCAACAGAGATTTAGATAGACATAGGAACCTCAATTTAACACTTGATAGCATACTTATATATGAATCTCATGCATGAGAAAACTTTTTCTCAGCTTTTAATAGCCTACTTTTGATTCATTTTGCTTCATCACATTTGCCCGTCTCCCTAGCTTCCTTCATACCTGCAATGTTTTTGCTGCTAGTTGCTTTTTTTTTTTCATTTGCTGTTTTCTGTTATGGATCTTAGTGTTTAGTTTATTTATATAATCCTCTACAAGCTATCAGGTTTTCATAAATTGCTTTATTTAAATAGATTTTGTTGTTGGTAAAATATTCTGTAACAGTTGTAATATCCAGTGAGCATAGTATTGCCATAGTATTTTATGGATTGAAAATCAATTGCATTGATAAGTGATAGCACCCATGCCTTATTTTGCATCTGATCAGTGATATAGCACAACATGCATAAGTTTCAATTTGATCTTCCTTACTTTGTTTTATATTAAACAAAAAAGAATACAGGAATAAGATGCTAGCTGCAGCCATATCATTTGCCACATTCTGTGCCACCTTTGGATTAAATTGTATGAAATTTAATGATTTTATAGATTTTGATTTTTTTTTAAACATCAAATTTACCATGTAGTTTATTTTAGATTTTGAATCGGAATTAAAATATTTGGTGGAAGTCTGAGATAAAAATTATTATTCATATGATATGTGCCTTTTTGCACCTAATTTGATTTCTCATCAGACAAAAAACTCTGCCTTCAAGAAAGTCAGTATAAATAATTGCCATACATATTAAGACTTCCTTTTCTTAATGCTTTCAGTAGAATTGATCAGATATATGATTTCAGTGATGTTTAAAAACTGAAATTTTCAAAATTGCTGCCCTTTCAGATGTATTTCAATGATAACTGGAATACCTTTGATAGTGTTACAGTATTGGGTTCTATCACTGATGTTATAGTAACTGAACTTAAAATGTCTACAGTAAGTAGTAAATATAAATGATAATCAGTTTGGTTTTTTGGAATGATAAGAGCATATCTGTGCATCTTCATTGGAATGAATCTTAGCCATTGCAAAATTTTAAAGGTCAATATACATATGAGATATGATTAAAAAAGGCACCATTACAAAGATTTCTACCTTTTGAGAATTATCTTCACTAGTGTATGAACACTAAAAAGTAACCTTATATTTTGCAATGGCAAAGAACATTTGTAATGCCTACACCATGTAATTAATTGACATTTTAAGCACATTCATCTTTTTCAGAATTATTTCCGAGATCCGTGGAACGTGTTTGATTTTGTCACTGTGCTTGGAAGTATCACGGATGTTTTAGTCTCTGTTCTCAACACAGTAAGTTATTCAGTTGATGACACATTCAACACACACAAAAGCTGCATCTGAATGGGCATATATGTTTTGTCATACCATTGTTTGTTGTAAGCCTTGTCAGAAGGTATAATGGCACTTTAGGTATGGTTTTAAAATTGTAGTTTTAGAGAAATCAGTTGATGGGCATAAGATATTTAAAGAAGAAATATTTTTGTATTTTTGACAAAGATTGATTTGCAAAAAAGTTGACATGTCAGTAATTTCCATATATCCTTAACAGTTGGTTCCTAGTCTATTTGAGGTAGGAGCACCGCTAAAAAAGCTTTAAACTGCATGGTGCAGAAACCAGATTGTTTTGAGATGATTGGTTAATTTTTCACCAATTGCAAAAGTGCTGTCAGACTGGAAATGCTTGATTGAAAACTTAAGTTTTTTTGTTTTGTTGAAATTGTGGAATTAGAAACTTATATGTTAAAGTTCATGAGTCTTACTACCTACCAATCATTGCATCAAAGCATTTTCATTTTTTTTTTTCTACCAATTTTTCACTATGAAAAAAATTCAAATTCAAGAAAGGTAAAATGTATTACACAGTTGTTCTAATTTTTGTAACTAATTGAAAAAAAGATGAATATTTGGGAAGAAACCATTGATGGTATTTACTCATTTACTGAATAAAGGGAAGTCCTGGCTATGTGGTTTTTAATCTGACAGCATTTGGCAGGCATTTTATTTAAGTTGATTGATGTGGGTTTTCATTGAATTGCAATGAGGTGACATCTGAGTGACTTTTTCTATGCCAATCTGAGATATCCCCCCCCCTCTGGCCCACCTCCCAACCCCATAAACACACAAACCATCTCCCCAATTTATTAAGGGTTTTTACCAAATATTACTAGATTTTGACCTGGGTTAGTTTGCTGTGAAAATTGAGTATGTAAACAACAAGGCACCTAGCATCAGGCTGTTGGTAATTATTTACAAAACATCCACAAAGAGAAACTTACATTTGATGCTGCTTGCAAAAGACAAAACTTGTTTGCAAGCCAATTTCAAAAAAGGTTGAAATTTAGAAGTCTGAATTGAAAGGGTGTTTCTTATCAGGTTGATTTTTTTTAGTCGAATTATGTGTTTTTTGGCTTTTTGGGGGGAACAAGTGAAATAGTGAAATATACCTGATGATAGTTGCCAAGATGTGCTAACATTCCCCACAGCCTAAGCTACTTCTTGGAGACCCCTAATACATTTAATACTATTGTCATAGGATCTCTGAATGTAGCTTCAAAACACTTTGTAGATGTGTTGCATGAGCCCACTAACACTACTAGGTCACTGGATATTTCTGAATGTTTTTGTCTTTTGCATGCATTTATACTTCATAGATATGACTCACCTATATGTGGTCTACGTCTTCCATCCTGTACTCTATCACTTCTAATTGTTTTCCTTACATTTGACCTTTTTTGTCTTCTTTTTATAGACATTTGTATAGGATACTTAGAAAAGGCAGTTGAAAAACATTATCCAATATATCTTTTCAAGTTTCACTGAAGACTTTGACACATTTGGTTGAGACGAATGTGCCAGTTGCACCAAACGCAATCACTTCTGTAAAGAACACAATTTACTATTATGCTTTACACTTATATTTTACACATCTGTCCCACTCAGCACAATAGCAGAAGACAAGTCAAAACACTTGGTACACAAGACAAATGATAAACAGGTACTCACGCCAAAAAAAAAAAAAAAGCAATTTGCCAAATACCTAATCTGGGTTAGGATTTTGACTGTTACAACTATAAGCATTCTACAACATATTGGCAACAGCTATGTTTTTGCTTAATACACTTCACTACTTAACAATAAACCCAGTGAACTGCCTTTTAGATCTTATGCTGTGTCACTGCTAGTGCACGAACATCTAACAACAAAAATGGATTCAAAGAATTGTTAAACTATTGAAGTCACATGTGCTTATTGTTGAAAAATGAATATCCTTTTCAGTAAAAGTATTTCCTAACTGAGTTAACACAAATGCAATTTAAAAAGTGCATAGCATAAAAGAAACTTACTGCCTGAAGATTCCTTATTTTTATAAGTTTTTGGTCAATGATTAAAAATGTAGAAGTATAGACATTTATTTATTTGGTTTTTTTTTTACATGTTTGTAGAAAAAACATCCTAGATTTGATTTGTACCACCATTTTCTCTGATGTGTTTTCTTTGTCTGTTATTTATTTTATATATTTATTTATTTGATTTTTTTGCCATACTTTTAACTAGTTCTCTTTTTCTAAGTGTAACGTACTTGAATACTATCTTCATTCATTCTGTGTTGTTTAGACTTAGTCTACTAATAATGCTCTGTATTTCTACTAATTCCTCAGGACCTGGTAGTGGCATTTTATATACTATTGGCACCTTAAATCACAGCAGTTCCTTATCAGCATGTTTGTAGAGTGATGTTGCACTTGCTTGGAGTGATAGTGAAACACTTTCCAGATTAAACTGAAAGGAAATTAGCATTGCTGCCCATGACATCTTGCACATCACAGCAAAGGGCATTTTTACAGTAAGCTGTGCAAAGCTTAGCATCACTGTACTAATTTTAATAAACCAGGCTTGGGAATTAAAAAAGTCAGAAAGGTCCTTCTGAAGATTTGCAAATTCAGCGTAAAAACTGTGTTGGGCAAAATTTTGCCTTTTTATCTGAAAGGTTGTTTTCATCTGTGACTCTTAAATGACATAATATGGAAGAGGGTAGAAAACATATGAAGTCTATGTGGATGGGATTATTGGAATCCTCAGGAGGGGGGGGGAGGGGATCTGTAGCATGGAAACTGCAGAAGGTAACCTTGTAAAACAAGCCCTGGTGGAAAACACTAAGTCATACTCTGTAGATTCATATGCCTTTTTGCCATAGTTAATCTCTATTTTCTGTTAATATTACTTTGATTTTCCACATGCTATTGATGTATTGATATACCAAACAAATGTAATATTTTGCACAACATTTTATCAAGGGAATATCCAGGAAATCTGAGAGGGGTGTCTAGAACTAGGGTAAACTCAGAGATCTGGTTTTGTGTCCATTGTTTATTATTTGGTTTTTGGGGTACATGTGTATCTGGCTCCAGAAAAGAACATTTTCTTATGAATAACCTTTCCTTTGGTATATCCAGAGTACAGGAGAAATTCTGAACTTTTGTAAAGAACACATCTATCACTTTATGTTTGTAAACAAAAAATATCAAGCCAAGTTGTATTGTATTGTATTGTTATTTCACCAACCACCTAAACTGCCATGCTCATGATATAGCTAGTTGTGTTGTCATGCTTATCTACTCTATTTTCCATGGTTACCAGTTATATTGTTGTGAGAGCTCAATATAGCATGGTGATTAGCACCATTGCCATGGTAACCATGTGACATTATCTTTGGAACTAAATGTAAACTCATTGTATTCAGGGTTTATGGCTAAAGGGGTTATGAAAGGGATCTAAATTGACAAAAAAAAATCTAAAATGGGTCTGTAAGTCAGTGTTTGGTATGCTTATTTTAAAGTTGTAAATGCATTTAAATGTTTCCCAGTGTGCATCCCCTTTTACCTTTAAGACAAACATGTTGTTGGCTGTTATTGGACAGAACTTGTAATAGTGGCAATTACTCACATATTTAAGACTTCTGACTTATTCCAATATAAATGTGTATACATACATATATATTTGAAATTTTTTATTTCTATTTTAGTTCTAAACATTGTAGACAACTAACTGAATCTGTACAAGATGGATCTGACACTTTGCAGAATATTGAATTTTTGGTTAAAATATTTTGTAAAATATAATTGTTTAAACTTGGTTGAAAGATGTTAATAATTCACACTTCTATCCATTAGATATATTCATATTGCTTTTCTGGATTTTGATATAGTTTTTTTCTGTATCAAAACGTATTTTAAATAGGAATTGTAATTTTTTTAAATTGTGAGTAAGTGATGGCCACATCTACAAGAGTTTGAATTCACTGCTTGTAAAACTAACCTACCAACCCAAACCTGCCATTCATGTATGGATGTAAATACTTCATAAAGCACTAGCTTTGAGAAATTCATATTACTGGTACCCTAAGTTTTGCTGTTTGAATGAAAGAAAATTAAGATCTATATTTTGTTGCCATTTTGGGAAAATCAAAAAAAAAAAGTTGAAATACTGTTAAGTGGTATATCTTGTTTAATATATATTATTCCCTTTAAGGAGGGTCTGCCTGATATGTCTCTGCACTGCAAATGTCTCACAAGGATCTTGCAATAGCTTTAATTTGGTCACAATATTATATAGTATTACACCAAACTGCTTTTAATGTCCATTAAAAATTGCAGACAAAATGAAGTCATGATAAAATCTTCATCATGTACTGTTATGACACTGCTTGTTTGCATCTACTCAGACACAATAAGACATTTCAGTATATATATGGAAGGACCTCATGAACATGATTCATGGTATTCACAAGGACTTGTTTTCAGTGTTGAAAATAGAATTATTTGCAATAACACTGTGACACTTGTTTCTTAGTGGTTTGAATGAAGTCAGTATATAAAGCAATATGTGAAAAATGACACGTTTGCCTTTTTTCTCACTTTTCCTGTCAGTTGTGATAAGTTTCAAAGAACTGTGCTGATAGCACTAGTTTCAGATCAATGAACTGATTACCTTATGCATTTGCGTATGAAAACCACAGTGACATAGGGCGATTCTATAGATATTAAAAACAGACCAAGGAAAAGTAAATCCATGTGATTGGTTTGTTACTTTGGACTGTGGAGACAATATTTGATATAGCCACTATTACCGGGTAGCTCCTTTAGTTGGGCATGTACAACAGGCTTCCAAGTGATGCCCCTTAAAGTTCTGACCTCCGTTATCTGCTTCCTGTATTTTATTCCCTTCTTGCTATTTTTGTCATATTCCTCCATTACAAAATTCTGTCATCAGTATTTAAGTTTTAGGTAGTAGTATTTATGCTGTTGTGATAAGTGTATTTTTTATGTGATGATGATTAAAAATGGAAGAATTTGAATGTTCCCAAATGGGGAAATGAAGTTTTTTTTTTATACAAAATTTCTTAAATCATTAATCTTGTTGTTATGTGGCTAAATTGATCTAATGATTTGTGTTTATAAAAGTTGTGGCAACTATCTGAAATGTTTAATTTTGTACCACCAGCTTGGCAAGTTGGAGGTGCTGTGGACATGTGTCTTATTCAAAACCTCAAAACCACATAGAATCACAAACGATAAGATGTTTTAGTCCTAAATAATAAAGGATACCCTGTTCATTTTTCATTATTTATCACTCACTTTTACATTGCTTGAAAGTTTGCCACTGTTGCTTCTCATCCTCTGTGATGTCTTAAGACAAATATTGTCCGTCCAAAAACTTCTATATTACAGTTATTAAGTCATGTATTTGAGAAGTATAAAATTGACATTATTTGGTGTTGTTGACCTATTTTAAGTTACAGAAAGCCGTTTGGTGGTACATAATAAGGAGGCAACTGTTACCTCTCTGAAATCTCAGGTTTTCCTTTTCTTTCATAAGTTGAGAGTCTGAATTAGATTTCATTTAATTTTAGATAGTTTAACTAATCAGTTTATTTGTTAGCCATGAATTCATCATGTTAACAGAAAATTTTTCATGACCTGTCTATCATGCCATACTGCTTACCCACATTTGGTACTCTTCTTTCTCATATATAAACTCAGCTCTTGGCTGATATTCTGCTTTGCTTTTTCATTTTTCATCCACCTAAAGCAAACTAATTCAGAGGACTATTTTTTTTTCAATTTTCATGGCATTCACTCCTACTTTCATTAAATTTTTACTTTTTATTTTTTGTTTGTTTTGTGACTTGTGTTATAGCCAGGTGGGCTGATTAAATTGGGATTCCTTAGGATGTTCCGTGCTGCCCGCACTATCCGTATTCTGAATCGTGGCTCCACTATCAGGTGTTTGCTGTGGACTTTCATACAATCGTTTAAGGTAATCAGGGCACCGATTGCTCAGTTTGACCGTTACGCAACTGGCCAGGAGGGTGAGAAAAAACTGGGCACCTCTCTGCAAGTTTGTCAAAGTCACAGCTTCCATGGGGAGAGTTTGGGTTAAAAATACCAGGCAAGGCCACACAGTTGAAACAAACTTCAATTTTGAAATCTCGTTGTATTTGGTAAAAATTGTTCTGTTTGCAGAAATTGTTCTGTTTTTTAATCAGTTTCATACTTTAAACTAAAATCTTGAACTAAATGAATCACCCAGATTTCTCCTTCCAAAGAAGCATTGTGTGACCTCTATCTTGCAGATAGGCACAGCTATAAAACTTTTTCTCACTGTGACCTGACCTTTCACTTACAGTCTGGTAGAAGCATAAATTTGGGATTTCTACGTCTCTTCCGAGCTGCTCGTCTGATCAAATTGCTTCGTCAGGGCGGTACAATCCGTATTCTGCTCTGGACTTTTGTGCAATCATTCAAGGTAAATATAGTACTATGTTGAAGTTGATTGGGTGTTCACTTGTCAACAGAAAAATATATATATTATATAAAACCAAGGTAAACATAAAATGCAGACCTTTCTTAATTGTCCTCAAAGGAAACAAAATTTGAGTAAGTAATTATATATAAATAGCAAGTCTTTGAGCTGTTCATGTTTTGTGGAATAGGGTGGTTCAAAATAGCAACTTTTTTCCACTGTCAAGTTTGTCAACTTAGAATACTGAGAGAAGTTTCTTTATTTGTAGATTCATACCATATTCTCATTTATATTTCAATACAGTTGTGATATGCATTTTCATTGCAATTGATTGTGTTTATCTAGGCACTGCCCTATGTGTGTTTGCTCATCCTTATGCTGTTCTTCATATACGCCATTGTTGGGATGCAGGTAGGTTCTGTGAGTGATAAAAGTGAGATATATAATGTAAAAATTAGAAAATAAACCATTATGAAAATATCTAGAAGTTTTTATTCAGCAAAAATATTTCTTTTTGTTCTGTTTTGCTTCTCAGATCAACATTTATGTACTTCATTTAAAAAAAAAATTTTTTTTAATTTTATTTTGAAATAAGGGAGGTTTAGGTGATCATTTCATCTAAAAAATAAAATTAGACATTTGAACAATTGATATTTTGCCCTAAGACTTTGTCAGTTTATAAATAATAACATGATAGACATTAAACAATCCAAGTTTTCTTTGTAGATATTTGGAAATATTAAATTTGTCGACGACAAGGCTATCAATCGCCACAATAACTTCCGTACCTTTCCTCAAGCTGTGGTGCTGCTATTTAGGTAAGTGCTTGAATCTGTGTAACAGGTGAGCAGTGGATGCCAAGATTTTAATGTGAAAGTAATAAATAGATTATGAAAGAAAAATAAATTTGCTTTTATATGAAAAATGAGGATTAAGTTTTGCTAAGAGATGATTGTATTTTGGATTTATCCAGGTATATGGGTATTGTATTTATGCCCCCCCCCCTCCCAGCACCTCATATAGAACTGCCTTCCTCAACCTCTTGCATTTTCTTGATTTCTCTTAAAGGTCAACTATTTAAATTTTTCACCTTTCTCTTTTTACTTCTTTAAAGATAAAATAATGGTTTACAAATAAAATCCACCCCTGGGCCAGTCATGTTGTTTGGGGACGTGTTGATATATTGATTTTTAAAACCAAAATTAATACAATTACAATCAAGCTAATGGATGCAAATGAGTTTTTTTTATCAATCATATCATGCTGATCAAGGAGAATTTTTGTTTCTATCAGGAATAAAATTTTACCATTGGCCGTTTAACCAATGGTCTTACATTTTTGCCTTAAAAATGCTAAATTGCTGTCATGATGCATTTTTTAATTCCTGTTAATTGTTACATCTGAGACATGTTGCCCCTACAAGTGTCTTACGTTTTATTATTTTGGCTTCTATTTTAGGTGTTCCACTGGTGAGGCCTGGCAGGACATCATGTTGAGCTGCATTTCGGGGGCTCCATGTGAAGTGCCTGAAGATGAGGAGGAATCAAATGACTGCGGCACTGTTCTGGCATACATGTACTTTGTATCATTCGTCTTTTTCAGCTCTTTTCTTGTAAGTAACATAAATGTTGTTTGTGGTGTGTGTTATGCATATTTTCCTTTAGATATGAAAAGAATATTTTATTTCGATTAAAACAAAAAATAGATTTTGATAATGTTTTAAGTTAAAATGCAAGGAAAACACATTGATGATAGAATCTACATAATTTCTTTGTTTTTGATATTGTTATCATGATGCTTCACAAACCTATTTACAATTTGTTGTAGATGCTGAACTTGTTTGTTGCTGTTATTATGGACAATTTTGATTATTTGACTCGAGATTCCTCTATTTTGGGACCACATCATTTGGATGAGTACATCCGAGTTTGGTCAGATTATGACCCAACTGCATCGTAAGTATGGCTTTGTATAAAGAATGTATTGTATTTTTTTAAAGTAGAGTAAAGATCTACTAAGGCCATGGTAATTTATAACATGAGGATCATATCAAATATTGTTTTCTTTTATAGGATGGTCTGAAAGCATGTTTAATCATATTCTTTACTGAACATGATACTAAAAGTAGATGCATCCAAATATACATACTTGTCTTTTCTTTGAAAGGTTAGATTCATTCAAATCTGTTTCAGTGGCCGGATCTCTTACCAGGATATGTATGATTTGCTAAGAAATCTAGAACCGCCTGTAGGATTTGGCAAGAAATGTCCATACAGGCTTGCCTATAGGGTATGTGGTGGTTATTTTGTAGAAATATGACTTGTATCGTTCTGTCACTAGGGTAACTTTACTGGTCAACTACAGATAAAATAATGTTCTTGTGTGACTTAAATGTGGCCACAAGCCACGAACTTCATGGTACCTGATTTGAAGCTGGAATTAACTTAATTGCTTAGTTATTTGTAAACAAAATGTTGCACTTGCAAAGTCATAATCTGGGCTAACCACAGCATAACATCAGTGTAAGCAAGATAACTGAAACATTTAGACATCAGAAATTAAAAATTTGGTCAATAGAGTTAGAGTGTCGCATTCTGAACAGACCCTACTAGTGATGTAGATTAACCTATTATCTAGTGCATGCATACCTTACTTTGCTGGGTTGTGGTGACCCAGTCATTTATCTTAACATGACAACAAAATAGAATGCTGCTAGTAATTAACCTTAAACATTTGCACCCTTGCTCTTACCAAAAATACTAATAATTTTTGGTCTTGTAACAAGATGGTATGATGTATCGCTAAACGCTTACTAACTTTGAATTTTTGTATCAAATGTTACTACCATCCCCCTCCTGTATTAAAATCTGTTTTGACAATTGAAGTAATAACTATAGTAAAGTTGGTAACCTTTTTTTAATTGACGATATGGACAGTGAAAACAATCGCACAAAAGCACTGCTATATTTCAGTGAATCAAAATGATGATGCAAGCTTAGCAGAATGTGGTGTTTCCCAATCATAGCTTATTTACTAACTGATATCTTACAGAAACTAATCCGCATGAACATGCCTGTAGCAGAGGATGGTACTGTGCACTTTACCACTACTCTTTTTGCCTTGGTGAGGGAATCGCTTCAGATAAAGATGAGCCTAGGTATGAAAATTGAGAGTAATTTTTTTGATTAATATAGTACTAATTATTATATTTTTTTATAAATAGGATTGTTATAGGTCTGTTGTGATGGGTTTTAGGACTTATTGGAAACTGGCCCCTTCAGTTTATGCATGGTTGAAATCAATGAAATTATTAAGATGGTGGAAACAAAAAAATGGAAGCCATTTTTAAAAGTCCTGGCTTTTTCTCACATCTTACAGTAATTGTAATTGTATGGTTCTCTTAAAGCATTGTGGTTGGTCTAAAGAGCTTGATACATTCTCAAAAATTCACAGAATATTACAGAATGTTTTCATGACCAGAAAATTTGAAGTCTACTACCCAGCTTTTTATAGAAACATCCAGTTTGTACAAGCACATGGCATTTCTATATTTGCATCAAATGGATATTCAAGTGTTACACATTTGTAAAGAAAAAAGTGTAACATATACATGCAGCTCCATGTCAGTCGGAGAAAGGCCATCAATGATGACAACCACACAATAATGAAGGTTAAGATTTCCTCTGCTTTTGTACATAGAAAACATCTCATTGGATAATTTACCATGTTGAGGATGTGCAATGGCCCAACAAGGTGTATTCAAGGACAGATCATCACACCTGTAAAATTATTGATATTTATTGGAATATTGTTTCAGGTCATTGGAGAACTCATATATTATATATTTTGAGTAATTATTATGGTAATTTGTTATCTTTTGAGGTCACACAAGCCTTTTTTTATTTAAGAAAAATAATGTTTTCAGTGATATGGTGGCATGAACCTATTAGTAATTGTATTACTACGAAAACTATACCTGTCATCTGCAAAACATTAAATGTTGTGAGAAATTTCCATCTAATCATATACCTAATCTTTTGCATGGCCTTTTAGACAAGGAAGTTTCAGGTTTGGAAATTATTGATACAGTGCATTAGTGCGGTGATTTTTTTTCTTCGCTTTTCTTTTCTTTTTCTGCAACTGGTGCTACATTGAATTCTTATTGCAACACATTTGTGCACCTGTACCATTCTTTGACATATTTAAAAGATACTATCTTATGATTGCACTTAAGAAATTGCCATTTTAGTTTGGCACATATTTCAAGTACATATGCGCTCGCATATAAGGCATTGAAAACCATGAAAAACAGATCAGGTTTTGTTCATGATTGAAATTATTAAGATGGTGGAAACAGAAAAAAAAATGGAAGCCATTTTTAAAACTCCTGGTTTTTCCTCACATATTACAGTAATTGTGCTCCAGTTGCAGATCACTTGAACTGTGCGTGCGTTGTGATATATCATTTACAGAGTTTAAAGAATATGCCCAGCCTATTAAATGCCTTCTTGATAGATTTCGAAGAAAAAAGTAGACTGCTATTTTTGTAACTTTTGAACTATCACATGCTTCTTCCTTTAAATTGAAAATTTCAAAAGCCCGCTTCACTTTCTCAGCCACTTTTGCCAGCCACTGTCTTTTGAATAATTTAAAGTACCTTATAAAATCAATTCTGTTTATTTCAGTCATTAACATGCTATTTCTATGAACAGATTTATTATTTCATATTTGTTAAACCTATTTATAAATTACACTTCTAACATATTTCCAATGTATCAATTTTCATTTTATAAACTCTCTCTCATACTGACAAAGCCATGCAATTTTAGTTGAACCCATTCTTGATTGTCTAGCCTTTTAGCTGGCCAATAACATGTACATGTAAGCCAATAACATGTAACCATTGACGAAAATATGTTTCTCATATTTATCCTCAAAATACTTCAAAAACTATCTTTTAGTAGAAACATTTTGTTGAACTAGTTGATATTTGTAGTGTGGTGTATTGTCTTTGACAATTAGGCTGTGAAATGTTATTTAGATAAAATTGGTTGACTTCAGTGAGAATATTACATATCAAAAAGAGTTTGTGTGTGTGTGTGTTATTTTAGCAGGAAGGTAAATCGTTGCTGAATTTAAAAATGCTCCTTTTACAACCATCATGTTGATTGATGTGGCCAACTTGGACATAGTTTTGTATTGTGTCAGAAATGATATTTCAACAGATTACATTTGATGTTTTGAAAAGGAGTAACATGAAACGAATTTGCAGTCTGTGGGAACTGAATGTTATTGTAATTTGGGAGTGTGCAGTTTAGGTCATTTATTATTTGATAAACTTCGTAAAAAAACTTCTTCAGACAAATGTTGGAAATTAAAATTTGAAATTTGATAGACACATAAATTTGATTTAGATTAGGGATAAGCCATCTATAATAAAAAGCATTTTACACTTCTGTTAATACTGAAATATGAAATGATGTAGGCTTTTGGTTTATTCATAATTAGTTGAATACAAATGTGATGACAAAGAATGATAATAACAATGCCCAATGTAACAAGAAAATCTACATGTTATTTTAAAGAAAGTGTAAATTAGGTCCAGTTTTTATGTAATCTTAATACATTGTGAAGTTTTATACATCTTTACTGCTTTCATTTTATAGCTGATGAAATGGATCAAAAGGATGAAGAACTCAGAGATGTTATACGGAAAATGTGGCCCTTGCAGTCAAAGAAACCAAAGACTATCAAGTTGTTGGTGCCACCAAATGAAGGTTTGGGTTCACTTGATTTATTACAATTATGTTTTCATTAAAGAAAAGCTGTATCAATTATCATGATGATAGCTAGGCCAGGGTGAAGAATAAGCGTTAAAGGACAATGTTCATGTAAAAATCCATTTCTCGAATTTTGAAGATACAGCACTCAATCTATACACTAGAGGTATGTTTTAATCGATCCCCGCCATTTAAAAATTATAAAAACAATCTGTTAGTAGAAAAAAAAGCGTTTTAGTAAACCTCACCTCNAGGCCATTCTGACAGCATGAAGCAAACCCTTTAAGTTACAGACTTCATCTTACTGAAAATTGTGGGTGGAAATCAAAAAGTAGTTGTAGTAATATTAAAATGCAGTTATTATGAGCATCTATTATAATTGAAAGATAAAAGTTGAAACATCCAGACATTTAGATATCATTTGGTCAACTTAATGAAAAAATTAAGGATTTTATCATTTTCATGCATAGATAACATATGTTTATTTATATTTTTTTTTCAGAATTGAATAATGGAAAGATGACAGTTGGTAAGATCTATGCAGGCCTTCTGATAGCAGAGAACTGGAAAGCCTACAAAGCCAGTCAGACAAGAACAAACCATGCCAAATCAGTAAGTTTTCCAGAAATTCATCTGATTCATTTCTCTTATTTTCAGGAAATGGCAACTAATGTTCCAATTGCTGGCATTTGCTTCAGTGCAATAAAAATCTATAAAAGTTACACCTTTCAAGTAAAATCTGTTGTTAAAAGAGTCTTGTAAGTGAATGGCTTATTATGATAGACATTTGCCTTTGTGCTTTAACTATACGCCCAAATGTAATGGTGCTCTTTCGTATTTCTTTATGTAAATAATGGGCAATATGTACTATTTTCTGTGCCTTTAATATACATAAAGATGATCTTCTTAAATGGTACCCCTACACCCCTTCCCAACTCACCAATTAAACACCTGCACCCTACCCAATGCACCTATTAATCAACTGCTGCGTGTTTGCACAGTCACCTATAGTGATGTATAACCAACACAGTAAAAGTGCCTTAGTTTAAACTGTGAACTAACATTCTAAGTCCATAATACTTACAATTGATTTTTTTATTATGCTTTCTTATCTACAATGTAGCCTCATTGTAATGTTGATCAAGTCGAAAATTGTGAGGTAGTTTACTATATATTTAGCATCTGTGTAAAAATCCCACTGCTGCTGCCACTGTTGCCACCTATAGTTGGAGAAGTTCCCATGTACAGAACAGAACAGTGTTCATTTTTGCAAATTAAGCTGCATGCTAGTCAAAGGGCAACTGGGGAAGGGATGGGCAATTAGATATTATGTATACATATCCATAAACTAGTATCTCTTATAAACAGGTACTTGGGTTCATGCATGAAATGTTCTGAATCATTTTTATGGTGATGTATATGATTGCAACTGTCCTCATTGGAAATACGTTTCTTAACTGTTAACCTGATACTTATAAATGAGCACTGTTTAACTGGGATTTTAATCCTGGTGAGGAAGGCAAGTGTATATTCTGTGGTGAGAGCTGTTCCCAAAGGTGCATGCAATTAAAGTGATTTTCATTAATTAAAAAGGTAAAATCACTTTAATTTTATGGTAAATGGGTGATACGGTTCAGAACCACAAGGAGCTAAAGCATCATGGCAACATCTGTTCTTGTGAGTAGATAGATGTAACCTGCTTCTCCCCACCTTCTTGTTGCAGGTCACTCCTCCACCTCCTAAAAAAGCTGAAGAGGTTAGTCTGCACAAGCACTGTAATCTTCACATGACTTGATTACTATCACTGACTGATGATCAGTAGTCAACACAAGTCATGTGGCTTTCAATTTTTTACATTTTGCATGTTTGCTTGCAGAAATTTACTATGTAGTTGTATTTTTTCAGTATTAATTCATGTATACTTTTTATGAATGTTGATTGAAATTGTGGATGATACTCTTCACTGCAAACCATACTAAGCCTTGTAATGTAGTCACTTTCCTCCATTTTCATACCACTAACATTTTCAATGAATAATTTATTTTACAAAATGTAATTCCTGTAAGACCTGTCAAGTGAAGGTGCAAACAAAATATACCAGACAATCCTTGAACTAAAGATGCATGCTTTGCTTATGGACAGTGGTTGGGGGATTTCTAAATGTGTTTTAGTTTTGTTTTAGAAGTAGTTCAAGTTTTTTATTGGTGGTCATTACTTATATTAAGCCAGTATCCAAAATTATAGATATTTAGCATCCTACCTTATATTTATAGTTCCCAACATACGTATGTCATCTGGGTATTCAGAAATTGCTCAAGGATGAATGGATGTTGGAAAGAAGTTTTACTTTATAACATACAAAATTTTGAACTTGTTGGCTTCAAAAACAAATACCTACAATCTAAAAAAAAGCTGTTGACTGGATTCTATTTGTTTGAATCAGTGTCACAGACATTCTGCTTGCTCAGTTTGAATACCCATCTGTAGAACATTGGTGTATTTTCATTTCATGTTGTAAGCTACAAGCTAAGATATTGCATTCCACATTTCTTTAAAACATGCTTGGATGGATTAGTGCATAATTTTGGGCAATGACATTGCAGTATAACACATCTCTTGATCTAAATTTTATAGAATTAATGTCACTGATTTGAGGCGATTTGCATCTTGGATTTGATGCCCAAGTAGCTACTGATATTGTGCATGACCTTGAGGCTTGACCTTGACCCTGGTTTCTTGTGATAAGATTTAAATCTTGAGATGTTATGTGTTATTGTCTTTTTAAATGCTGGTGATTGATTTGTAACGTATTTCATTAAAGCCACTCATTTCCTTTAAAACTTACAAATAATTGTGTCAAAGATATTTATAAAGAAAGCCACCTTGATTATAGGTATTGCATGGAAATATCAGCATAAAAAGACAATTATATACTTACAATGATATCAGTACAGCTCAAAGGTTATGTTACATACATATATAACCTAGGAGCTGCCCTGTATTTTTGTGTTGAAATTTTCCCTTGCTTATTACCATACTAAACACTTGCTATATTGATTATATTCAGGTGTGCATTTTTATATATGCTAACAATGTTATGCTTTGCCAATGGGAAATGCTGTCTCAGTTGTAAGGACGTTTTTGGAAAAATTACCCATATGACATTAAATATCCAAAACTTGAAGTTTATACATAACAAAACAGATCATATACATATACATTTTTCAGTTGGAGTCAAACTCAAGCAAATTGACATTCAAAGTGTTTCCCCTTGGCTTCTGGAAATTTTGCTTTTGAATGGGCATGTATATGCATGATTGCTGATTATTTAATATTTTTCTTCCTTGTGCTCCACAGTTTATTAAGTTTCTGCAAGATGCAAAGGTATATATGATTTTTTTGTAATCAAACCTTTGGCCTGACTGATCAATCAATCAATCAATCAATCAATCAATCAATCAACTTCTAGCAGAAACCAGTGTCTTAGAGTTCAGACCATTGGAATTTTAACAGTATTTTGATAAACTTTTTATTGGTTAATTCAGTTATTTTGATTGATAAGTCTGGTCTAGGTATTGTATATGATATATGACTTGGGTCATGCTAGCATATATTTTCTCTTTTAGCCAGACTTTACTAAATTTTACCAAATCACCAATACAAAAACAAAAAAAATAATAAAAAAAATAATAAAAAATAAATAAATAAAATAAAATAAAATAAAATAAAATTGGTCTGTGTTTTCATTGTATTAAGTCAAAATATCCCCATCTTTCCCCTGTGGCTTATATATACTGGCATGAGCTTAGCAATGATTAAGTGGCGATATTGTAATTCCTGGTACTGGCTGGTTGCCTGCCTGCTCGCAATGTACCCGGGCTAGATATGTGCATGTTATGAAATTAAAGCTAGGTGTGTGCATTATTAATGTTTTAAGCATATATGTGCATTATTGATGTTTTAAGTATATATTTGCATTATTGATGTTAAAAAGCTAGGTGTGTGCAGTAAGGCTGTTTAAAGTCTGGGTATACATATTTTGGGTATTATAGGTTTGTATGTGTGGATTAAGGGCATTATAAGGCTTGATATGTGTATTATGGAAACGATGAGGTTAGGTATGCGTTTTGTTATGTATATGTGCAGAAAAAGAGTCTGCTGTACACTGCCATGAGGAGATGAATACCAGAGTTACTGGTTATATGATGACAAAGTGCCCATATGTGGATAATAAGAAACTGGTTTAAAGAAACAATTATACAAAATGTATCTTGTGGCATTAATTCATAGGTATTGCTGGTGGTACCTATTTTCAGAAGCAAGTTACACCTCTCTTTACCTTTGCCAAGACAAAATTAATGGTCAGGATTTTGATCTGGAAATGAGAAAATTTACAAATCCCATCTATTGTGAAAAAAAAGTTTTTAATGTACAATCTTGTCTTTGTAAAGCAGACTCATTCATAAATGTATTGTCAGTCTTGTCCTTACTGTCACAGTGACTGTAATGTTACTGTATGTGTTTAAATATGATGTACTGTACTGTATAAAGCTGTGTTGTTGATGTTTATGTTAGATTGTTATAAATTGGTAACAACAGAGCTTATGGATTTTAATGAAAATAGTATACAAAACTTGGGATCAAAAAAGGGAGAGTTCAGCACTGGTTGAGGTAAAACAGGATTGAGACTGAGTCAAGAGAAATAGTTTAATATGTGAACCTGTCCACTATGTAAATCAATGACTAAGGACAAATAGTGAGTTGATGGGTTAATCAAAGTGTTATCTTCAACTCCCCAGTTTCATATTTCATTTCATTCAGTCCCAATGTGTTATTTGCCAGTAGGCTCTAGAGGAGATTGATACATTGAAAATGTTTTGAAACACCACTTTACTTTATAAATCCTAAAAGCATTCTGATCTCATGTGAATATAAGATTTTTTTATTGCAGCATGTCTTGACAATGCAAAAATTTTTTTCACATCAGTTATGTTTTCGATTTGTATCTCATTTCAGTTTCCATGCTTTAAAAAATGCCCTTATAATTATAATTATTATTATTATAAAGATTTGGCCCAAACGTGTAATTGTGAAGGATTTGCCCGTAGCCAGAAAGATATTGTTTAGAGTATTAAAGCTAATCATGTTCATTAATATAATGGTCTTCAGTTACTGCTTTGCAGTTAATGATTCAGAAGGTGTGTAGAAAAATCATCAAAAACAATTAATTTATGTTGCACTTATCTCAGAAATTTTTCTGGTGGTAGTTACTTTTCTATGTATTGAAGAAATTGCTTTATCAAGGCAGTATTGGAACATTTTTTTTTACTCTGATGTAAATGGCTTCCCATGGGTAACAAGGGATTTAGTGCCATCTAGTGTCAATTTTTACAATAAGAGTTGAGATTCAGTACACTAATTGTTTTAATCATTATGGATGGCTGTTCTTTCATATGATATGATTCAACACTGTACTTGCTTACTTTCACAATCACTGATTGAGAATATTTGACCTTGGCATCCAATTGTCAAGTATTACATAAAAATGCATTCAAAAACATGTTCATTGAACAAGATTGTTAGATAAGTTAGGTATTATTTAGTTACATGCAGTTATGTTGGCACAGCATCTAGATATTTGTTGACCAAATGGTATAAATCTCTTTTCCAGAGACCCCAGTCATTGTTGAAGAGAGTAATGGGTGTTCTGAAGACCACACCCACCCAGGACAGTTTTGATAATGGAGATGAATATGGCCATGAGCCTGGATACAGGTACTGAACACTTGACCACAGTTTGTGGCTTGTCTGAAAAGTTTATTTTGCTGTGAGTCTCAACATCTGTCTTCGATATTACAGGATGTGAAAGGGCTGGGGGGGGGGGGGGGGGGANGAAAATATCTAGAAGTTTTTATTCAGCAAAAATATTTCTTTTTGTTCTGTTTTGTTTCTCAGATCAACATTTATGTACTTCATTGTCAAAACAATTTTATTAAAAATTTTATTTTGAAGTAAGGGAGGTTTAGGTGATCATTTCATCTAAAAAATAAAATTAGACATTTGAACAATTGATATTTTGCCCTAAGACTTTGTCAGTTTATAAATAATAACATGATAGACATTAAACAATCCAAGTTTTCTTTGTAGATATTTGGAAATATTAAATTTGTCGACGACAAGGCTATCAATCGCCACAATAACTTCCGTACCTTTCCTCAAGCCGTGGTGCTGCTATTTAGGTAAGTGCTTGAATCTGTGTAACAGGTGAGCAGTGGATGCCAAGATTTTAATGTGAAAGTAATAAATAGATTATGAAAGAAAAATAAATTTGCTTTTATATGAAAAATGAGGATTAAGTTTTGCTAAGAGATGAATGTATTTTGGATTTATCCAGGTATATGGGTATTGTATTTATGCCCCCCCCCTCCCAGCACCCCATATAGAACTGCCTTCCTCAACCTCTTGCATTTTCTTGATTTCTCTTAAAGGTCAACTATTTAAATTTTTCACCTTTCTCTTTTTACTTCTTTAAAGATAAAATAATGGTTTACAAATAAAATCCACCCCTGAGCCAGTCATGTTGTTTGGGGACATGTTGATATATTAATTTTTAAAACCAAAATTAATACAATTACAATCAAGCTAATGGATGCAAATGAGTTTTTTTTTATCAATCATATCATGCTGATCAAGGAGAACTTTTGTTTCTATCAGGTATTAATCTTTACCATTGGCTGTTTAACCAGAGGTCTTACATTTTTGCCTTAAAAAATGCTAAATTGCAGCCATGATACATTTTTTAATTCCTGTTAATTGTTACATCTGAGACATGTTGCCCCTACAAGTGTCTTACGTTTTATTATTTTGGCTTCTATTTTAGGTGTTCCACTGGGGAGGCCTGGCAAGACATCATGTTGAGCTGCATTTCGGGGGCTCCATGTGAAGTGCCTGAAGACGAGGAGGAATCAAATGACTGCGGCACTGTTCTGGCATACATGTACTTTGTATCATTCGTCTTTTTCAGCTCTTTTCTTGTAAGTAACATAAATGTTGTTTGTGGTGTGTGTTATGCATATTTTCCTTTAGATATGAAAAGGATATTTTATTTCGATCAAGACAAAAAATAGATTTTGATAATGTTTTAATTTAAAATGCAAGGAATATACATTGATGATAGAATCTACATAAATTCTTTGCTTTTTATATCGTTATCATGATGTTTCACAAACCTATTTACAATTTGTTGTAGATGCTGAACTTGTTTGTTGCTGTTATTATGGACAATTTTGATTATTTGACACGAGATTCCTCTATTTTGGGACCACATCATTTGGATGAGTATATCCGAGTTTGGTCAGATTATGATCCAACTGCATCGTAAGTATGGCTTTGTATAAAGAATGTACTGTATTTTTTTAAAAGTAGAGTAAAGATCAACTCAGGCCATGGTAATTTATACAAAATGATAATATCAAATATTGTATTCTTTTATAGGATGGTGTGAAAGCATGTTTAATCATATTCTTTACTGAACATGATACTAAAAGTAGATGCATCCAAATATACATACTTGTCTCTTCTTTGAAAATTTAGATTCATTCAAATCTGTTTCAGTGGCCGGATCTCTTACCAGGATATGTATGACTTGCTAAGAAATCTAGAACCGCCTGTAGGATTTGGCAAGAAATGTCCATACAGGCTTGCCTATAGGGTATGTGGTGGTTATTTTGTTGAAATATGACTTGCATAGTTCTGGTCAGCTACAGATAAAATGTTCTTGTGTGACTTAAATGTGGCCACAAGCCACGAACTTCATGGTACCTGATTTGAAGCTGGAATGAACTTAATTGCTTAGTTATTTGTTAACAAAATGTTGCACTTGCAAAGTCATAATCTGGGCTAACCATAGCATAACATTGGTGTGAGCAAGATAACTGAAACATTTAGACATCAGAAATTAAAAATTTGGTCAATAGAGTTAGAGTGTCGCATTCTGAACAGACCCTAATAGTGATGTAGATTAACCTATTATTTAGCGCATGCATACCTTACTTTGCTGGGTTGTGGTGACCCAGTCATTTATCTTAACATGACAACAAAATAGAATGCTGCTAGTAATTAACCTTAAACATTTGCACCCTTGCTCTTACCAAAAATACTAATAATTTTTGGTCTTGTAACAAGATGGTATGATGTATCGCTAAACGCTTACTAACTTTGAATTTTTGCATCAAATGTTACTACCATCCCCCTCCTGTATTAAAATCTGTTTTGACAATTGAAGTAATAACTATAGTAAAGTTGGTAACCTTTTTTTAATTGACGATATGGACAGTGAAAACAATTAATATTTCAGTGAATCAAAATGATGATGCAAGCTTAGCAGAATGTGGTGTTTCCCAATCATAGCTTATTTACTAACTGATATCTTACAGAAACTAATCCGCATGAACATGCCTGTAGCAGAGGATGGTACTGTGCACTTTACCACTACTCTTTTTGCCTTGGTGAGGGAATCGCTTCAGATAAAGATGAGCCTAGGTATGAAAATTGAGAGTAATTTTTATGATTAATATAGTACTAATTATTATAATTTTTATATAAATAGGATTGTCATGGGTCTGTTGTTTTTACAAGCACATGGCATTTCTATATTTGCATCAAATGGATAATTAAGTGTTACACATTTGTAAAAAAAAAGTGTAACATGTACATGCAGCTCCATGTCAGTGGGAGAAAGGCCATCAATGATGACAATCACACAATAATGAATGTAAAGATTTCCTCTGCTTTTGTACATAGAGAATATCTTACTGGATAATTTACCATATTGAGGATGTACAATGGCCCAACACGGTGTATTCAAGGACAGATCATCACACATGTAAAATTATTGATATTTATTGGAATATTGTTTCAGGTCGTTGGAGAACTCATATTATATATTTTGAATAATAAGTATAGTAATTTGTTATCTTTTGAGATCACACAAGCCTTTATTTAAAAAAAAATAATGATATTTTCAGTGATATGGTGGCATGAACCTATCAGTCATTGTATTACTGTGAAATCTATACCTGTCATCTGCAAAACATTAAATGTTGTGAGAAATTTCCATCTAATCATATACCTAATCTTTTGCATGGCCTTTTAGACAAGGAAGTTTCAGGTTTGGAAATTATTGATACAGTGCATTAGTGCGGTATTTTTTTTTTCTTTGCTTTTCTTTTCTTTTTCTGCAACTGGTGCTACATTGTATTCTTATTGCAACACATTTGTGCACCTGTACCATTCTTTGACATATTTAAAAGATACTATCTTATGATTGCACTTAACAAATTGCCATTTTAGTTTGGCACATATTTCAAGTACATATATACGCTCCCTTATAAGGCATTGAAAACCATGAAAAACAGATCAGGTTTTGTTCATGATTGAAATTATGGTGGAAACAGAAAAAAAATGGAAGCCATTTTTTAAACTCCTGGCTTTTTCTCACATATTACAGTAATTGTGCTCCAGTTGCAGATCACTTGAACTGTGCGTGCGTTGTGATATATCATTTACAGAGTTTAAAGAATCTGCCCAGCCTATTAAATGCCTTCTTGATAGATCTTGAAGAAGAAAATAGACTGCTATTTTTGTAACTTTTTAACTATCACATGCTTCTTCCTTTAAATTGAAAATTTCAAAAGCCCGCTTCACTTTCTCAGCCACTTTTGCCAGCCACTGCCTTTTGAATAATTAAAAGTACCTTATAAAATCAATTATATTTATTTCAGTCATTAACATGCTATTTCTATGAACAGATTTATTATTTCATTTGTTAAACCTATTTATAAATTACACTTCTAACATATTTCCAATGTATCAATTTTCATTTTATAAACTCTCTCTCATACTGACAAAGCCAGGCAATTTTAGTTGAACCCATTCTTGATTGTCTAGCCTTTTAGCTGGCCAGATACAAGCCAATAACATGTAACCATTGATGAAAATATGTTTCTCATATTTATCCTCAAAATACTTCAAAAACTATCTTTTAGTAGAAACATTTGGTTGAACTAGTTGATATTTGTAGTGTGGTGTATTGTCTTTGACAATTAGGCTGTGAAATGTTATTTAGACAAAATTGGTTGACTTCAGTGAGTGTATTACATATCAAAAAGAGTTTGTGTGTGTGTGTGTTATTTTAGCAGGAAGGTTAATCGTTGCTGAATTTAAAAATGCTCCTTTTACAACCATCATGTTGATTGATGTGGCCAACTTGGACATAGTTTTGTATTGTGTCAGAAATGATATCTCAACAGATTACATTTGATGTTTTGAAAAGGAGTAACATGAAACAAATTTGCAGTCTTTGGGATCTGAATGTTATTGTAATTTGGGAGTGTGCAGTTTAGGTCATTTATTATTTGAAAAACTTTGTAAAAAAAACTTCTTCAGACAAATGCTGGAAATTAAAATTTGAAATTTGATAGACACATAAATTTGATTTAGATTAGGGATAAGCCATCTATAATAAAAAGCATTTTACACTTCTGTTAATACTGAAATATGAAATGATGTAGGCTTTTGGTTTATTCATAATTAGTTGAATACAAATGTGATGATAAAGAATGATAATAACAATGCCCAATGTAACAAGAAAATCTACATGTTATTTTAAAGAAAGTGTAAATTAGGTCCAGTTTTTATGTAATCTTAATACATTGTGAAGTTTTATACATCTTTACTGGTTTCATTTTATAGCTGATGAAATGGATCAAAAGGATGAAGAACTCAGAGATGTTATACGGAAAATGTGGCCCTTGCAGTCAAAGAAACCAAAGACTATCAAGTTGTTGGTGCCACCAAATGAAGGTTTGGGTTCACTTGATTTATTACAATTAAGTTTGCATTAAAGAAAAGCTGTATCAATTATCATGATGATAGCTAGGCCAGGGTGAAGAATAAGGGTTAAGTTACAGACTTCATCTTACTGAAAATTGTGGGTGGAAATCAAAAAGTAGTTGTAGTAATGTTAAAATGCAGTTATTATAAGCATCTATTATAATTGAAAGATAAAAGTTGAAACATCCAGACATTTAGATATCATTTGGTCAACTTAATGAAAAAATTAAGGATTTTATCATTTTCATGCATAGATAACATATGTTTATTTATATTTTTTTTTTTCAGAATTGAATAATGGAAAGATGACAGTTGGTAAGATCTATGCAGGCCTTCTGATAGCAGAGAACTGGAAAGCCTACAAAGCCAGTCAGACAAGAACAAACCATGCCAAATCAGTAAGTTTTCCAGGAATTCATCTGATTCATTTCTCTTATTTTCAGGAAATGGCAATTAATGTTCCAATTGCTGGCATTTGCTTCAGTGCAATAAAAATCTATAAAAGTTATACCTTTCAAGTAAAATCTGTTGTTAAAGGAGTCTTGTAATTGAATGGCTTATTATGATAGACATTTGCCTTTGTGCTTTAACTATATGCCCAAATGTAATGGTGCTCTTTCGTATTTCTTTATGTAAATAATGGGCAATATGTACTACTTTCTGTGCCTTTAATATACATAAAGATTATCTTCTTAAATGGTACCCCTACACCCCTTCCCAACTTACCAATTAAACACCTCCTGCACCCTACCCAATGCACCTATTAATCAACTGCTGCGTGTTTGCAAAGTCACCTATAGTGATGTATAACCAACACAGTAAAAGTGCCTTAGTTTAAACTCTGAACTAACATTCTAAGTCCATAATACTTACAATTGATTTTTTTATTATGCTTTCTTATCTACAATGTAGCCTCATTGTAATGTTGATCAAGTCGAAAATTGTGAGGTAGTTTACTATATATTTAGCATCTGTGTAAAAATCCCACCGCTGCCACCACTGTTGCCACCTATAGTTGGAGAAGTTCCCATGTACAGAACAGAACAGTGTTCATTTTTGGCAAATTAAGCTGCATGCTAGTCAAATGGTAACTGGGAGAGGGATGAAGAATTAGATAATATGTGTTCATATCCATAAACTAGTATCTCTTATAAACAGGTACTTGGGTTCATGCATGAAATGTTCTGAATCATTTTTATGGTGATGTATATGATTGCAACTGTCCTCATTGGAAATACGTTTCTTAACTGTTAACCTGATACTTATAAATGAGCACTGTTTAACTGGGATTTTAATCCTGGTGAGGAAGGCAAGTGTATACTCTGTGGTGAGAGCTGTTCCCAAAGGTGCATGCAATTAAGGTGATTTTCATTAATTAAAAAGGTAAAATCACTTTAATTTTATGGTAAATGGGTGATACGGTTCAGAACCACAAGGAGCTGAAGCATCATGGCAACATCTGTTCTTGTGAGTAGATAGATGTAACCTGCTTCTCCCCACCTTCTTGTTGCAGGTCACTCCTCCACCTCCTAAAAAAGCTGAAGAGGTTAGTCTGCACAAGCACTGTAATCTTCACATGACTTGATTACTATCACTCACTGATGATCAGTAGTCAACACAAGTCATGTGGCTTTCAATTATTACATTTTGCATGTTTGCTTGCAAAAATTTACTATGTAGTTGTATTTTTTCAGTATTCATGTATATTTTTTATGAATGTTGATTGAAATTGTGGATGATACTCTTCACTGCAAACCATACTAAGCCTTGTAATGTAGTCACTTTCCTCCGTTTTCATACCAATAACATTTTCAATGAATTATTTACTTTACAAAATGTAATTCCTGTAAGACCTGTCAAGTGAAGGTGCAAACAAAATATACCAGACAATCCTTGAACTAAAGATGCATGCTTTGCTTATGGACAGTGGTTGGGGGATTTCTAAATGTGTTTTAGTTTTGTTTAAGAAGTAGTTCAAGTTTTTTTTATTGGTGGTCATTACTTATATTAAGCCAGTATCCAAAATTATAGATATTTAGCATCCTACCTTATATTTGTAGTTCCCAATATATGTCATCTGGGTATTCAGAAAGTGCTCAAGGATGAATGGATGTTGAAAAGAAGTTTTACTTTATAACATACAAAATTTTGAACTTGTTGGCTTCAAAAACAAATACCTACAATTTAAAAAAAAGCTGTTGACTGGATACAGTTTGTTTGAATCAGTGTCACAGACATTCTGTTTGCTCAGTTTGAATACCCATCTGTAGAACATACCGTAGTGTAGGTGTATTTTCATTTCATGTTGTGAGGTACAAAATATTGCATTCCACATTTTTTTAAAACATGCTTGGATGGACTAGTGCATAATTTTGGGCAATGACATTGCAGTATAACACATCTCTTGATCTGAATTTTATAGAATTAATGTCACTGATTTGAGGTGATTTGCATCTTGAATTTGATGCCCAAGTAGCTACTGATATTGTGCATGACCTTGAGGTTTGACCTTGACCCTGGTTTCTTGTGATAAGATTTAAATCTTGAGATGTTATGTGTTATTGTCTTTTTAAATGCTGGTGATTGATTTGTAACATATTTCATTAAAGCCACTCATTTCCTTTAAAACTTACAAATAATTGTGTCAAAGATATTTATAAAGAAAGCCACCTTGATTATAGGTATTGCATGGAAATATCAGCATAAAAAGACAATTATATACTTACTATGATATCAGTACAGCTCATAGGTTATGTTACATACATATATAACCTAGGAGCTGCCCTGTATTTTTGTGTTGAAATTTTCCCTTGCTTATTACCATACTAAACACTTGCTATATTGATTATATTCAGGTGTGCATTTTTATATATGCTAACACTGTTATGCTTTGCCAATGGGAAATGCTGTCTCAGTTGTAAGGACGTTTTTGGAAAAATTACCCATATGACATTAAATATACAAAACTTGAAGTTTATACATAACAAAACAGATCATATGAATATACATTTTTCAGTTGGAGTCAAACTCAAGCAAATTGACATTCAAAGTGTTTCCCCTTGGCTTCTGGAAATTTTGCTTTTGAATGGGCATGTATATGCATGATTGCTGATTATTTAATATTTTTCTTCCTTGTGCTCCACAGTTTATTAAGTTTCTGCAAGATGCAAAGGTATATATGATTTTTTTGTAATCAAACCTTTGGCCTGACTGATCAATCAATCAATCAATCAATCAATCAATCAATCAACTTCTAGCAGAAACCAGTGCCTTAGAGTTCAGACCATTGGAATTTTAACAGTATTTTGATAAACTTTTTATTGGTTAATTCAGTTATTTTGATTGATAAGTCTGGTCTAGGTATTGTATATGATATATGACTTGGGTCATGCTAGCATATATTTTCTCTTTTAGCCAGACTTTACTAAATTTTACCAAATCACCAATACAAAAAAAAAAAATAATAAAAAAAAAAATAATAAATAAATAAATAAAATAAAATAAAATTGGTCTGTGTTTTCATTGTATTAAGTCAAAATATCCCCATCTTTCCCCTGTGGCTTATATATACTGGCATGAGCTTAGCAATGATTAAGTGGCGATATTGTAATTCCTGGTACTGGCTGGTTGCCTGCCTGCTCGCAATGTACCCGGGCTAGATATGTGCATGTTATGAAATTAAAGCTAGGTGTGTGCATTATTAATGTTTTAAGCATATATGTGCATTATTGATGTTTTGAGTATATATTTGCATTATTGATGTTAAAAAGCTAGGTGTGTGCAGTATGGCTGTTTAAAGTCTGGGTATACATATTTTGGGTATTATAGGTTTGTATGTGTGGATTAAGGGCATTATAAGGCTTGATATGTGTATTATGGAAACGATGAGGTTAGGTATGTGTTTTGTTATGTATATGTGCAGAAAAAGAGTCTGCTGTACACTGCCATGAGGAGATGAATACCAGAGTTACTGGTTATATGATAACAAAGTGCCCATATGTGGATAATAAGAAACTGGTTTAAAGAAACAATTATACAAAATGTATCTTGTGGCATTAATTCATAGGTATTGCTGGTGGTACCTATTTTCAGAAGCAAGTTACACCTCTCTTAACCTTTGCCAAGACAAAATTAATGGTCGGGATTTTGATCTGGAAATGAGAAAATTTACAAATCCCATCTATTGTGAAAAAAAGTTTTTAATGTACATTCTTGTCTTTGTAAAGCAGACTCATTCATAAATGTATTGTCAGTCTTGTCCTTACTGTCACAGTGACTGTAATGTTACTGTATGTGTTTAAATATGATGTACTGTACTGTATAAAGCTGTGTTGTTGATGTTTATGTTAGATTGTTATAAATTGGTAACAACAGAGCTTATGGGTTTTAATGAAAATAGTATACAAAACTTGGGATCAAAAAAAGGGAGAGTCCAACACTGGTTAAGGTAAAACAGGATTGAGACTGAGTCAAGAGAAATAGTTTAATATGTGAACCTGTCCACTATGTAAATCAGTGACTCAGGACAAATGGTGAGTTGATGGGTTAATCAAAGTGTTATCTTCAAGTCCCCAGTTTCATATTTCATTTCGTTCAGTCCCAATGTGTTATTTGTCAGTAGGCTCTGGAGGAGATTGATACATTGAAAATGTTTTGAAACACCACTTTACTTTATAAATCCTAAAAGCATTCTAATTTCATGTGAATGTAAGATTTTTTTTTATTGCAACATGTCTTGACAATGCAAGAAATTTTTTCACATCAGTTATGTTTTCAATTTGTATCTGATTTCAGTTTCCATGCTTTAAAAAAATGCCCTTATTATTATGATTATTATTATTATAAAGATTAGGCCCAAACGTGTAATTGTGAAGGTTTTGCCTGTAGCCACAAAGATATTGTTTAGAGTATTAAAGCTAATCATGTTCATTAATATAATGATCTTCAGTTACTGCTTTGCAGTTAATGATTCAGAAGGTGTGTAGAAAATCACCAAAAACAATCTATGTTGCACTTATCTCAGAAAATTTTCTGGTGGTAGTTACTTTTCTATGTATTGATGAAATTGCTTTATCAAGGCAGTATTGGAACATTTTCTTTTGAATCTGATATAAATGGCTTCCCATGGGAAACAAGGGATTTAATGCCATCTAGTGTCAATTTTTACAATAAGAGTTGAGATTCAGTACACTAATTGTTTTAATCATTATGGATGGCTGTTCTTTCATATGATATGATTCAACACTGAATACTTGCTTACTTTCACAATCACTGATTGAGAATATTTGACCTTGGCATCCAATTGTCAAGTATTACGGTACATAAAAATGCATTCGAAAACATGTTCATTGAACAAGATTGTTAGATAAGTTAGGTATTATTTAGTTACATGCAGTTATGTAGGCACAGCATCTACATATTTGTTGACCAAATGGTGTAAATCTCTTTTCCAGAGACCCCAGTCATTGCTGAAGAGAGTAATGGGTGTTCTGAAGACCACGCCCACCCAGGACAGTTTTGATAATGGAGATGAATATGGCCATGAGCCTGGATACAGGTACTGACCACTTGACCACACAGTTTGTGGCTTGTCTGAAAAGTTTATTTTGCTGTGAGTCTCAACATCTGTCTACGATATTACAGGATGTGAAAGGGCTGGGGGGGGGGGGAACTTTACAATAAGACCTGGAATAAGACCTGAAGGGCAGTGCAAATTTTAAACAATTTTAAACATTGCTGCTGATCAGATTTTATATTTGACATCTTCACAGAGTAGTACTTTGAACTGATTTTATTATCCAAAAAAGTGTTGGCCAGAGTCAGTTCTATTTAATTGGTTCAAANTACTTTACAATAAGACCTGGAATAAGACCTGAAGGGCAGTGCAAATTTTAAACAATTTTAAACATTGCTGCTGATCAGATTTTATATTTGAAATCATTACAGAGTAGTACTTTGAACTGATTTTATTATCCAAAAAAGTGTTGGCCAGAGTCAGTTCTATTTAATTGGTTCAAAACCCAATAGCTTTAAACGAAAATCAACATGAAAAAATGGTGAACAAATGAATGGGAATATGTACTGTAAGTGTCGGGAAGAACCACTTGATAATTCTCACTCATATAAAAGACATTTCCTTAGTCTCTGAAACTAGATATTCTCTGACTCATTTATTTCATGAACCTGAGAGTTGTTTTTGCTAAATCTTGAAAAGAAAAAGACCCATGGCTTAATTTACAATTTGCTGAAAAAGTAAAATGTATGTAATGCTTCTTTATGTGTGGAAAATTGCATACATTTCTTCTCCTTCCTTGAAAGGGTTTGAGTGATTGAAATGTTCCTGCTTTTCTTACTGTTTTCTGAACTTATAAGCTAAGATTCATACTGATTTTGCTGTCATATTCTCATCTGTACATTTTGTGAATAGCTATGCAGTGTACTGAGGTTCCACATATTAATCCCCAAGTATGACTAGGAAAATTGTGCAAAAGTGGTATATGCTTAGTTTTATAGTTGGCAGAAATTACTTACAAGTTTTTTTTTTTTTTTTTTTTTTTTTTTTTTTTTTTTTTTTTTTTTTTTTTTTTTTTTTTTTTTGTTTGGGCAGATACACCAGCTGAAAGAATAATACAAAATCTTGCAAATACCAACACATTTGTAACTAGTTGAATATGAATACTAGGAAGGGTGGAATGCTTGAAGATATTTCAATGTTACATTCAGTTAGAAATGCGGAGAATGAAGTCTTTTAAAAGGGAAATCAACATAGATTTATTTCAGCATTGGAACATCTACTAGTTTTGTATCATACAGAAAACAAAAATGATAAATCAATTTAAATGGAATGTATTTAGATGCTCAATTTTGTTTTGCTTTTTCCTCCCCTGCTTTTCTGCTAGCCCCAATCACTTGTCTCCATCACGGGGACTGATTGGGACTAGCTCTCGCTCAGGAAGCAAGCAAAGGTGAGGCACTAGCTGTCACAACTAATGCAATAGCTGACACCTGCTTATGGCACAACTAACGCAATGACTAATACATGCTTCTAGGATTGCAGTAACCAGCACCAGTTGCTAATTGCACAACCCATCACAATTACCATCACAATGTCAAATTTATCACTTGGTTTAGCTGATATTTTTATTGCACCATTGAATATCATTTGCATATTGAAAGGTTTTTTTATTTAATGCATTAACCAAAACCTGTATGCCAAGAAATAGGTTTTTACCTTTTAATTAATGAATTTGATTTGTTCATCATTATGAATGGCTTCTTTGCTAATGTATGATAGAATAGGCTTATATTTAAGTTACAAAGCCTTGCAAAAATAAGTTGCCGTCCAGCCCCCCTCTCATAATTTGCTTTAAAACAACATAAGTAGTTTTAGGTTGCTGTGTCCCTGGGAAGCTAGTTGATGAGAATTGGGATATTAAATGAAATTTTGGAGTAATTCTTTTTGATTGATGTTTAACAGGTAATGAGCTCTAGGTCAACTGAACATTTAAGTAATTTTATTCCTTAGTAGACTGAACTCCTTGCACACCACAATAAAATTGACAATAAACTTTGATTTGTTGAATGAATCATCACAGAATTTCCTAATTATTGTTTTCTAAAGAAGAAAAGAAGCTCCGGGTTCATCTTAACCTTGAACCAGCAAAAAAAAAATATTGATAAAAAAAGATCCCAGTTACTATCTGCTCTAGCATGTACTGCAACAACTGAAGTAGTTAAACTGGTACAATAGTTCCATATGTAAGAGGCGAATACCCATCTACAGCTGACTTGTAAATAACTTATTGTCGGATAGACTAGTAACAACTAATATAGGATAGAAATATCTAACAAATATGACTTCCTTTCTATGAATGCTCACTTTTAAGATGATTGTTTGGTTTCTTTTTATTCTTTGGTATGTTTTACGGTAATTTTGGTTGTAAAAGCCATAAAACAGTAACTTGAGTTAAATTCACAAGTGATTGGATTTTCTTTCTTTCTTTCTTTTTTTTTTTCTTTTGTCAAGAAGGGAAGGGGTCAATGCATATCTGATACCCAAGACCAGAACTTCATCTTTCTGTGAGCATGTCATATTACAACTCTTACTCACTTTTCATTCAGTGGTACATGTTTTAATGTTGTTTTTTCCTACTAGACGTGTGAACATCCTGAGTTCAAAAAATCATCCCTCTACTTATTCATGCCTATGGCATGAAGCATTGCTTTCATCTTCACATACTGAGTAAAAACTTCAACTTTGATAAGCAGCGTTGCCATTATTATTAGACTCAGATGATTTCTTAAAGATTTTTATGGACAGTATCATGACAAAAGATAGTAAAGCACAATTTAGTAAAAAAAAAATGAGTAGAATACTTATAACTGAACGTGCCTGGCAACACTGTGTAAATAACTTAATATAATAACAATTACTATGATGTTCATTTTCTCTTAAATGTAAATATTCTATATTGGAATTAACGGTATGCATGTTGACTAGTGATTTCTTGCATCAGGGTCAGGCAGAAAGTGATGAAAAACTTCTGAGCCATAATTGCCTCACAGGATGAGCATTGCTTGGACTTTTTTTACAAGCACTTGTAAATGTAGCTAAACAAATTTTAAAACTGGGTTTGGGGGAGTTTATGGTAGCTCAACTGTCTGGCCATGTTGCTCTATATATAGATGATAGATATTAATTCATTTATGTCCGTGTCCAGCTTGCTAAGTGTGATTGACATGGTTCAACAAAGAGAGAAATATAGTGGTAGTAACAACAGGTACGTAGAATGGGCCAGTTTTTTGGTCATCAGGAGTCATGTGATCACCTTAGGTCACATGACCAGTTGGTTGTGTGATGATGCCAAGTAACAAACCTATGACAAACAGCATTGTGACTGCTCCACAATATTTGATTGGGTACTTTGGATTTCTCTGTCTGGGCACCATGAAAGTAAAAGCATCAGATTAAGTGTTTGTCAAAATGCATAGTCGCACATGACTTTAAGTTGTTGACTTGGCATCTGTGGAGAAACATATGATTTTCAGTATTACATTACCATGGGTTTTATGACCACAATTTATTAATTGGTCATGTGAACAATAATCATGTGATTATTGTTCACGTACCAAAAGTTTTGTCATTGGTCATGTGATTATGGTCAAAGGGCAACTTTAATGAGTGAAATGAGTTCTTTTTTTGTCGTGAGCTGGATCCATATGTGCTGGAGCATCATGGAGAACTGACTGTCAAGAGCTACACAATTTCTAATTGACTTGCATGCTATTATGATATCAAATATTTTGGTTTAAGAGTGCATTACTTATATTGAATTTGCAGTGATTGACACTTGAGTATGAATGTTTGCAACACAGATCAAAATTTTGTAATCTAATAAGCTAAGATGAGTTATGTATATCAAGAATATCAATCTGTGCAAAATGAAAATCAGCAGTTTTTTTGTATAATATTTAAGGTTGTTTATGGTTTGAAGTGTTTTCTATTTGCACTTAATTATATTAAATTATGATACTTTAGAGAAAGCATGACTTAATTCTCATGCAACATTTAAAAAAGAACATGCTGGTTTCATGATTATTTGGTCTTTGATAAATAAGAATCATTTATCATTGTAGCAGTTTCTTTCCCTATGATATGATTTTTTTTAACAGTTGAGAATATGTTCTTTAAAAATTATATTTAAACCAGTGCATTTTGTTAGGGTGCTTCTTATTTTACTTTATGTATTGCCATATTTAGTTACATCAAAAATAAGTTTAAAACTGTGAGTTATGTTTAAGGTTTACTTTGGATAAAACAATATTTGGGGTTTGAGTTTTTAAATTTATACATGGAATAATCTTTTTAAAAAAATAGAAAAACATTCATTTATAAGAGTAAATGATAGTGAAATAATTTACTCAGTCTACCATGAAAACATTTTCAGTTAGATATTGAATTGGATTGTTTCAGCATTGACAAACCTCACCATGGCAACCCAGACAAATCTTGGTCAAATAAGCCTTTTGGCTTTTTGAGGAGAAACAGCAGCAAGAAGAAGAAACTGCAAGAACAACAGGTAAGATATTTCTTCATTTAATGTTGCAGTAACATGTAAACTACTTTGTTTAGGCTACCAGGAAAGCTAAGACGAAATCTGTCTTAAACTGTTCTGTGACATTACCAGAAACCACAATTTCTTAAAATGGGTTTTAAAAAGTGAAGCCTCCACAGCCAAGTGATATTGATAAGCCATTTTTTGGTCCAAGTTAGTCCTGTGTGAACTATCCCACATATTTTCACCAGGCCTGTTTTACAAAAAATGAAAATAAAAAAGTAAAAAAATTTACTGTAATTTACTATTATAATTTTATTTATTTAATTATATATTTTGCTTGACAGAGACTGATAAACACAAACACAAACATGTAGATAAGTGGGTACAGTTGGTATTTACAATATCGGTCTTACTATGAGGATTTTATAAATGATGACTTAACTGACATGAATTGGCATCACTGAGAGTAAAAGAGCAATGTCAATACAAATGCTATTTTCAGTGGGTGCATAATTCAAAGACAAAAAGGGGTGACCAGCCTTTTAGGCTGTGAAGTGGAATTAAGCTGGCTAAGACACGTAAAGTCTTTTTCAATATAGACCAATTTTCATTTGTGAAACAAGTCCCAGATCTCCAGAGGTTTGGTCATCAGTGTACATACAAGTCATTTGGTATTGAGGTGTAATATGTTATAGCTATGAAGTTTCAGGGTAGGTCAACAGTTAGATCATCAGGAACCAAGATATCAAATGGACAGGATTGTACTGATGTGAGGGCCTAAACTGTTTTTGTCATGTAAAGTGATATAATTCTCATGCTAGCATGCGTATATATATTTCCACCAATTGAAAAAGAAGACTCGAACAAAAATGATACAGGCATGACACTAGCGGTGTTGTTCAATATATTTAATATGATCATAACTTTTAACTGTTTACAGGAAGGGGAGTATTTCAGTGACCAGAGTGATTCAGTATGTATCAGCATGGTCAAGACTGCCCATGTGTTCTAACTGTCAATATTATCATTATTATCAATGTTATTTATTGAATGTATCTTACTTTGGTATGCTGTTATAATGCAATAACCCAGTGTTTGTGAACCAGTTGTTTTGAAGACCTCATAAATTTAAATCGGGTATAAATTAGCTTGCCAAAAGTTAAACCTAATATGAGAGGCTGCTTCAGCTTACTAATAGTTTAGAACTGATTTGATGAATGTTTGCCATAGAAAAAGTGCCATAATTGTTTTAAAGCATCAGATCATATAGAAGGAGCACAACAGTATGGAACATAGTAATTGATAATAACTCTTTATATTGAATATCATGAAAATTCAGGAATGTTTTGTGTGTCAAGTTGAACAGTAATTGTTGTTTAAAGAACTTGTAATTTTGCTTTAAATTTACAAAATGAGGGCATGCTTAGACAGCACCACCTTGTGTTTTGTTTTCAGTGATTTGGAACTACCCTGTATAATTCTTAGTAATATGTGAGCTAAACCTGCCTTCGGTTAATTTTTAAGTGAACCGTGGTGTTAGCTGTTGTTGTTCAGTAAGAGGTGTTCACTAAAGAGAAAGTTCTGAAAGTTCCCTTCTAATATCAAATATTAAACAAAACTGTACTGATCCATTTTGTCTTTATATTTTGTTTGAATTTGTGTAACATGACCACCTGCCTACCTTTTGCTTTTACTCAAATTTACCATCTTATCCTGACCATCACACCTTTTTAACCATGATATAAACAAGGCTTTACCTAATAGATTTTTGAAAATAAAGAAAATTACTATGCATATATCATAATATTTTTGTAATTGGTGATGAAGTTATATAACCATATTCTGTGTGATATGCTTTCAGACTCTCATTAGGGTAACTGCTTGAATTGGCTAGATTTCCAGTGGGATAGCTTTACAGTGAACAGTGAAAGCACAGTTTTGTTGTCCTTGAAACACTTGCTTCTGTTGTAGTCCAGCAATATCATGAAAATATATATGAACGTAGCTTTAAATAGATTGTTAACTGGACCAAATGGAAATTAGATTTTGCTGTGTTAGAATTTGCAAACAGGCGCCCAAATTTAAGATGTTACAAACAAATGATCCCATTTATGCACAGTATTGCTGGTCTATTGTAACACTTTTTTTTACAGAGCATGAAAATGGTTGCCCATTCCCTTGTTTTTTATTTCAACCTACTGTATCAAAATGTGTGTAAATTCATTTTTTCCAGGATAGGGTATTAACAGTTATTGATTGATTTCAGTATATAAGTTGAAATTATGAGAATCAGTATGCAATGTTTTCCAGCACATGATTTGGATCTATAGCCTAACATTGTTACTCAGAATTCAACGTAATTATGTACACAATTTTTTTTTCAGTGAATGCTCACAGTATTTTTCATCTTTATATTTTTTGATTCAGACATAAGAATAAATCAAACACAAGCAATCTTTTACAACAACTTACAAGATCCCACCACCAGTTTCATGTCTCACCTCATGAACCTTATGTTCTATGCATGACAAATCAAACATCAGATACTAATATCAGAACTTGCCCTGACCACATGTTAACCAGCTCTGTCTGATGTTTCAGAGCATGGAGATAAGTGACCACACCTACTCTAGTCAAGAGCTGATGCCCCTGCAGAGTATGTATAATGGACCACGCATAGAGGTGGATGAGGTACTTATTACTTTAAGTTACATCTCTGACAGGGGCTTGTATAAAATGATGTTGTTCAGAAATGAAATCCACCATAACAACACAGAGTAACTTTTTTTTGCATTAGTGTAGCACAGAAATCTTGTACAGTTGCCATACGTAGCACATAGGAGTCTTATACCACATCTAACCCATGATGTTGAAAGTTTTTGATTTTCTGAAGTCTAAGAAGGCTATAATCTTTTTTGCTTCTAAAAATCATAAAGTTCTTTAAGTTGCTAGCCTTTTCTGCTTTTATGCAAGCTCCCTCCAAATTTGTTTTCCTGCCATTAGTCTAGAAATCAGACAAGATAAAATAAATTCCGCTTTAGAAATGTATATATAGAACATTTCTATTGACATGTACATTTGTCATGTCTGATGTCTAGTCTTGGGTCTAATGTTTTATTCTTGATCAGTTAGTTCAATAATACTACTTGCTAATATATTGTCTGCATTTATTTCCAATGACTTAGTGACATGATGCTGAATCTTGACTATTCTGTACCTTTTCTAAAGCCAAGATCTCTTTGAAGTGATCCTAGGAATTGCCAGTTGGAACTTGTTTGAAAATGGAGTAGATGTTTTTATTGATAGTTGGCCTGCTGTGGTTGTTATGTTTCTAAATTTGAGTAAATAAAGTCTTTGTTTCAGAGGCATCTTTGTTACTCTAGTCTTCTGACAGATAGTTTTATTTGTAAAAAACATGCATTGCGATATATTAACTCAGCGACAAAAATTGGAAATATACAAAAGATACCAATGACTGTGTGCAGTGGTTGAAACTATTTAACATGATTCTTTCCTTTGTTTTGTATTTTGTATTGGACATACTGTGAAGTGATCATTGGTATCAAGAACTTACATGTAATATCACATTATTTTTGAAAGATTATTCATACATGTATTAAACTATTATTGCTCACAGTTTTGTAAGTGATTGTCAAAATTGAACAGAAGCTGACTGATAAGAGTAATTTGGATAAGACACATGATGCAAGCTCCTAGATAGGATGCAGTATTATATATGATGAGAATTACTGTAGATCTGTTAAATTTATTTTTAAGACCAGGTCTTATGCGTAACTAAATCAGTTGTTGAGAATTTATGTATAATTTCATAAAGTACCATGTTATTTGATATAGTACTAACCAAGAAATGTAGTAATTGAAATTGAATTGGTAAAGTGTTTAATGCCAGCAATACTAATTTTATCAAATATTCATATTTCAGCCCTCAACAGACGCTTCAAGAAATGACCTCTCTCTGGCCTTGACACCTGGCTACTATGGAGATCGCTCTGGTCTTCCTTCACCACAACAGTCACCCAGATCTCCAAGGTCACCAGGAGGGTCACGCTTTGGAAATAGGTCAAGGTCACCATCCCCTCGTAGAGAAATTGGGTTTTCTGGTGCTGTAACAGATATCTGTGATGCTGCACATACTATTAAAGAACATGACAGATTGAACAGAATGAGAATTAAGCCGGGTAAGGACTGACTGGTGAATTACTGGTAGCACCTGCAAAGTTAATGTTATTTGCTTTGTCATTGACAATTAATGTGAAAATTAAGTACATCCAAATGATCTACATGCCCTGTGACCTATAATTTTGAGATATATAGTTGCCTCTTTAAATTTACGTAAATCCCATTTATTTTAATTATTAAATGCTCTGTTTTAGATGTTCTATTTGGTTTACTGTTTTTTTCCTACAAGTGTTTATTAATAGTTTTCTCTTCAAAAAAAAAAACATTGGAAGCCCTATCAGTGACCGTACAATTCCCTTTTCTAGACTCACCTCAACTTCGAGGTCGTAGTCGCAGTCGCAGCAGACCTCCCTTACAGCAGCAGAGACCAGTAATGGGCTCGCCAGCAGCAAGCCCAGTGGGGAGCAGAGCCAGCAGCCCAGCCAGCAGTTCACGCCAAAATCTCTACAGAACAACCTCATTAGAGACAAGGTCACGTAGCCCGTCTCCATCGGGCACAGCAACATCCACTCCTCAGCATGAATATTACGGGCGTGTGAACCTGACTGACAGGTCTCGTAGCCCTAGCCCTGCTACAGCCAGGAGGAATCGCAGACTGCCCCACACACCACCGAGTAAACCCATGACCTTGCCCCTGGGGCAAATGATGGACCAACCTGGTGATGTGTATTCTGGCAACCTGCCAAGGGTAGTCCCCTCTCCCACTGTTCCCAAAGCTAGTCCTAGTAATATTAATTTCCCCTAAGTTACAGCCATCACCCACTCGGCTGACCAAACTTGATCAGCCTCCTTCACCGCATTCTAGGCGCTCTAGTGCAAGATCACAGACACCATCCCCTCCAGTGCGAGATAGACGCTACATGGATAAAAATAATCTAAACCGACAAGCCAGTCTAGAACGCAGGCTTGATAGAGGGAGACTGTATGATGAGCCCCCTCAATACACAGACATAGTAGATGGTAGGACTTATGGATCTCAACAAGGACCTCCATTTAGGGGGAGAATCTTAAACAATGGACAAAGAGATCCTTATTACAGTGATCGAGAAAAAGATTATGACCAGGACTCAGATGTGTCTGGTAAATACGAGCGGCGAGGACAGAGCATGCCCCGTTCTGCAAGTAATATTCCGGTTGGTCGACCTCCCCGTCAAACTAGCAACATACCACGTTCCTCTAGCAGTTTATCAAGGGGTGCAACACACATACCCCCGGTTGCCTCCAGACATGGCACTTCACAGCATGGACAGACATTACCAAGTATTCCAAATGGCTTTAAACCAGGTCAAGGTCATAATGTAGGTCAAGGCCGCGTGACATTGCAGCGCAGTGACTCAGAGGAAGATGATGATGATTGGTGCTAGCATATCCCATGATTCCTTTTTCATGCAAATCTAATATTGATTGGAATTATTTTGACAAGAAATGATACAATTCTAGAGTACAATTTTGGTTGACATAGCCTTCAATTGAAACTTCAGTTGACAAAATCAAATACATTGATTTTCAAGGCCTGTCATATGGATTTTGATTTTTTTAAGAGCCTATAGGTGCAAACAATTTCAGTTGTAAGATCGGAATTGTTAGTTAATGTTTGGTGGAGATATCTGTATAAAAAAACAATTTTTTAAACTTGAATTCAATAACAAGTGAAAAATATTTTTACTTCAAAATGTAATATAGACCCAGATGTTAGTTAGATCTTTCAGTGATAGTGTTTCATACATAAGTGTAATGTATAATGAGATAGATGTTGCAAGTATTGTTGTCCAGACAGCATTTAATGAATATTCCATGTTGTAGTGATGATAGAGATGCTTAAAACAATTCAGTTAGAATTCTGATAATTGTATAAGCAAGTGTAGGAATAATTCATATTTCAAAAAAATAGATATTATACATCTTGTGGCCTGTTAACTTAGGCAGTTAAAGTTTAAGACATTGTCAAAATATAATTTTGTTGAACAAAATGAGAAGGCAGTGGAATAACTGAGAGTAGTTGGCATATTTTAATAAGTTGCCATCTTGTACATGCTTGTAATTTTTAACTTAAATGTATTATCTTTCTTGTTCTGTGATTGGCCAGTTTATAATTGGCTCATTGTGTCCATTATAAAGCCATTGCTGCCACTATTTGGCAGTAAAAGCATTCACAGTATTTAAAGATCCAAGTCTGTTCAGCTAAAGTGATTTTGTCTTTTGGTATATTTATTACATGAACAGAATGTTGGTCAGCATGTTTAGTTTGTGATAACAATGCAGTGAGAGCCAGCATGAGAGCTTTTTTCTCTCTTTTTATCTGGTTACGACCTGAATTTAGCCAACAACTGAAAATAATGTGTATTTCCCTAGTTGAGCTTAGCTACATTCTATAAAAGGATATTTCAGAAAAACAGTAAAATATTTCATGTGTGGTTTGCTAAAATTTTAGCTTCTGTGCTTCTCTCTGGCAAAGGTCCATATCCTTGTCTATAGTTTCTATTTCATTCTACATATTTCATGTGGAATTTATTTTGTTTTACAGTAGATAAAGAAATATTATGTACAGAAACCACATTTTCAAATTGAAATGTGGTATTAAAATTCTCTCAAATATATTTTACATTAAATGACTACATATTTTTATTGTATTATTAATAAAAAGTGATACTTTGTGCTATAATTTATACAACTCTGCAGCCAAAGTGAAAGGCCAGGGTTCAACTCAGTTTTCATGTTTTCTATTTTATCAGATATATCTTGATCCCTTTATACATTACACATTCAAACAGAATTTTTTCACATAAGTATATTAAGGAGTTTTGCAGACACAGCTTTAAAATTGTACTCCTATCCAAACCTTTTGGTGGAATGAAGAGCTCCTTCCTATCAAGAAGACATCAAAAAGCATACATAGCTTCCTGTTTTAGGTGCAAATACTGCATTCTCTGGCTTCTTTGGAAGTGGGCACAGTATTTAGATTTGCTGTTTCTTTTGAATAAATTAAAGGTACAAGCAGTCAAAAATTGATTTGATATCAGAAAATTAAACTGCATGCTCCAGCACTCAAAATAATTTTTTTAGCCATCATTATTCAATTGTGCTTTCATGTGAACTACTAGGTCACCTGTACTTAAAAATCTGTACATTTACTACATTTTTTTTTTTAAATTTGGGTGAATGGGCCACTTCTTTCTGCACATCTTAGTTTGCTTTGCCTTGAATGAAGGATAGATGGCACCAGTTGCTCTCTGAAGCTCTGCAGTAGCAGAATCTGATATACTTTGTGCTTGCACCAATATTGCACAAGTTATTCATAATATTATTAATAATCAAATTTGATGATGCTTCAAAATGTGGCAACATTTTCTATGCAAACATTCAGTGGAGAGATGTTTTGTACGTGTTAATGTGCATGGATTGAAATGCTCCTTTGTATGTATATATACAAATAATTCCATTTCATTCATTCATTCATTAAAATATCAATTGCAAGAAATGTTATGTCTTCTTTTTTTGTGAATCCATGGTCATATTTGCTTAATCATAAGTAGGAATGCAATTTTATCTAGACTACTTAAAGGGAGATTTGCAATTGAATTTGCACTAAATGACTTACCTCTAACATTTTAAAAACATAATAACTAAAATGAACTTTCAAAAAACAAAAAAGGGATTTACTTGACATTTAACCTGGAAGATAAAAGTTGGAAGAAGACCCTCCATTTTTGGCAATAGATGACTCACATTTATAATATGGTTTTCCAAAGGAATCTTCATATATAAATTTTCAAATATGAATGGATGGGAGTAAGTAGATATTGGTTAAATAGAAATGTATGTCTTAATTTGATCACCTTTTTAAACAGAACGTTGTGCTCCTATAATATGAATTGAATTTCAGAATATACTTGTGATTTGGTGAAATAGACGTAACGTAAGGGGGAAACAAGCATCTTTTCCTTTTAAAAGTATTTTATTAGGAATTCATTCACTTACAATTTTGTAACTGATCTTTTCTAGTTACATCTGGCAAAGTGACAAAAATCAGGAGTCTATACAATTCTTTACAGACTAAAAAAAAGTATGCTTAGAAACTAGCACATCATAATCTTTACAACTTGTGTCCCTTATAAATAACATTGCCCTTATGTTCCAGAAAGCACCACATGTTCAGCACCTTGGATTACATTGGCTTTAGCAGAACCTGCATATAAAAATATTCACACAAAATGGAAGAGGAAAGTGCAAGGGACCTTACCACACCTTAATCCAATAATTATACTGTGAATAATTACAAAATTTACATTTATAGATTAAAAGATTAAAACATGACTGATACCTTATAATTGGCCCCTCTTCATTCCTGTTCAACTTTTTAAAAAATTCAGGAGTCATTTTCTGTTGGGACCATACGTTTATTACCGACCAGACTCTTCTTAACCCAGTATATCCTCTTAACTTACTTCCAGCAATGAGGGGAAATAAGGCAATCACGGTACTTGCCACAAATGCAAGTTTTTACAGCAGAAGTTAAAACTTGGGGTGGTGAGAGGTTGGGGCTGCAGAATTTGATACCTCCAACTTACATATACGACAGTTTACTAGAATCAAAGTCTCTAACTTGTTCATACCTAATCCTAACAGCCAAACAAATTTTGTTGAGTCAAACACTTACAACTGTATAAAACGACCTGAGGGGAGGTCTTTTTGCACTTCTTAGACAATTACCATGAGTTTTGGAGACTAAAGTGGACCACACCTCTATTCAGAATATAAACAAGACGGAAATTCCTATAACCCTGAACAAAATTATGTTTGGGATATTTCTTACACTAAAATATCTTAAACACTACAAAGGAATTTTTCCAAATAAAAAGAGGACCCCCCATCCCCCAGAGAAGAACGGAAAATTCCAATGCATACCTATTCTTTGACCGATGATACTTGCTGTAAAGGTACAAGTGAACTGGCCGAGTCTCAGGGTTTGCTCCAAAATGACTAGCTTTTTCAGTAATATCATATCTACTCCTATCTCACAAACCATGTCAAATCCCAAGACAGCATTATTTTTTCAACATTTGCTGAAACTGAATAACTACGCATATGCATTCCAATGCATTTATGCGCATTCCAATGCATTTATGCATATTGCATTACATTAGTTAATAATGGGCTCAATAATTTTTTTAACTCAAGACCTATAACTAGGCAACTTTGACTTAACATATCATGGACTGTACCAATGTGAATGAGAATATGGCAGGCGCTTGCTCTTGTTTAATTTGCGTTGCTTCATCGCCATGTATTCCTTGCGTACCAGGCTTGAGCGTAATTCCAGGATTGTGTTTATGTGCTGAATTATTTCATTGGCTTTGGCAGATTCTGCCTCGAAATCATGATGTTTTTGGTCCAAATTGCTCTTGTAGATCAAACGGAATGTAGACTTGCCTGAAACATTGAATTTGTTCATAATGTTCAGAATGGGATGTCTCTGAAGTATTAAACAATATAACATATGTTATCTACCAGCAACAAAATAGTATTGAAAATGATGAAACATTGATGCAAAGGCAAAAAACAAAGTATCAGAGTTATGCCTCAAGTTATAAACAACATTCACAAAGACTGTGTTAAGATAACACAGAGAAAATATTAATGCTACATTTAATTTGTTTCAACCACAGAATTTTTCCATGATATAAATCTAAAAAATAGGAAAAACTGTCACTATGTTCTATCCTCATAAAACAAGCCACATGAATTCATTGCACAGTTAAACAATTGTGCAGGTTTACCCTCTGACTCATGGTACAATGCTTGCTGACACATGAACGTTCTGAAAAAAATTAACCTTCAACACCACTGTTTAATCCCTTTCCCTTACTTTCCTTTATCCATTTTATAAATGTAAAACCTTTTTAAAAAATTGTTTTCTCACCAGTGGACTTTTCCTCAATCAGTTCACAAGCAGCCACATCTTCTATGTTATAATTTGATGGTTTCTGTTTCTGAAACAGAGTCCTGGTAGAAGCCTTGCTGCTAACTGGATCAATCTCAATCTTGTCTCCAGATATACCTGGTGAATAATCCATTTAGTATGAAATAACTTTAAGTTTAAAATGCCCTATTGTACATCTACATAACCATGAAAAATACAAACATTGACTTCTATTTCTAGAACCTTTTGCTTCATTTAATTAAGTAACAAACAGGGGCGAATTCAGGGGTATCTACTGACAGTCTTCCAAATTATCTTTGTTGATTCATCCTCCAATTCAAACTTGAAAATCTGACCGTCTTCCGGAAGACCCAGAAGACGGCCTAAATCCGCCCTTGACAAAATTAAATTCACTTTGCATTCTTTGAAAAAATAATGTTAACAAAAGATCCTATTTTCTTCCTCATGTATGTAATGTAATAAAACAATTCCATCTACAGAAATCTTCTTATGATTTGCACAACCTCACACAGTGTATATCTGCAAACCAATTATCACGCCAAAAATGTGCCTATCTATGTACTACACACAACTACATTATAACTGTACCTAGGTGTACTTCTGTATTTCTCCCCAATTTGAGAGCCATGCTGACTCTATAGGACTTATACTGGTGGCTGGTGAGAGAGAACACGGCAGATGACGCATCAGCCGGAGCAGACAGCATGTGCTGGTCACCTCGGGCACCTGGAAGTCACAGGACAAGTATTATCACTGATATAATTTGTCAGTCACAACATCATGGGATATTTCAAAAGGTTGTTAAGGAACTTATCTTTATACAGATAATTTGCTCATAGCACTAAAGCCATTATGACGAATATGTTGTTGTTGTTTTTCCAAGATATCATCAACAGAGATAATTCTAATTTACTCAATTTATTTTTCTATTAAATTGTTCATGATTTCAAGGTTTCATATTTAATAACATTTAGTGATGACAATCACTTACTTTAGAACATAAAATATTTGAGAAATGGCTATGCTTGGCTTTATTTTTACCTATTTCATTATTACTGGACACATGTACACACTGTCATGACTATAAAATAAAATATCTGAAAGAATCAACTCAACTGATAATTGAAAAACTGAAAATTAAATGCAAAATTTACAATTCTGAACACTGTTAACTTACTGTGTTCCCTAACCAAACAAAACTCCAATGTCTCCATTGCACTAAGTGGACTGTCCAGGTCTATAGCAACCCCTGGTTCATTCTGCTTCTCCAGTAAGTATGAAAGACCTGTATGTATGCACAGTAAAAAAAATCTTTGCAAATTAAAAAATAATGTTTTTTTTCTTTAAAAAAATGAAGTAATATGTTTGTTACATGACACATTCAAGTCATATAGGGGCTACTGACAAAATATTTTTAACATGGCTATAAAATTCAATTCACCTTGATATAAAACTTGAGTTTGAATGCAATTTAAAAAATAATAAGCCCATAATAATAATTTAAAGGAATAAGCCCATCCTAACTAATTTCTATCCTTCATCTCCTTTTACCTTTGGTATTTATCTTTCTCTTTTGCAGCACTTTTTCAAGTATTTCCTTCATTAAAATGGATTCTGACTCCACCTGAATCTTATTGAAACCTTTGGATGGCAAGTAGCTTAAATAAAATAAAATAAAAAGAAAATTTAGAAATAACATCCTATCCACTTTGACTTTGTCTTTAATGAGATGAGTAGAATTAAACACCAATGCAACTTATGTAATTTCATATTTCAAGAATACCAATTATTCATATTTTTACAAATATTTGGGGGGTGTAACCATTTGGTTATAAACTAAAAAATCACCCAAAACTGCAGGTAACTTACATAGTAACTACAGGTGCAGCTTTGTTAATTTTGGCAACAGCTTTCTCCTGGACCAGAGCAAGCTTAGAGAACCCAAACTTGGAGATAGGCTCCCTGATATCAAGACTTGGAAAATCATAATCCACTTCCCCATCATCTTCTGCCATATAAAGACTATACAATTCCAGGTTTTTGCTGGAAAGAAAGAGACATTTTAATTAAAGGGAATTTCAAAAAAACAAGATCAGCAGAAATGCCACTCAACAAATAAGTTTAGGTAATACTATATAACCTACACATGTGTAGTTCTGTTTACTTATCCAAACTTTGAACCTAAACTTATATTTTATGATATATGTGTTTATGTTGAATTTAAAGGTATGTGTTACACTATGTCTTTTACTAAAGAAACCGACTGGAATTCAATCTAAAATTCAAGCTATGTATACTTTCCCATCAAAGCAGTCTAAAGAAATTTAAGCTGTTCACCTGAGTGCTGGCTTACGACCCTCATTGGTATACTGCCAGCAAATCAGACCAATCAAATCCTGAACTTTGGCTGTTGCTATGGTGACAACCAGCATAGGATATGGTCTTTCTTCATCGGATACCATAGTAAGAAAAATATCAATAGCCTTTGTTGCTACACCTGAGTGGGCCTGAAGAAGAGCATACAATCTACCATTTTATCTGAGCAACAATGCCTGTTTTTTCACAATACTAAACACCCAATAAATGAAAGCCTGCCTCAATCAAACCAAAACTACCAAATTCTAATCATCAAAGGGCATCTGCAATGTACCATGTATCATGTTCACATGAGAATGATGTCAAACTAATCCTAATCAAAGCTAGGCAGTTTTCATTTAAACCATTTACAAACTAACTTGAGGGAACATATGGTTTGATTGCAGTCACTTAATACGTGCTAGGTGATTTTGGTTGGAAACATGATATTAGGCTGGAATAGTAATTTATAGAGAAACTTCAGGAATGAGGGACTATAGACTACTAAAATGTCTGGTGAAGTCACAGGCTGTTGGTGAAGTTTATTCTATCTTTGGCCTTAGATAGCTCTGTATGAGATCAAGACCACTGACATTACCCTGTGACCTCACATGTTCATACTGGAAGTATAAGTTTTTAAAATAAAACCAAGTCATCTTCAATCTGTGTTTGAGTGAGTCAATATAATCTGGACTAATTCAGATGTTTTCCATTCAAGCCTAAGATGAAAACCTTCCCACCTTTCCATCAAACTTAGCATAATCATGAAATAGGTTGTTTGGAATGCCTGAAGATTTTTCCAGTCTACGAGAAAGAGCGGAGGTTGAACGAACTCGAGTCTCTGCCTTGTCAGTATCTTTCTTCCCAAAGTCAACTTTCTCAAACAAGTGACCAAGTTCTTCCACTAAATAAAAATGATAGATCTGTCAAAGTGAAATGATATATGATTTCGATAACCATATGATCTATAGAAAAATAAGTTTAACGTTTTTGTATTTATTAATGTGCAATGTGTGGCAATTTACTGTCACAAAAAGAAAAGAATCTGTTTCATAAAAACTTGTCTGAACAGAGTTATAAGACACTTTCTGTTTTCAAAACTTCAGATAACAAGTTGCACAGAAATATGTAAACTTCAACACTGCCATTAATATTCCAGTACCAACAATTGGCATGGGAAAGAAATTATGCACAAATCTATAAAGCAACAATTTATCCTAACATAAAGAACATGGGGATTACAATGCTTCAATAGCCCTCCTCAAGAAAAATTCATTTTGGAGGGCAAATCCTCAGAATTTGAATAATTAATTTTGACCATGTTGGCAGTTTGCAACTGTATATTTATAGATTTTGCAAAAGAAAAAAGCTAGCTCTTCAAGGTTCCTTATGCCTTACCGTTATACTCTTGACCTTCTTTCCATTGGACATGTTTTATCCTACTCTGTCTCTGTTTCTGCACTTTGATTCTCTCCAATCTCTGAGCTGTGTTAGACCGTCTCCGATGTGCACCTGTTGTAGAACATTTACAATCTATTAAAATGACAAAATATAATACATGCACCTATGCACGCATGCATGCACGAGCACACACACACACACACACACACACACACACACACACACACACACACACACACACACACACACACACACACACACACACACAATCCAATAGGTTCTATTACATAACAAATGGTTGTTTTTTAAAAGAGGAATTCTGAAATATAATTTTGGCCACCAGACAAGACTCCTCTATTTCTTCAGCTTACCAATGTCCATATCTGACACAATGTCATAGGAAGTTGAGACCTCGGAGTCAGAGCCATCTGTGCTGCAACCACTGTCATACTGAGCTGGTAAAGTCCTAGAAAATAATCATTTATTCCTGTGGTCTTCTTTGGGTTAAGAAGAATAACAAATGCCAGTGCCAATTATTCAGCAATAATGAAAGTCATATACCAAATGTCTTTTGTCATTAACAATACAGTGCAGTGATCAAAAAGTAGGGCTGATTGAAAATATGCAAATATGAAAACCTAGGTGTTCTAATAGTAAATCTGATAAATATGAAAACTTCTGATCAACAGCAGACTATAATGCTGCATAAGTTCTCTATCCACACATTATTCAAACCAGTTTATTTGTTGTATGCAAATATGGCATCATCTTAAGTGTAATTTTCAATAACAACATTGACAAACTGCTGTCCAGCAAACTACTTTCATAGCCAACAGCTCAACTACTCACCTGTGTTTGCTATAACCATCTGATATTCTTTTCTCCTTTGGTTTATCTGGGTACTCCTCATTCTCTATGACTATTTCACAAATCCCAGTATCATCACTGGTGATGTAGGAATTCCTCAAATGTGTGATTATAAAGTTCACATCATCAAATAATGCCATACCTGCAAAAACAAATGGTAAAAAATCTATTCAAATTTCAAGATTTGATAGTTACTGATTACTAAGTAACTATCAAATCTTGATAGTTACTTAGTAATCAGTAACTATCAAATCTTGATAGTTACTGATTACTAAGTGAGCAGCTCGTAACAAATGTGCAAATTATGAAATTATCACATGTACTGTAACTCAGTCAACAACATTAAAACTTGGTAAAAGCGATCATGGGTGTACATGCATGTACCTAGCAATTTAATGGAAATATGACAGATAATTATTTTTTACAATATTAAAAAGTACAAGCCTATATAAGACTTGGTTTATCTGTAGTCTCACCTCGGAAAGAACAGACCTCTGTCTTTTCTCATTGTTATTAAATCAACATAATAAACAACACCAACATCCCAGCTGAATTTCCTCGTGAAGTGAAGGATAGATGGCGCTTGAAACAGGCTCTACCTGACCCAAGACTCCCAGATACAAAAATGTACCGTTACCGTGCAGCTTGTAGAGTGCTGTTCTTCAAAAGACAGGATTTGCTGATTATTATTACTTGATATAATCAGGGAAAATTTTCAATACACGCTAAAATTAGTTTTGGTTCACTCTGATATACTTAATCATGAATTCCTTGTTAGCGTTAACGTTGATGAAACGATTGATCATGGATTTTTTCATTTATCGTTCACTCTTCTCAGGAAAAGCTTTAACAACATAATGGTAGTTATTGGTGAAAAGTTGAATGTTTTTCAGTTGATGTTCTTTTTAATCCCTAAACGAGTTCGTTCAAACGGGTTAAATTTCCTTCCAAATTTGTTCGCGTCCTGTTTATCCCCGCAGGTGCCCGCCCTTTTAAAGGAAAGGTTCAATTGGTTGAATGACATATATCCATGTTACGCGTTATGCTATTGGCTTATAGAAAACATAATGGTCACCAGATGGCGGCATGTTCGGCTTACTGATGAGATGCAAGAGTTGTGAAGATATCGAATGTTGTGGCCACAAAGTGATAATCAAATCTGGCCATTTCTGATAGCGTGAGCAACTTGATTGCGCCTCCAGGTACCGCTAAAGATTTGCAAAACTGCACGGATTTGTCTAGAATAATCGATTAGGTTCAAAGAGGTTAGACTCTCGTGCAAAGCACGTTGTTTTTGAGGGGACTTCTCGCGTTCCAAGAGAGACAACATCACAACATGGATGAACAAAGAATGATGGGGATGCTGTCTCAGGCCGGCTACGGGATGCAGGGAGGACCTGTAGACGGTGTTGGTGACCCAGGAGTACAGGAAGGAAGAAAACAAGATATTGGAGATATTTTACAACAAATCATGACCATCACCGATCAGAGTTTGGATGAAGCACAAGCTAGGTAATTGTACATTTTAAGATTCCATGTATTTTAATTCAAATGCTTCCTTTCATATTGAATCGTAAACTGGCTTTGACAGTAGTGTGTATCACTTAATGAGACATTTCCTCACTCATTCCATGGACTGGTGTCATTCTTTGACATAAAATCTCACTATAAGTAGTTATTCTTATAGTCACCAGTCTACTACTGCATAACAAAAAACTTCTGTTCACTTCACCAAAAACTTGAAAAGTTCACTGGTAGTGGTAGTCTCATATTCTAAGAGCTACCGACAACTAAAGAGGTTATTTAGGCTTTGAGGGGCATTCTGTTAGACATATAATTGTTTGCTGTATATTTATGTATATGGTGTGGAATTATAATTGTCTTTAATTTCAAGTGCAGTACACATGTCACATTTGATACATTTCTTCATTTCATGTGAGGGGATTATATGATGAGCAAGTTTACAAGCAATACACATTACCTCTAGATTAGTTCGGCAGATCATTTATGAAAAAACTTTCAAACCAGTAAATTCATCAGTCTGAAAGAGTACTTATAGACATTGACATTAGAGTATGGTAGGAATATTTTAACATTGGTTTCAGAATTTATTAGCAGTCAGCTTTGGCATTTACTGAGTAAATCGGTCATCTTTTTAATACTTTACTGGATGTAGATATTTAGCTCTTTGGTTGTTCTGTTATTGTCATTATCTAAATTGTTATCTTTTTTTTTTCATTTAATGCACAATCACATGATCCCCTCACTGATATTTGCTTGCTTTGTTCTCTTCCTCTTGCATAGAAAATGCTTTAGAACACTTGAAGAGTCTGCTGCACTACTGTGTGCTTATAATGTTTTAATAAATTTACATCATAATCATAAACTGTTATTCAAATGCAATGTAACCTACATTTGATTTCCCACTAAATTTCCCACTCAGGGCCAGCTATGAAGCTCAAATGAACATGCAGTGAGTATTGACAAAAACACCATTGTAGCCCCTCTTTTGTTTGTGATCTCTGAGAAGAAAACACTTTTTAACACTTACTATCATTAAGGCTTTTTCAACTGACATCTTCAATATTAATTTCCTAAAAATAAAACTTAAATCCGTATGTTGGGAATTTGCAGAATTTCCCATATGTTTTGTTGTGGCCATTGCCTTTAGTATGTCCTGGTTTCTGTATTTTGATTACATTCCTGGAAGCCTTCTCTTTATTTTGAACATCACATTTTTGTGTTGACTTTTGTATGTATGTTTGTGATCACAAGCAGATCTGGGCCTGCAATATTTCTACATGTATGTGAAGTATACAGTGTCTACACTAGAGACATAGTTTATTTAATAACTGAGAAGATAGATGCTGCTCCAAGGTGTTTTATAATCACAACAGTTGTTAATTAATCACATTTCTTGAACAAGGTAGTTAAATGTTGCATGGACCTACTAAATGGTAATGGCCACAGGGATTAAGGGTAGTTAAATAACGGCCGTGTTAAGAACTATGATACTTAATGTCAAGTATTATCTGTTATTTCAGACTAGTTGCATAGAAATGTTGATCCCCTGTTTGAATTTTAACCAAGTAGTTTGCATGATCCCATCTGACAGGTGTATTAACAAGTCTGTCTGTATTTGTATTAATGTATCAACATGTTATGTTAATGGGCTTTTATTTTATATTTTTAAAATGTACATTTATGTTTTTGTTCATGTTAATGAATATCAGCTTAGAAAAAAGTGATTTATTTTCGAGCCGTAAAATTTCCAACTTTTAACAGACAAATTCAAAAGTGCATAAAATCTATCCATGTAGGCCATTTATGTGTTGTGGCCTTATGGATGCCGTGTTGAAAATTAAACAGGGTACAGTCTTTGGGTCTATCTTAGAATGAATTGTGCATCTAAAACTCCCACTTTGTACACATTTCTAACCTGGTATTTTCAGAAGGTCAGTATATAGGGTATTTATTTTTGGCATGTGGGGTTGTATAGATATGTGTGTGATTCATGAAAGGTATCCTGTTATTTCAATTATTTGGAGACTTGAAGGCCATCAGGCTTATCTCATTAATTTCAGAGGAAACTGCATACCAAGTTTTTAAAAATAAATTTTTATGCAATGCTCTTGTTAAAACTCAAGAAATCTATCATCAACAATTTGTGCTGAGTTCAACTTTTAGTAAGATAAATGGTTTGTTACTTTTTGGCTTCAGTTTATACCCAATGGTTTGATAGAAAATGGCGGTTATTTGATTTAAAGATAGAAAGAAACACTAAAATGACCACATAAAATTTTAATTATATACATTCAAATCAAAACAAAAAGCACAGCTTTCAAATATTATCTTTCAAGAAAAAATTTATTGAATCAGTTAACATGCCTTTAAAAATTGTACTCCTCAATTTTGTACTTGAATCCTTATTCCATATCCAAGAAAACAAGACCAAGATACAACATAGAAAGAAATATAATGGGTTTATTTTGTCCCCTTGTTCACAAAAAAAAAATCTTTTTTTCATTTTTACCTTATTTTAAATACTAGTAGCTAAATCGATGAAGCCTTTCTGTTACAAAAAAATAATCTGATATATGGCATGCCACTGACTATATAGAAATTTTGAGAGAGCATATGGTGAGTTCATGATCAAAAGTTACTTTCTCTTTACAGGAAACACACATTGAACTCACATAGAATGAAACCAGCTTTGTTCAGTGTTCTGTGTGAAATCAAGGAAAAGACTGGTAAGAGAATCTGAAGTTTGTCTGATAATATATTGATGCTTCTTGTGGTTGTTTAAATTGTTTTGAGGAGGGGGGAATGTCTTTGTTGTTTTTTTTTGTGGCACAGAAGAGGTAAGTGGTACTTAATATTGTCACTATTTTATTTTAATTATCTAAATCTTTATTTCATTGCTTTGTTATATTTGTTTGAATCATCCAAACATCTATACACATTTGTTGTGCTTGACAAACAATTGGTTTTAACAAGTTTTTATTTCAGTTCTTCATGCTTTGTATAAAAAAAACATTAACAGAAAGATCTTGTGTACACATCCCCCCATATATAACTCATTTCAAAGGTTAAAATGTTACAGACCAATGCAGTGAATGAACAGGTTTAGATTAAGAAAAAAGGAAACTATGAAAACTTTTTGATAGATGAAATATTACATATTCAATACAAATCTAAAACCGTGCCTGTCCTTCACAGAAAAAGTCAGCACTTCAAAATATCACAGCCGTGCGTTCTTTTTTTGTTCACCGACATTTAAGCTCAGCAGATACTTCATATAACAGGCCTCTACGCCTCTTGTAAACTTCTCAATAACTGACAGAGTGACAGGCGGCTGTCAATTTATTCTCCTCTCCAGTCCACCTCTGTGAAATGCCCAGTCAATTAAAAAGACAAGTGTGCTTTGAAGGTTTGGTCTAATGTGACCCATATTACAGTAAGAGCTTACCCTGCCTGTCACCGCTGTCATCTAACACTGTAGTTTTGACATCCGCACATGATAGAGGGCTATTAGAAGACTGATTGTTAAGGTGGAAATGAAAAAAAAGGTTAGGTGGGGATGGTGGTTGGGGTTTTCAGAGATGACCTTTCTTTATATAGTGAAGTTCAGATCTCGTAAGGTGTATGAGAAAAAAGACATTACACAATTTTAGTAAAATGTATATGTTATAAGTTATAGATTTCCTTTTAAAGAAAACAAATTCAGGCCAAGATTTAACAAATGTAGGTTAAAAAATCTGAATAAATTTATGAAGCAATGCTTTTTAATAAAAGAGCTAGTTTGGTGATGGGAATGACTGAACATGTTTTTCTAGCTGGTGAAATTGATACTAAAGTTAAAAAACATTCTTTGCTATGCCCTTTTTTAATATGCATGTAACAGTATTTTTTAAACAAAATCTAACAAAAAAAAAATAGCACTTATTTTTTCAAGCTTTGTTAAGAGAAAGTTTTTATCTCTAAGCAGGGAAGTAATAGATAAGATCAGTTCCAGGTGCAGTCATGCACCAGCTAATATTGGCCAACACAGTTTTATATACACAAGAATGACCCCTGTTTTATTTGAATTTGATCTGGAGTATCAACTTCTATAATATACACTGGAAGATCACAACAAGCCTTTGTCAAACAGATCTACCTTAATTGGTAATTATACCCATTTATTGAATCGTAATGGAACAAAAGATATAGCAAGCACCATGGGGACATAGTCATTGTTTGAAAAAACTTTCCACAAAGACAAATTTCTGGTGGACTTAAACTGAAAATATCGATCACTTAAAAGGTTCTTGAGGTTCCATTTAATGTATGGAGCAGGTACTTAACAAGAGGGGCCCCTTGTGGATACCCCGATTTGACCTGGCGCACAAGCTCAGTAATAATACTCACTGTATGAGAGTTTTATCCTCCTCTGGCACCTGTTTAATACAAATATTTATTTACAGGATGATTTGAAATGTATCTCCCCTGGTTCTGTTCTGCTCTGATAACCCTCAACTCAGTCTTCTTTTTTTTTTTTTTTTTTTCACACTGATGCAAATTAAGAATGAGAAAAGTGCATGCAATAAAATAGCATTATCCCTCATATTGATTTTTTTTTTTTTTTTTTTTTTTTTTTGACTGAAGGACTTACCTCTGAAGCAGCTAAGTTAGGGGCATTCTTTTGATATGAAACTGTAGTGATAATCAATTTATTTACAATATTCGGCAAAGAAAGGGGGGGAAATGGCAGCATGAATTGTGAATGAGACAATTTTTGCTTTTTCAATCATTATGAGATATCTTTTAACTAAATTTCTTCCTTTGTTTTTTTTTTTTTGATGTGAGTTGAAAATAATCTGTTTGAAATTCAGCTACATTCTAGTGGATAATGATCTGTCGATAGTTATATCAAATTTGTAGGGAATTGATTACAATCTAAACATAATTCTTGGATTTGAAATTTTTTCATATTTATGTGAAGTACGATTTCATTTTAATCCTAAATTCTTTTGAAGGGACAAACATCAAGTCGTTTCAGTTTTTAGTCTTCTCTATTTTACATCAAATTTCATAAATTAAATCAGTCTCCATTAGACTCGAGGAATGATCTCAGCTCAGAATCTGATAGAACTTTGACATCACTGCACCTTAAATGGTGACTTCTGAAAAAAACTATATGGTTGCAATATATGTATGCAAAAGAAACGGTGCCCTTTCCTTTGTTTCCCCATGTAGCAGAATCTTGCTGTCCCACTTAGCAAAGCTGGAGGCATATTTAGGCCAGTGTGTGATTTATAGGTCTAGGGTAAAGCCCCATACTGCTGGCCAGGGCCCCTTGTCAGTGCTATGGTGCAGTCATGGGTGAAAGGAAGGGAAAATCCATGTGGTAACTCTCATGTTAAATTCATCAAATTGCTATTACTATAATAGATATAATACATGAGTACTCCTGTTGCTGCCAGGTAACTGCTTTTGTATTAGGTAGGATGCAGTTGGGGATTGTTAAAAAATAAATAAATATTTATTTATTTATTTAAATAGTTGATAATTTATTGGTTATTAAACTAAAAAGATGCTTTGTTAGTTTTATTTTCTTTATTTTGGAGCAGGATTAATTTTTGCAAACAAGCAGTATGACATGTTGCATGTGTTTAAGAAATTGCCAACCCCTTTTCTGGTTCAAACCACATCAAAAAAATTAACAAACAACACAGCAGAGATAAGAAATTTCCTCTCATTTCTCTGCATTTTGTCTAATATCTAATCTAGTAAAAATCACTATCGTCATGCAAAGATTTCATGCAAGCTTTCCCAATGTTGTTGCTGGTTGAGGTTTGTCAATAATGTGCAACCACACTTATTGACAGAACTATTCATTTACAGCACTACTATGAGATGTTTTTCTTCAGCTATTTATCAGTGTATATCATGTACATGAATAGTCAATAAATCATGCCACAAGCTTATTTAACTGAAATTTAATTGTTAATACCTTTAACAAAAAGCACTGGCTGATTTTAAAATTTTTTTGGTTCCACTGAATAGATTTTATACATGAAAAAGAGGATTTAAGGTATAACATAAAATTGTCATTGATGTAGATGTCAGATAGAAAGATAGATATTTACTGATTTTGATTTTAAAAAATCAGTGATTAAAAAACAAGCAGTGCCACTAAAAAAATTTGTCCTTGTTCTTTTATGTTAAATATCTAAATCTTTTAGGGTTATGGGCAGACTATTAAATCCCACCAGTTATTCGATAAATATGCACATTAAGAAGAGAGAAAATCCCTGCGAGCTTTGGCTAGTTTATGCAACGGGTCAGTGATTTCATTGTTACCAACAAAGGCGAGGGGCATGTAGAGCCGCCATCTTTGTGTTTAAGACGCCTTCTTGGGGTGCATAATGTAGCATGACAGACTTAGAGGTCCTTATCACTAAGTGGGCTGTTTAGTGGAAGGTTTAGATTTGGGGGTCTATTTTGTGTATTTAGCCTGTTTTAGTGTTAATGTAGGCATTGGTCCACTCTTCACAGTGGACTAAAGGGGCCATGTGAGACAGAAAATGGATAAACAAACATTGCTTATCATTTTTATCCTCTTTTTCTCAGTAGTCTGCTGTACACATTCTATATTTTCAGATAAATGGATTAATCTTCATTGTAAACATGAGTGAAGTCTACTTTTTATTTCTTTTTTTTTATTTTTCATTTATGATTATTTTTTAATTGTTATCTGAGCTAAAAAGAGATGTGTCCAAAAGAACTGACAAGCATTTTAAAAGAAAATAAAAGAACATGTGGAAGGTCGAAATGGGAGCAAGTTTTTGAAAAGGACTAGACATTTCACCTTTGAGAAAAAGGTGTTTACTTCCGAAATGTGTACATATTTTTGAATAGAACTATCAAGTATATCATGTCAGTAGCTTCCTGTCATAGTAGGAAACCTCTGTGTGTATAAAAAGAGTTCAAATTGCAGCCAAGCTTTTTGAGTTGAGGATGATTTTGTTACTAGTATTTGTATAACTCAAGAAAATGGCAAAAAATGCTGATTATATTGATTTAAAGGTTATTTTCTCTTACATGTAGGAATAAACTTGTATGGACACTTGATCCTCTTCAGCAATTTCCAAAACCAAATTCTGGACTTAAGCAAGCAGAGAAAAAATTTGCAATAATTGCTAAATTTGATAATATTGAATTTATTGTCAGGAGGAGGAGTTTTTTGGGGCAGTTTGTTGTTAAATTTGACTTTAACCTATATCATTTGGGTGCAGCGTAAAGGATGTTAAAGTTATCCTAAGAAGGACGTCTGAGGACAGGTTCAAAAGCATTTCAGCCTTAAAGTTTTAAGAAGTGTGAAGATAAGGTTGTTCTTTGCTTAGTATTGCCATACCCCAGCTGTTTGTAGAGAAGTAACAAGTTAAACACTATTAAATACACATTAGGGCATCTGGGCGGCCTGGCTTGGTGGAGTCTGCTTCTAGTATATGGTTCATAATGGGAACAGCTTTTCACACATTCCCTAACCTCGGAGGTGGTGGGAGTATTTATTGCTCCATGTAAATGTTGAAGTCATTAGTTACTTACTGTGTTAAAATGTGCTTATTTGAGATTACTGGGGAAAAAAACTGCACAACTTCAGGGGATTTCTTCTGGGAGCATACATATACCAAATGGTAATTTTATCCACACTACTTGAAAATGAATGCGGATCTTTCCTTGGGAAAGCCTAGATTTTAATGAT